AAGCGGCGTCTGCCCACCACCACGACCCATAGCCACCGCCACCGCCACCGACAGACTTGCAAGCCTCCTCCCTCCTCCATTAGGCATGGTGGCGAGGATTGGGCGAGCATTCAAACGTGCCTCTACTTATCGATTTTTATTTCATTTTTATCCGTTCCACGAGGAGCCAGCCAGCCAGCCATCGTCATGCTCCTTTTGTCACTTTGTGTCCTCCCGTGCAGGCAAAAAAAATACATAGGTGTTTCTGGATGAAAAAACATCATAAATAAACGTTTTTAGCAATTATTGTGTATCAGATTATTATGTTTTTCTTGGTGTACCATCCTGGCTTCTTTCTTCTCTGGAAAAACATTTATTTTTTCCTCCATGATTCTACTTATGAACGCGTGAGGATGTCGAGTCCGAGTCCGAGTCGGCGACATATCGCCATAACACCATCAACAGTTCATACGAAAGGCGAGGTGAAGGCTTTGCCTAGTCCTGTCAAATGCCACCCGCCACACCCACCGAACCCAGTCTCTGTTGTTGTTATTATTGCTGTGACGATGATGATGATGCTGCCTCCTGCCCCCCTGCCAGTCGAGTCCGACTCGCTCGCGCACGGCTGCCATTGTTACAAAATGTGACAATAGACCAGGCCGGGATGTCGGGATGCCGGGAGGCAGGATGGCAGATGGTGGGAAACCAGGAGCAGAAACAGGACAGAAAAAGTGGAAGCAAAATCAGCCATCTACAAGCAGAATCAACAACAGGAGCCATAAAGAAACAATGGCCATCAACACCGATCTGTGGAATGCTCTTAAAAAGAACTTCCCTTCTTAAAAGAAAGGATCTTGAGGGGTAGATTATAGGATAACACATCAATATAGCTCGAAATCCAAGCTATTTTTAATGAGGTTTACCTTTTCAACTCTCAAGTCAAAGGTTAGTCTCCAAAAAGAAGCTTTCCTGCTGAGCCTGACAACATTTTCCAAGAAATCATAATGTCCTTTAGAAGAGCAGAATAAGTCGCAGGATGGAATTTAGAAAAACGACTATGGCGGCGCCGCTTCCAGCAGCTCCTACTTAGCAACTGTGGCAGAGAGCAGGAGCAGGATAGGGCATAAGGTGGAAAGGAGTTGAGCTGCCCTGCTGAGGTCATGCCAGTCAACCGAATAAATGAAACAACAAAGACACAAACACACACAGGCATACACTTGCCGCCACATAAAATATGCGAAAGCATAAGGCTGCCTCCTGGTCTCCTTTTTGCAAAAATAGGAGGTCTCCTGAGAGTGGTAGTCCTCCTTCAGCCCAGACTCCTCGCCGTGGCAGTCGGAGTCGCAGTGGCAGTCTGAGATCCACAGCACAGCATATAAATAAACTTTTTCGTAGCTCGGTAAAATGAAATTTACTGGAGCGAGAAAAAAAATTGAAAGAATCTAGGGAATGGTAATAGGGTGGAGTAGGTGGAGGAGTATGCGGATGGAGATCCTGAAAGCTGACTGCTGGAGTGCTCCTGTCTGGTGACTGTGTGGCAGGCAGGCAGGGCTATAATGTGGATAAATCCCATTAATGCATGATTTGGCAAAACTTTTCCCCATACCCCTCATATGGACTCATTTTCGTTTGGAATTTCATGTTTTGTTTGTGATTTACGGTTGGCTGCCACAGATTATGTTTTTGCTAAATACTCTCCAATCATTTGGCGGGGTTTTCATTCCGATTCCAACTCTGGTTCTGGCAAATATTGATTGCGCTTTGAATATTTAATAAAATATATTTTCATTTAAACTAAACGACAGTGTTTTGTGATTGGTAACAGAGGAGGAAATTAATAGAGGAATTATGAAATTTATACTGTTTTTGTTAGAGGTTTTAAATCTAGTGGGGGTTTCAAAGGTGTTTAAGAGGAAAGTGTAGTTAATATTAACTGAAAAGACTCTAAAATCGCTCCTAAATTAGTCACAACTATCGGTATTTTGATATTAGGAAATATTCCTAACCCTAAACCTCCGATAACCTGCAAGTCTGCATCCCGAAAGATATATAATTTTCTTAAGAAAATGACACAACTCTCCCCCATAGGAGCTCCATGTAGCCAAACATTGCCACTACCTTGACTGGAATTCACATTTTGTGGCCCAAGTGTTGTTGCCTCCCACTGCTCCCAGTGCTTCACCTCCACCTCCACCTCCCTCGAGTTGCGGGGCCTGTCGTTCAAACCGTCTCAAATTTTACTGACTTTGACAGGCCAGCAACTAACCTCCTTCTCCTCCACTACTAGTGCCACTCCCTCTCCCCAAAGGGGCAGCCGCTTTATATAGAGCTCTGGCAGTGAGTGTGCACTCAGTCAGAATTGTGCCTCGTAAATAGGATTCATCTCGCGACTAGACTCGCGACCAACTGCCTGACACGAAATGCAAAAATATAACTACGAAATGCACTGAGAAACTATAAAACCTACAAATAATCTATATAATTTAGATAGAGGTTTAGTTCTAAAATCTCTAATATTTTAATAAATGAATTAAAGTCAAATAATTGCGTTTAAATAGAAGGTTCATCTCTCAGTGTAGTCCCTCACTCAAAGGCGTTCTTAGACGGTGGATGTTGATGTTGGTAGTGCCTGCCAGTGCTAGTACTGGGAGCTGCCTCTGTTTTTCACCCAGACACTCAAGTAAATGGTCGGCTACCAACAGGCAGTCCTCCCAGCCCATCCCATCCCATCCCAACCCATCCATCTATCCAGCATTCATCCATACATCCATACAGAACAATTTTCGCCATGTCAGGCGGCAGCCAAAAGTGCGCTCATCTGCGGCTCGGTTTGGCAAAAGTTTCGAGTATCTCTGTGTGTGTGTTTGTATCTATGTCTGCTTGTCAATTTATCCTTTAGTTTCTTTTTCTATCCACCACCTCCACCTTCGCCCGCCAATCGGCTCCTTTTAGCTGCGTTTGTGGTCTGCCTTTGTGTGAAATTACCAAGTCTGTGTCTCGCTTGCTCCTTGCTCCCTGCTCCTTCCTCCTGACTCCATTCTCCTGCTAACTGTTTAATTAAAGACCACTGACGGGGAGGATTCGTGTCAAAGATATCTCTGGCAGCGGCTGTCAATCGTCGGCCAGATACTTTTGGCCAAAAGGACACTGTAATTACAAGACAACTGGCCCTTGATGAGCTGCGACCGTCCTTAAGGATTCCCTTTGTACCTTAATCACACTGAGGGTTTATTATTAAGAAGGATACTGTGTTTTTGTCTGAAACATTTATTAGATGACCTTTAGCGCTGATTTCATTATAATCTTTGATGTTTTTCGCCATTTTTGTTAATTAAACTCCTTTCAACATGTGAGCTTTGACAAATATTATATATTTTAGATCCACTCGACTTGAATTTAATTACAAAATTGAAATGAAAATGATGCGACACGGGCGCCAGATACAAAGTCAAGCTGAACACGGGATTATCCACAAAATGCGCCATTCATTTGTGCACACACGAGGTGCTGTTTTCCAACCTGGCACCCATCCTCCCTGCCCATCCTATCGCGGGTGCCAATCCTTTGGTCGCGATCCCTGCAAATCCTTTGGTGGCTGCCAACAAACATTGCCACGGCAACCGGCAACTCACAAAGGCAGCCACCGACTCGCATTACTCGTTGCCACGGCAGGAGGAATATATCACGGCGAACATAATCCCTCCATCTCCCATCTCATGCTCCTGGCCATGTTGTGACTCCTACTCTGGTGATGTGGATTGAATGGCAACTGCAGCTGCCAGCGGGGAGCCATCCAGCCCGATTCAAAGGAGATGAATGGATAAGGAGGGCCAGTAGGCAGGGATATGCAAGGGGCGCTTGTTGGATTCTTTCGCTTTTAGTTCTCCTGTCGATAATGATGCTGCAGATCGCTCCTCCTCCTCCACCTCGCGGGCTTGATGCTTATGTTCGCTTATCCTCCTCCCATAGCCCTGTCTGGCTATACTCTCCTTGAGGAGACAGATGACGAGGCTTGGCTTTTGTTTTCAAAACAATATAACTCAGTTAAGACTAAGGTCTAAGGTCTTCATCCTCGAAAGGGTATTCCTGAGACCATCATGCCCCACCAGGATGTTGTATCGTATTCCCTTTCGGTCTTCTTTTCGTGTTTGCTCTTCACTTGCATCTGCTGCTGGTGTCCGTCCCCCACATCCTTATAGCCCGACTCCTTCCTTTGTGGCCTTCCAGCTGCCTGGCAATATATGCAAATTATTCCTGGGAAGCTGCTAGCATCCTCCCCCTCGATTATGGACGCAGTTTAATACAATTTTCTTGAACAAAGTAAGAATTATTGGGCCATATGGTGAGCTCTCCGGTCAAAGGAGAAAATTAAATATCGAAGGATATTTAAAAGGATTTCCTCAATTGGCTGAACTCTTTCTAACTCCTGGAGCCTGCGGCTGGTTGCTGAAAGCCAGCTCCCAATTGAATTAAATACTTGTCGAGATTGTCATTGCCGTTGGCCAATATTTTGGATCTCAAAGTGGATCCACATCCACATCCAGAGCAGAGTGGAGTGGATAACCACTCGCAACCCTTGAAAGCCGAAAGATACAAAAGAGAACAAAAGAAATGAAAGAAAAAGATACACTCGGGCTCGAGATACAAGAAGTGCAAAGAACTCTCCTCCAGAAACTGGTTCTGGCCCAAAACCCAGAAGTGTGTCTCTGTATGGGTGTTCGGCGCTGGCAAGTGGGGGCTCTCAGCTGGTGTTTGAAAATGTGCTAAGTTGCCTCGCTTTTGTATGCAGAGGCCATGAAGGGCGGGGAGTCCAGAGTAAACAGCTTCGTGAAATGGCGGACAATTATGGGAGATGCGTTGAGCGGCTGGTGTCTGTAAGATACTCGGAGCAGTTGCCACTTTGGTCACGTACCAAAAAACGATTGCAGCTCCAGATATGAACACCAACATTCATACATACCCGCACATTCTTAATCTCATTTGGGTCAACTGTTTTAAACAAATATTAATTTCGTTTTCAGGAATATTGTCTCCTCCGGGTCCGTTTCTGACGCCCAGTCCATCGCCATCGATCTCAGCTAGCCCTCGTCTGCAACCATCGCCATCGCTGTCGCCGTTCCCACAGGATGTGGTGCTCGTAGCCGGTGGCAGTCAAGTAAACGCCAACAGCAATCCCCAGGAACACGTAAGTTGATGATCCTTAAATGCCTATCTCTCAAGGCCTATATCCTATATCCTTGCTAATAAACAGGAGCGCAAGGCGGCGACGCCTGGCAGGAGACAGTCCATCCATCAGTTCACCAATGGCAGCCCCAATGCTGGAACCGTCGTCTTCCAGCCCAGCCCATCCCAATCGCCGGCCGCTGCCACGACGGTCATCGGCGTGACCAGTGGTGGCCTGATAGCCACCGCCGGCGGCGGATCGGGTCTGAGCACCGGAGTAGGTGCTGGCAACAGTTCCGGAATCGGAGTGGGAGTGGCCCTGCACAGCAATGCCATTGGCAACGAGTTGAATGCCACGCTGGTGGGTTCCAACAACATCCAGCTCAACAAGGTGGGTTATCTCTTGGGTGTTTCAAGTCCTGATCCATTACTAAGGTCCCATATCCCTCTCATCCATTGCAGAAGGGCACTAAACGGGCCACCCAGCAGCAGCAGCAGCAGCAACAGCAGCTGGGCCATCAGATCTTCAGCAGCAACGCCGTTGCCCCCACCTCGATCAGCAGTGCCACGGCAGTGGGAGCCGGCGGCGGAGGCGGAGTCGGAGGCTATGGACAGCTCAATGCCACCGCCATCAGTACGCCCACCTCGTTCGCCACTGCTGGCAGTGTGGTCAGCAGCGTCAGCGGCAGCAAGGGCCCGGCCAAAGGCCAAAAGGGGCAGCAGCAGTTCCAGCACTACCAGAGCAGTAGTCCGCTGATAGCCGACAGCCCCATCCCGAGTCCGAGCGGGGCCATAACGGCGGCTGCCATCAAGCCGCCTACTCCGCAGCCCCAGCAAGTGCAAATGCTGCCGCAACAGTTCACCATCTCGCAGCAGCAGCAGCAGCCTGCCCAGCAGGTCTTTCAGTTCATCCAGGGCCCGCAGGGTCAGCTGATAGCCACCGCCCCGCAGCAGCAGCAGCAGCAGCCCCTTCAGCAGCAGCAGGCGCCGCAGCAGCAGCAGCAACAGCAGCAGACGCAACGGTTCGTCAGCAATGCGGGACTCTCGGGCCTGCCCACCGGCAAGACCGGCAAGGCGCCGCAGCAGATCCTGCCCAAGCCGCAGCAGGAGATCCAGCAGCAGCAGAAGAAGGTCGGTGCCGGCGGTGCAGGATCCGGAGGAGGGGCTCAGATCTCGCAGCAGCAAGCGGCCAGCAATCCCACCCAGCAACAGCAGCAGATCCTGCTGCCAGCCACCACCACACAGCCGCAGCAGTTGCTGCTCAACCAGATGCCCGTGCTGGTGCAGCAGAATCCGCAGGGAGTGCAGCTCATCCTGCGTCCACCGACGCCCCAGCTGACGGCGACACCCTCACTGGTCATCCAGCAGAACGCCCGCGGGCAACCCCAACTGCAGACACAGCCGGCGCAGCAGCAGCTGCTGCGAATAGTGGGCACCAATGGAACGACCATGCAGCTGGCTGCCGCGCCCACCTTCATTGTGTCCTCGCAGGCGAACCTCATCCAGCAGACGTCGGCGGGTCAGTTCCAGAACGCCATCAAGACGGGCACCCAGCTGACGGGTCTGCATGCGGCCCTGGCCCAAGCCCAAGCCCAGGCTCAGGCGCAGGCGCCACGATCTCAGCCGTTCGCCACGACGGCCACCTTGAACACCCAGCTCCTCGGCCAATTGCAGCTGGCGGCGGCAGCCCAGATCCAGATGCCCAATGGTCTCACCACCATCTCCCAGCTGCCGGCCCACCTGCAGCAGAGCCTGGGCGGCGCCACCATCAACCTCAACCAGCTGAATGGTGCGCACATCCAGCAGATAGCCACTGCCTTTCAGGCACCGCAGGCTCCAGGAGCGAGTGGTGGGGCCAACTCCAACACCGAACTCTTCACGCAGTCCTCGCCGGCGCATGTGCCGCTGGCCGTCACCCCAGAGCCCCTACGCCAGCCCACCCCGGTTCCCGTCCTGCAGCAGCAACAGCAGCAGCAGGCGGCCATGGCTACCATCCAGCTCCAGCAGCAGCAACAACAGCAGCAGCAGGCGCAGATCCAGCAGCTGCAGCACCAACTGCAGCAAACCCAGTCCCAGGTGCAGCAAGCCCAGCAGCAGCAGTCTGTCCAGGCGGCAGCGGCGGCGGAACCGAAGAAGAAGCCACGGCCGCGGAAGAAGAAGCAAGCTCCCGCCGTGGCGAGCACTCCCTCGTCTGGTAGTTCCGTGGAGGTGAACCAAACGACGCCCCCCAAGATAGCCATTGCCGCGGCGCCCGCGCCCCAAGCCGTGCGCTCCAAGTCGCCGTCGCCACCACCCACCACGATCCAGAGGAGTAGCAACGGAAAGCTGGATCTCGGCGATGTGATGAAGTTCTGCGGCATCACTGGCGACGATGACGACGACGAGGACTACTCCATAGGTCTGGAAACGGCAGCGGAGCCTGCCGAGCCCACCCAGTCGCAGTCGCAGCCGCAGGCGTCGTCCAGCGACATCATGATCTCCATACCGAACCAAAACGGCAGCGATGGCCTGCCCTTCACCCTGACCATTCCCGCACCGCAGCCTCTGCAGCAGACTACGGCGACGTCGGACACAGCCACCGAAATACCAAATATCCTCATCAAGATCGATCCCAGCGCCGATGCGGCAGTGCCTCCGTTCGGACTGTCCACTCCGCGCCTGCCCACCGCCGAGGAAATCCAGAAGCAGGCGCAACAGCATCTCGCCCAGCAGGCGGCTGCCGCTGCCGCAGCGGCCAAGGCCTCCAATGCCACGCCTACCATCAGCATCAGCCTGCCTAGCATGTCGTTACAGCCCCAGGTAGTGCCCACACCCATGGCCACGCCCACTCCGCCCACACAAGCAGCCGGATCGGTGGCCGCCTCCACCACGGCGGCAGTGAAGCCGAGAAGGAAGCCAGCCGTGCGGAGGAACACCAAGAAGCCGGATGCGCCGAACAGCGGCAACAACACCATGATCTCCTCCAGCAGCAGCAACAGCAGCACCACTCCCACCATCATATCCAGCAGCTCGCTGCCCACTACGGTGAACACCATCACCCTGACCACACAGTCGCCGGCGACGAGCAGCAGCAACTCCACTCTGATGCTGACCCACGGAACGGCCACTGCGGTGCCCAGCCAGATTGGCAACATCCAGATCTCACAGGTCCAGAACCACAGCCAGTCCGCCTTGCCCGTGAGCAGTGCGGTGGAGAACAAGATCCAGATTATGCCGATCCTGCCGCCAGGAGCCACTGTGATGGGTGGAGCACCAGGAGGAGCAGCCGCCGGTCAAGCGCCCACCTCGCAGCCAACGCAACTGGTTTTCCAGTCGACGGCGCCCACGATCAACGCGGAATCCACGTCCATCAAGCTCTCCACCGACGGCAGGCAGATGCAACTGGTGACCATTCCCCAGGCCACCCCACCACCAACTCCGGCCGCTACCCCAGCCAGTGCCACCCAATCGGGAGTGACCACCACTCCCACTCTTACGGCAGGAGGTGCTACGATCCTGCCGCCTCAGCTGACGGGAATGCCCGCCAACGTGTCGGTTTCCGTGGGATCACCTGCCTCGGCGGCAGCTCTGGTGCCCCAGCTGACTGGCAGTCTGACCCTCACCGTCTCGGAGCAGTGCGAACGCCTGATCCTACGCCACGATCCCAACAATCCGCAAGACCACCAGTCGCAGCTCATCCTGCAGGCCCTGCTGAAGGGCGCTCTGCCCAACGTGACCATCATCAACGAGCCCACGCGCGTTGATCCCAGCAAGCAGCCCACTATGCTCCAGCCACAGCAGCAGGTGATCCAGATCCCGCAGGCACAGACGCAGGTTCAGGCTCAGGCGCAACTGCAGCAGCAGACGTTGTCCAAGGTTTCATCAGCTCCCAAGATAGAAGTTAAAGGTAAGACCCGGCTTAGCCCATCTCTTGTCCATTTGCATCCCCTATTCATTTCCAAATCGAATCTCCATTGCAGTTACCAACAACAGGAAGCTGACAGCCCATCCGGCCAGTAGCATGCTCGGAGGTACGGGCACCACCACCACCACCACGACGATGAAGCCACCGGCCACGTTGCCAGCCAAGCCGAACGAGGTGCTGTCCTTCCCCACTCTGCCGCTCAACTCGCAGGTGGTTATCCAGCAGCAACCCCTGGCTCCCGGCCAAGTGCAGTCCCAGCTGCAGCCAGTCACCGTGCCCGTCACTATTCCCGCCCAGCCAGCCACCATATCGGTGCCCATGCCCGTGCCAACTCCAGCGCCAGCCCCGGCTCCCCAGCTGGCCAACAGCGGCCAGCAACGGTACATTGCACTGCCGCCCATCGATCCCACCACCCAGCAGCTGTTCTGCCTGAATAGTGTCACCAACCAGATCACGGCCATGAGTGCGGGCCAGACGGCGGCCTCGATTGGGCCCACGGAGCGGTTGTTGATCGCCCCGGCGGGCATAAACGCCCAGCAGTTGGCCCAGTGCCTGCAGTTGGGTCAGCTCCACTTCAACGACGTCAACCCGCTTCCAACCCAGCAGCAGCAAGTGGCCGTCTCCGGAGGCACTTCGTCCTCCTTAACGCTATCGGTGCCACTCCGCCCGCAGCCACCCCAGCAGCAAATAGTGCATCCCATCCAGCCGATCAGCAACGGACTGGCAATCACGACCACTGCCAGTTCCACGCTGACCACCACCACCAGCGCCATCACCACCACCACCACAACGGTGACCAAGCAGGTGGCCAACGTGGCGCCGATCATAGATCAGAGTAAGGCCAAGTTGGAGCCGGCGAAGGCGGCCACCAGTGGAGCAGGTGGCGGGGGAGGAGCTGGCACTGGGGCGGTGGTGAAGAAGAAGCCTGTGCGGAAGCCAAAGGCCACGCCCACCAATGCCTCGGAGCTGGCCAGCTTGAAGAACGCCAGTGTGGTGAAGCCCATGCCCAAGCTGGACCCGCTCTCGCAGAAGCCCAACAACAATCCGGTGCAGATTGTGCAACCGAATGTTGCGAGTGGCAAGCAGATGATTGTGGTGGGCAGCTCCAGCTGCAGTCAGACGACCACAACCACCACCACCACCATGAGCAGCAGCATCCAACCCTTTCAGACGACGAGTGGCACGAAGCTGGTGGGGGTGACGGCGCCCATGCAGCAGCAACAGCCAACGGCGGCGCTACTTCAGCAACAGCAGCCCAGGACCAGCTTCACGGTGACCACGGCCACGCCCTCACCGTCGCCCACAGCCGCCCCTGTGGTCAGTGGTCTGCAGCTGCAGCAGGCAACCCAGCCCCTGCAGCAGCAACAGTTGCAGGTGCAGCAGCAGCAGTTGCAGACTCCAAAGCAGCCACAACCACAACCGAACACGGTGTCCCGGGTGCAGACCATCCAACTGACGCCTCAAATGCAGCAGGTCTTCAAGCAGGTCCAGATGCAGATCCAGTTCCTCACCATCAAGTTGCAGAACAAGTCCAGTTTCCTGCCCGTCTCCCCGGAAATCGACGCCTCAACGATTGCCGCCTACAACAAGCCCATGACCGACGTGGAAATCCATCTGGCGCTGCAGCGGCTCTTTGCCGAGCAGCACAGGATTCTGGCCTCCGGCAAGGAGGTGCCCACGCCGGAGGGCATGCTGCCCACGGCGAACGGCAATGGGTTCACGCTGCTGCCACAGCCAGTGCAGCAGCAGCAGTTGCAGGCGTCCCTGCAGGCAGCAGAACCGCTGAAGTCCACAGTACCCGCCAATGTGGTGCAGCCGAACAATCACTCCTCCACCACTCCGGCGGCTGGGGGAGCTTCGGTTGTTGGAGCTGCAGGGGCTACCCAAAGGATCCACATCTACCCCATGCAGCACCAGCAGCAGCAGCAGCCGGCGGGCAACAAGCAGCAGAAGCAAGTGCAGCAGAAGGTGACGCAAGAGCAACCGTCGCAGCCATCGCAGCTGCAAATAAAGCCCAAGGACCCAGCCAACAGGAACAAGGCCAGTAGCCAACAGCAACCACTGAACCCACAGCCACAGCAGCAGCAACAAAATCAAAATGGGGGCATCACCATGCTGCCCCAAAAGAGCGGCATGTTGCCGGTGGTGCAACAACAACCCCAACAGCAGCCGGGTGGGTTGAACAAGAGCGGGCCACCGCCCTTGATCTTTGCCAGCTCCACGAACCTGCTGAACAACACCAGCAATGGCAACAGCACCAGCAGCACCATCCTCAACAGCAACTCGGTGATGCAGGTGAACAATATGCTCTCCATGCCGCCCCTGCAACCGCAGCAACAGTTGCAACCACAGCAGCAGCAGCAACCGCCGCCACCCACACCGATCCTGCCACCTGTGGCTGCCTCGTTGGGGGTGGGAGTTGGAATAACGCCAGGAGCGATTGGATTGCCTTCGTTGCCGACGATACCGAGCCTGCCACTGTACATGCCGGGCAAGCTGGACGAGATTCCGACGCAGAAACCCAAAATAGCACGCCTCTCCTTGTGAGTAGTTGGTTGAACAATGCCGATTTCCTGTGAAGCGGCCAACTGGATTGCAGAACTAGCAATGCACCATCTGAGCTGGAAACTAATACTCTTCTTTTCGCAGATTCGTGCGCCAGCTGGAGGTGGATCAGGAGAGCTGCCTGAAGCCGGACTATGTGAAGCCCTTCCGGACCAAAGACGAGGCAGTGAAGCGGCTGATCAGGTAAAGTGGAGACTTCATTAAGAAAGAGTATCTATTACTAAGTATCTACTATTATTCAGATATCATTGCATGCATGAGAACGATGTGGAGTTGCACTCTGACGAGGACGAGGAGTTCGAGGCCACTGCCCTGGAGTTCCAGGACAAGTTCCGACAGCTCAACGGCAAGTTCCAAGAGATCCTAATGCAGGAATCAACAGTAAGTTCTTAGCAACTAATCTCAAGGATTGTTTATAAGACACTTCCTCTCTTTTTAGCTGCCACACCGCACCTCGGAGCTGCTGCAAATGCAACAGCTGATGATCGATGACCTCAAGGGCGAAATCAACGACATCCGAACTGCAGAGAAGGAACTGGAACAGCAACTGAAGCTGGAGCAGAACAGCGAAGCCCCCTCCACGCAGGAGAGCGACGCCCAGTCCGAGGCCAAAGTCAAGGATGAGATCAAAGAAGAACCTTTTGAGAAGTCAGCCCAGTCCGAGTCGGTGGTGGACAGGTTCGATCTGCTGAAGAACAGTGCCGATGTCAACAAGGCCTTCAGCAAACCGACGCCACAGGACCACAGCTCTGCCGTCAAGCAGGAGGAGAAGAGCGGAGGTGGTGAGCCGGCAGTCAACGGAGATGGCCAGGAAAAGGAGTCTTCGAAGTTCATAAAGAAGGACTTTGATAACTTCGACATCGAGTCTGAGCTGACCACCAGCTTCATCATGAAGAAGGTGGAGCACAAGTCGGAGGCACCACCCAAGAACGTGGAGAATTGCTACCAAGAACGCAGTGTTCTGGAGCAACAGCCGTCGCAGCACCAACCACAGCAACATATCAAGGCCAATAACCTGGAGCAAGTGGACCAGGAAGACGGCTGGTACTGCCTGCAGAAGGAACTGAATCTGATGAACAATGAACCCCTGCAGCAGCAGCAGCCGCAGATGAATGGCAACCAGCATCACATGGCCATCAATCGTCCACCGCAGCAGCAGCAGCAGACATCACATTACATGGACAACTCTAACACTGGAACCATGATGAACAACAGCAACCACATTGGAGATCTGTTTCCGAACGGCTGCATCGACAAGAGCAACCAGAGCACCAGCAGCAGCAACAGCAGCTGCGCCAGCGACAACCACGGCGTGAAGAACAACTCGTCGTGCAGCGGGCAGCGGGAGCAGCCAGTGGTGATGGACGCGGAGCAGCAGAACCAGCATCCGGCGATCAGCGAGTTCTTCAGCAGCGACTCGGATGTGCAGAAGTCGGTGGAGAATCGGCTGGAGGCCATGTTCGGGGAGTCGCCCGTGCATCTGGATGTCAAGAACGGCAGCGATGCTCACGACATCGAGTCGAACCTGGACGAAATCTTCGGCGATTCAAAGTCGCCAGCCACCAACCACAAGACCAAGATGAACATGTGGGTGCCCGATGCCTCGTTCATGCAACAGCAAGCGGCGCCACAACACCAGCAGACGACCCAGTTCTCTGGCTCCCAGCAGCAGCAGCATCACATCGAGCTGAACTGCGACAACAACCCGCGCTGGATGCAGAGCATGGAGGCGCACTACAGCGACTTCATGACCACTAGCACCAGCAACGGCGAGCTTGTCAATGGAGACTCGCGCAAGCGGAGCTGGATGGGCTCGGGCAGCGACCTGGAAGACGACAACAGCAGCAAACGGCTGTGCACGGCGTCCTCGTCGTCGTCCTCCTCGCCAATGTCCTCCCAGCAGCAGCAGCAACAGCAACATGTGCCGGTTCCACTCTTGGATGCTGACATGCTGCCCACCGGCTTCCCGCAAATGCTGATGGACCAGCAGCAGCACCAGCAACAGCAGCAGCACAACTTCACCTACGGCAACATGATGGACCAGCAACAGCAGCAGCACCCCCAGCAGCAGCACTTCCAGCACAACATGCAGCACCAGATGCAACACCAACAGCAGCAGCAAATGCAGGTCAACCACATGGGCGGAGCTGCGGGGGCCGAGTACGATGACGACATCAGCAGGCATGTGGCCAGCGCCATCGACAGCATTCTAAACCTGCAGAACAGCGGCGACTCCCTGCAGTTCTCTCTGGGATCCATCCTGGGAGACAGTATTCTGGAGGATCAGAGGCAGCCGGGTAACTTGGCGAGCTGCCAGCAGGAGCAGATGGTGAATCAGCGACGCCGGCAGATGGGCGACGAGATGAACGACTGCCTGATCAGCGGCGGTGGGTCGGGAGCGGGCAGCAGTAGTCTTCTGCTCGAGCACCACCACCAACAGCAGCAGCAGCAACAGCACCAGATGATGCAGGGTCACCAGCAGCAGGCGCAGCACATGCAACACCATCACCACCACCAGAACATGCAGACCATGTCCCAGTCCCAGGCGCAGCATCTGGGCCAGCTGAATGACTTCAGCTGCGGCCTGGACGACCCAGTCAAGTCGATCATGACGTCCTGACTTGGAGTAGGAGTTCCAGCGACCGCGTCGGCGGCAGAGAACGCCTCCAACAGCTTGATCCTAGAGTTTAACGCCACCACACTGTGAAAGGCGGCGGAGAGACACGAGTCCCAATTGTATAGCGAACCGAATTAGTTTTCCCGATTTTGATATTGTTTACCCCCTTGAGTACAACCTTTTATTAGACCTTAGCATAAATTGTTTTTAATTATTGTTTGTATTGTTTAGTCCAATATTTGTACAATGTTTTAAGCCACCTTCCGATTATCCAATTAATGCCCAGAGAAGTGGGAGGAGAGAGAGTAGTAGCAGTGCGACAGATCCCCAATAAAGCCAAGAGAGCAATTGACGTGGTGAATTGAAAACTAAACGACGAATAGCATCAAATGCTTCTCATAACATGAGTTACCCTAAATCGAGAGAACCTAATTAATTACAGTAACTAAGTGAACGGAGAGCCCTAGACAATTTATTTAAATGAAACCAAGAAATGTACGTAAGAGTGGTTGAATCACGCGCACAGGATAGGGAATACGAATCGGTTGTATAATTCATAATTAAGTTACTTGAAGCAATTCTGAGAAACAATTCAAATCATGTTGCCAATTTTGTTGTCGATGGAATATCAGACAGAGCAATTAAGCCGCATCCGATCGATTTATACAATTCCAGATAATATATATATATATAGGTATATATATTTATTGTAAATAGTTAGAGCATGCATCAGATTCAGTCATGAACTGTCCGAGGAGATTGAGGATTATATATATATATATATATAGCTAAGCATTTTTAAAGAGGAGAGAGGTGGATATCATTTAAAGCGCTTTACGTACGACTGCTTCTGATATTACAGACAAACCTAAAGAACCTAAAACCTAAAACCTAAACATAATAAACCTATTGACGTGCTCAATTCGAGAGTAAAGAATTTTCGGCATAGCTACGGGTGTCATTGGAAAGAATATGCAAAGATCTTAGGGATTAACGAGTACCAACTATGGCAAACTACGAAGCAAACCAAAAGCAGTTCAAAAATCACAATTTTAGCCAATTTAGTTTAAACATTTATAAATTATTAAATCTAAATATAATATCTTATACACTTAACCTGGATCGATTGAGAGGCGATTTGAGGCGTCGATTAAAGGACGATAATGCAGGAGAAACCACAAAAGCAAAAACAAAAATAATTAACGAATCGTATCAATTGTATCTTGATCTTGCGACAAATCTGACTTGTGATTTGTGCCACGTTTTAAATATAGATGTCTGACTAGCTTGTAAACCTACATAATAAATACGATTTAAATCTAAAACAAAGCCCCCCACTCAGTAAGTCCCTACCGCAGGTCGCGGTGTTTGGTGTTTGCATACCAATTACGATACTAATACTTTAATACCACCACTAACAAACAAACAAACCAACAAACATACGAGAAACAAACACAACAAACTACACACACAAAACCTACTACAATACGTACTATCGTGGACGGATTGCTTGTATTACGCGTAGTCAGTAAGGGAACTTCAAGAGGTACCATATTTTAAGAAGTGCTTCAGGCCACGCATCCATGACCCCCTAACCCCATCCAGATCCCAGATCTCCCCCTCATCCCATAGCCTGCGTCCCGTATGAGTAGCATGATCTTGAACCTTTGTTTGAAACTTTCTAGTTATTATTCAAAGACAAATAACGCTCGTGTAAAAAATGTACATGTAATAGCATAATTTAAGTTGGCAATCCAAAACTGAATAAATGTAAATCTATGAATAGATTATTTATGAGAGGAACTGTTTTAAGTTGTATTTAGAGAACGAAATCGAGCTCAGATATCGGAAGGCGCCCCCTTCCCACATCACCTTTTCCAACCCAGCCAGCCAGCCACACCACAGATCCACAAATCGCAGTGTCATTTCAATTGTTCAGCTAAATGTGTCTAAATGTAATTTAACATCAAATGAAAACTAAAGATTTTTAAACAAAACATTGTGAGTTTTAATTAATAAATATAAAAAGAAAAAACAAAACAAAAACATCATCATAGGGAGAGAGAGACAGAGCAAAGCAAAAGAAACAACTTTAATATTTGATAGTTTATTAAGCCCATCCATTCATAGTCGTCATAAACATTAAGTAAATAAAAACCAATACAAAACGATTCAAAATAAATCTCACTGAAACGCAACAAAAACCGAAAAAGCCCAACTGAAAAACGGAAACTAAATAAATGGAAATGCAATCAAAGTTCATGCATTGGCGTTTGTACTGGGAAAGAGAAAATGTTCTTAGGCAAATAAAGAAAAATTCCATACAATTTTAAAAACTATTGAATTTTATTATCGGTTCTCCTCTTCTGATGCAGGTAGGTTTGCATACCCACAGCATTTGCAATTGTGAGATTCCTTCGTTTCTGCGTAGCTCACACAAATCAACTTTGTGCCGAGCGCAACTGAGTTTCTAATCAATATCTTTCTAACATAAACATACACATTCAACTACAAGGATAAAACCTGATGTTTGGCTCTATTAATGCTAGCGGATAATGAGATTTGTTAGCAATGGCCCAATATCAATTTACGGGTATGTGCTTAGAGTAGAAAATAAATAATTACAAAGTAAAAGTTATCAGTTCGCAGGATATTTTACAGCCAACCACCGTCGTTGGCATTGAAATGGTGTTTACATTAATCCCTAGAATAGATCGATTTTTGTCTACATTGAATTGTTGGGGTGGGAAAGAAATACATTACAATTTCTAATGAGGTTAGGTAAGTAGATAGTTTGGGAAATTAAGAACAGACTTGAAGCTTAGAGCTTTTTTCAATAGAACATCACCCCTACGAATTACAAATGAACTACAAACTGGACAAATCGACCCATCCCAAGGTTGGGCATTGCTTCATTCGATTGACCAACTGAGCTTAGCCTAACCCTAAGCTTAGTATTTGGCATTTGCGCTAAAGTACAAGTACAAGTAAAACGATTGTTGCAGCCTAAATTTGCCGACAGCGTTGTTTCCATTTGCCCAACTAGGTTGGGCCGACCTCGTGTTGGAGTCGCTTATAAGTTAGTTAAGTCTTGAGCGAATAGACCGGCAGTGGATGGCCCTCCGAGTTGAAAACCCATTGCTCCAGGTCGATTTCCTTGCGGTTGTCGCTGAACAACAAGTAGAAGTACTTCAGAGTTTCGCTTAGCCAGAAGCTCTCCATCAGATCACGCATGCGTGTGTTTTGAGCGTTTTTAACGTTGCCCAGCGAGGTGTAACCAGCATTGACCTTTGTGTGGGTCTCAAATGCCTGGAAGATGGTCCAGCCCATATCCTGGTAAGTGCGGTTGCCCGTCAGGGCATAGAAGTAATAGAGACTCTCGATGAATTCCGGCCGCAACAGGTTGTGGGCATCATTCGGTTTCACATAAATATCCTGATCGTCCTTTTCTGTGAGCGCAAAGTAGGATATTTCGGCCGCCAAATGGGTGGGATTCATCATGTACGTTTGATAGCAGGTGTCCATCAAGTCCCTTGCGAGTATCAGATGCGAATCCGGCATGCCGTTTTGGTGACCCAGCAGCAAAGTTCCCGGCAGGTAGCACGTCAGATGATCCATTTTGGGCTTGAAATCTTTGCCGTTAATGAGTTCGCCAATGTAGACCCAGTGCTCGCGGGGAGTCCGACGCATCAACTCGGTTAGCACTCCGTCAATAGCTTGCATGTAATCCAAGATAAGACTGAAACAAGCAGAGGATTGGTTTAAGTTTAGTTCCTAATTAGTGCACTTTTCTAAGCACTACTCACATGTCATTATCTTTGCGGCCTGTTTGAATCCATTGCTTCAGTAGATACTCATAGTAGGAGTCACCACGCGCTCCCAGCGAAATAGTTGCATAGTTCCGGAATGTGCCTGTATTGGCATTGATGAATATGGGCACTAGTCCGTGTTTTTTATCGAGTTCATGCACTTTTTCATTAACAGTGTGGGCGACCTACAAATTTTAAAGATATTTATACGAATTCTAAGATATATAATCATAGTTCTTACTTGTTCATATATTGAAACGTTTGTAGAGCGACTTAAATCACGGAACTCCAGCTGAATGGTGGTTACCTCGCTGGTGGAACTGTCGGGCGACCACTTCGGGGAGTGGGCTGAGAGATCGCCGAGATTTACATCCGAATAGGGAATACCCGAAGGAGACGAAAAGGCAGGCAACAAGCGATTGCCCAACTCGGATGCCTTGGCCAGGAACATTGTATCGCCACTTAGATGATAGGCAGACAGGAGTCCACCAAGCACTCGAATGGTTACCTCGAAGAGATTTACGTCACGCTTGGTATCAAAGCGCAATGAATTTTCCACCCAATCGCGGGCCTCTTTGAACTCTGCATAGAAAAGTGATAAAATGAGTGATACTAGGCTGGATATCAAAGACAATACAATAGATATCAAGTAAGTAAACAACTTTTCATTTCTGGCATTCTGCTCAAAAACATTCTTGCTTATTTGAACAGCTTTAACAGTACTCACCATCATCTAGTCCCATTATATACATGGTATCTAAAGAATCAACAATGCTCAGACCTAGGCCGAACCATTCATGAGAGTACTGCGAGATGGGTTTCAGGTTGTCATGGCCCCAGGCGTACTTCTTGTAGCCTGCCCAGGAGTGCTTAAAGGCGGCCACCACCGCCGATTGTCGCTCGTTGGAAGCTCCATGGAAGTGCTGACCCTTCGCCAGGAGAGGACGAATCTTGTGCAGATGCTCCTTAAAACTAACACCTCCAAGATTCAGCGGATTCTTGATAGCCAGGTCGAGTTGCTCCTTTTCGCCCAGCGGTTCACTTGGCTGCTGGTCAAAGGGTTCCACATTGTTAAGAATATCAATGCCACCTAGATCCTGATCCTTGGTATTGTCGGGTGCCGGCAAGGCCACAGCATGTGGAAGGTCAACCGCCACCGTCTCCGGTAGCCGGACGACGTTCTCGGCAGAGTTCGCTTCGGCGTACGCCTCATTAAACTGAAATTGATAAATATCGTTAACAAATTAAAAGGAAATATGAAATAATAAATCAAAGACCAAAATAGGCACTGTTATCTTAATGGCCCAATAGCTTATTGAACGCCGAGTGCCGTGACAATTAAGTACTTATCAATTATGTTTATAGACCCGGCCACTTACCTTATCATTTTCCACCTCCCGACGGATCGTCTGCTTATCTTCCAAAACCGAAGCCGGGGGAGCAGGCGAGGCTTCGGCTTGGTCCTTGTCTTTTGAGGGGTGATGGTGTGGATTCTGTTGCCGCATATGATAGGACGCCACCATGGGTAGCTTTTCCTCCGAGTCCTTGAGACTGGAGGCCATCAGCTGATCGCCACTGAGGCATAGAAGTACCGTCACACAGAAGGCTGTTATGCCCAAAATAATGAGATTACGCTGACAACGCGGCAGCTGATTCCAAGCCTAAAAAAAATGGAATGTGAAAGTGTATGTTTTGAGCCTCTCCGGGCCAATTTTTACCCGCCGTAAGCTCTTCCTGCCCCGCTCATCAACAGAGCCCGTCGGAAGTGTGAGTGTTATGTGACCGCCGTCCTTCATGGCTCCGCTCCAAGTACTGCCGAGCTCAGAATATGAGCTGCTGTGGTTTTACTGTGATAAGTTGGAATGTGGGAAATTCCACAACATTCGCTTCGAATAAAAATCGATGCCTGTGTAATCCGCCGCCAACGAAGTGGGTTCCTGCTAACTAGGCCGCGGGTAATCCAGCCACCGGGCCGCTTCACTTCTTAAACATAGCTAAAAACCTACAACTATAAAACTAAAGTGTATTTGTTCGGAGGACTCTACGAAAATTACAAATAAATTCTAAAATTATTACTGCGAGAGCTGCATGGCTAAAGACTATCGATAGGCAGGGCTGCAACATTTACGATGTCTTCACCTAATTATCGATACTCCGCTTAAAAAGTAACGAAAAATTCAAAATCTGGAAAATGAGTTCTTCAAATCATCTAATAATTATTAAAGCTCTCCTTTTTTAATATTTTTTCTTTGTTTTTCTTAGTAACGCGTTGGAATATCTTGCCTGGGCAGATGGTGAATTTGAATTGTTTCTATCACAATTTGTATCCAAGTATTTGCAGGTCGTAGACTATTTATCTTGGTGGTTCTCAGAAAAGAGTATACATAGATAACTTTTTGCTCCAATTTGTTTTGCAAATATCTTTAAAAAAAAATCATTTATTGATAAGATACAAATTAGACCGACGGAATCATCGGGTACATGCATTTATTAAACGAAAGTAGTTACTCTCATTGTCGCTTTGAATTCGAATATTAATATTATTCTATTTTTATTATTTTTATAATTCAGAATTTTATTTTTTTTTTTTTTTCTAACTTAAAGCTTCAAACTGCATAAAAATATTGTTCAAATCGCATAATACAATTTTGGGTTCATTTGTGGCCAACAATATGAGGATACCCCTTTGAAAAATGGAAAAAAACAGGTCATATTTTAGTTGGTCAGTTTTAGTTGGTCGAAGTTATAAGACCGGGAAGGCATAACATTCTTCGATCCGACAAGGATAAGCCAAGTTATAGCTATTTCCCTGAAAATTATCGAGGCGGAAAACCTCTTGACCAAGTTAAGACAGTTGATGGCCAAAATATCATATTTTAAGTCGGTTTTTACTAAATATTTTAGCCATTTCGTAACGGATATCGAAAAGGAGTACCATTTACGTTTCAGGGAACTTAGTATCGTCGAACTGCATCAAAATATTGTTTAAATCGCAAAATAAAATTTTGGTCTCATTTTTGGCCCAAAATATAAGGATACCCCTTTAAAAAATTGAAAAAATCGGGTCAGATTTTAGTTGGCCAGGCTCATTTTTGGCCAAAAATATGAGGCCAAATAAATATGATACCCCTTCGAAAAATTAAAAAAATCGGGTCAGATTTTAGTTGCCCAGATTTTGATTGAAAATGATGCTATGCCTTTCGGGACTGCAACAATAATATGAGATCCTGCAAAATATTAATAAATAATAATAATTAGTCCCCGTAATCACTCGTTAATAAAACAGTAAATGGCTTAAATCAATACGTTTAATATCAGCTTGGACCTTTGACACATTATTTTTAATAGGAATAAAGTAATGAAGTCATTTTAATAACGAAACTGGTTCAGTTTACATTCGCATTCGTTGTAGTTAACATTTGTTTCGAGAACTCAAATACATAATACATTTAAACAGGAATTAAAAGTTGTCCAAAGATAACCCTTCAACATTAATTTCGGGATATAAGAATAGCAGTATTGCATAGTATTGCCGGAGGACTATATTCCGCTTCTATGACATCCATTCGGACACATGGGTGTTCAACACACACATGTCCATTATTATCGTTTGGCGTAGCAGGCGTTACACACCCGCACCGTCTTGCCCTTCTGGCCCTGGGCATTGAGCATTGGAAGGGTGTGGTCCGAGCAGGCCTTGCAGAAGATCTCCCCGCAGCTCCGGCAGTGATGCTTGCGTCGCGTCAGATTGAACTCCCGCTCGCAGGCTGTGCAGTGAGTGGCAATGTTGTCCGGTGTCCAGATGCTTGGAGTGTCCACGCCCTCAACCGTGGCCTGCAGAGACTGGGCCGAGCCTGAGAGTAGCTGGCCGCGAAGGCGCTCCTGATCCTGCATCTCCGATACCTTCAGCCTGCTCACACTAAGCTGAATGCCCAGCTCCTCCAGAGTGGTTTGTGCCTCGGACCACTGAGTTCGAGCCTTTTCCAGATCAGCCTTCAGTTTGTTATTTCGCTCCTTCTCCTCGGCCAGCTCCTTGAGACAGCTCTGCAGGGAAGCTATTTTCTCTTTAAGCTTCAACTCCTTTTCCTGCAAGGATATGCGCCATTCCCGCTCGATTCGGTTTTCGGCCTCTGCCCGCGCCGCTCGCTCCTCGCTGGCAGTCACCTGTGTGGTTAGGGTTTGTGACGTGTTCTTTAGGATCTCACCCAGGTTGCTCTTGTCGTGGTTCCATCTATACAAAAAATATACAAGAGAAATTGATAATATATTTGCTATTTCACAAAAGTATCTTAATGAGAAGATTTCCAAGCTTGTCCGAATAATTAATAAATATTTTAGAACCCCTATTGCATTTCTTGATATAGAAACTATAATCTGGATTATAAAACAATAGAAAAAATGAAATGAATAAATCAGGAACTTATTACCCTCAAGTGCACAATTGTACCCGGATTCTATGAACTAGTCCAAACAATACAGACCCCCGAAAAAAGCCAAGACATATCTTAGTTTCCCCCTGATTTATATGAGATTTCTTTGTCAATATATATCTTCTTTGACTATTTTTTTTCTTCAATAAAGCTCCTATGGATATACTATTTATAAGAAATCTATGTGAAGTTCTGAACTCGATCAAGCTATAAGTTCTCTATATCTTATCCTATAAAGATGAAAGATCCTGAAGTTCTTCCAATACCTCTGACTAGACCCCATTCCCAAATAAAGTAAACCCCATGCAGGCATCTTACTTCTGCTCCAGCTGGGCAATAATATTGCTCATTTCCTCCTTCTGGAGCTCCAGTTTGTCCATCAGCTCGGTTTTGTGCGTCAACGATGCCTTGCAGTCCTGCCAACGAAGAAAATAACAGATGTACCAGCGTTGAAAATATCCTTTATTGAAATGACATTGTTAGTCGTGAGATAAATGAAAAACTGCGGGTTGGGATTAGTTTTATTTTTGTTCTGGGATCTATTTCAGAGTAGAATAAGAGTAATATAGGCTGATGCTCCAACGCGTGTATAGTTACAGTTTTACAGATAGATTCATATATTCCATATAGTCTCAATATTTATTTATATAATTACAATACTTGTATTTGACTAGGCTGAGTGTATAATTACAATATAAGCGGTTGCGTGGGTATTTCATATGTACATACATATGTATAATAAACATCTGAAGCCTCCTAATCGCACTATACATATATACATACATACGTCTTGTTTTCAATATAATCTTGACTATAATCTCGAATATGATCTCAGTATACGGGGTCTCTGGGTACATAATTAAGCTAACAGTATGGTTACAATGATAATTTAAAACCTTTAACAATTTCATTATTGCTATTCTCTAAACTTCTAGAGGATCTGGTCTAGGAGAAGTCAAGGCATTCTATATGGTACACAGATGGTCTATAGGGCTTTAAAATTGTGATAAGCATTCGCTTTAATATATCCTTGAGGCACCTTGACATGGACTTTGAGTGCGAGTCTAGGTCTGAAGGAGCGATAGGGGCCGGTTACATTTTTTATTTGAAATTAAGATGGAAGTAGGTATTTATTACGATGCTTATTATTATCCAGATGAAAACTATTTTATTTATTATGAGAAACAAGTTAAGGAGCTTCAATCCGGTAAACATTAAATATAAATGCATAATTTTGACGATTTAGGCACTAAATTAATTTCATAATGCTTTAAACCTTAAACTTAACTTTTAAAATGGGGATCTCTGGTAATGAGTTCAGATTGTTAATTGAAAAAATCCATATCTGGCCGGTTCAACAGAGAATCTTATGCTACAGTCATTACAGAGTATTTAGGTATCGGCTGGAGATTTCTGCTCCCGACACAAGACATAGTCGCTTTGGGATCCATCGCCTCCAAAGTGCTGGGTCACTGCCGACGCCGCTTCGGCCAACTCATCGTTCAGCGACTTGGCGGATGTGGGCGTCTTGGGCTCCTTGCCATCTCCTGGGGGATCCTGGGGTATCGGGGCATCCGGCTGACGTGGGGATTTCCTGTACTTGCTAGGATCGAATGGCGGAAAGGGATCCATCTTGAGGTGAAGCCGCTTCATGGGTGGGCCAGAGTCATGTTTGTGCTTCTTGGTGAGCGCCTCGAACTTCTCCAGATTCTGCTGTCGCCGCGTATTGGGTGACCGATCTCCGCCAACGGCTCCGCCCCCAGCTCCAGCCCCTGACCCGGCACCCGGTCCATGGTGGTGGTGCTGCTGCTGCTCGACAAGCTTCGATTCGTACTTCTTTTCTAGCGATTGTAAAATGTTACCAATTTGTGAGGCTTTCGTTTGCAGGCGCGATACCATCTCGCCCTTTTGTGTGAGTTCATCTTCACATTCCTGGTTGAATTTTAGACGGGGATTATGTTTTGACTTGACTTTTCAGCTTTCAGCCGAATTGCTTAAAATTAATGATTAAATCATAAAAAAACAAACTTAAGTTTAAACCGAAAACGAAAGAGAAACTAAAGGTACAGACCAGATGAGTGGATGAATGTGGGCAGATGAGTTGTGAGTGTAAGAATGAAGGTTAAGTCGGTTTGTTAAAAAAGGGAGTATATCATGGCATATACATTTTTTTACAAATCGACCCAACCAGATGATATGGAATGTGATAATACCCACCTGGAGCTTGCGATACATTTCGAGATTAATCTGCTTGATGTCGTCCAGTTGGCGGCGCAGGGAAACTATCGTGTCCTGCTTCTCGTGTATGTCCTTCTCCAGCAACTTCATGGCCATGTCCGACTCCGCCTTGAGGGACACCTGCAGCTTCAGTTCCTTTTCCAGTTCGCTGTTTTTGCGTCGCTCCACGACCAGCTCCTCGACAGCCTTTTCCTTCTCCTTCAGCTTTTCTTTGTCCGAGGAGCCACCCGACCCAGTGGAGACGTTGTCACCTCCCTGAGAGGACTGACGCATGGCCTGGTTCTCGGCCTGAAGAGCCAGCAGACTATTCCGAGCTATGGCCAAATCCTCTTTCATCAGAGCATTTGTGGTGGTCAGAGATTCCACTTTGGCCTGAAGGTTGCCCACCGTGGCGCTAAAAATAGAAACGAGTTTACAAAAATCCTCAAACGATGGCCTTGGCAACGCACTTGAGGTGCCTGTTGAGCTCCTCGATGTAGTTTTTCTGGTCCAGAACGGCAATCATGTTGCCCTGCCCAGTGGCGTCCAGTAGGGCAGGCGGGGCACTGTCCTCCGGCGCCGCATCCGCGTTCCTGGAGCTAGAGCGCAGGTACAGCGAGAAGTCAATAACGCCCTGCTGCGAGTCCAGATCCTCCTCCTTCACGCAGAGATTGCAATCGATCACATTCAAGCCCACCAGGATGCCCATTATCACAACGATCTGCTCGAAGAACGAAAGGGTGGTTTAAACAAGTGAATATCCCGTGATAGTGTCGTATCCTGACCTCGTCGCTCATCATGAGCGCATGTGGCTCGTAGTACTCGTACAGGGAATCCTCCCGGTGCTCGATTAGAGCCTGCAGGTAGTCCGATAGCTTCTTCTGCATCAAGGCGATCCTCAACCAAGCCCGAGCTCTGCCTATGTGGGTGCGTACGGTGGGTAGATCCCTGACGCTGGCCGTGATGTCCTGCGCCTCCGGACAATAGTGTTCGACGCTCTGCAGCAAATCCCACAGCTCCTTTCGCGGGCCGAGGAGGCCCTTCTTCGGACGCAGGCCATGGCCCAGGACGTGCTCAATGACGATGAAGAAGTGCTGCAACGGCAGGTGGTCGGAGTCCAGCATGCGACCGTATCGCAGCGACTGTTCCAACAGCTCCTTGACCACCAGCTTGCAGATGTTGACCAGGTTGCTGCGCTCTATTTCCGCCGTGTCCCGAGCTGCAAAATGACCAAAAGGGAGCACCAATGCATCCACTGGTTAGAGCAGGATTGTGTGATGGCTCGGCCAGCGCCGGCTTTTGCTTCAAAACTTCAACTGACAACTCTGATTAACCGAGTAATGAACTTTTATGTGCTCTACTGGCTGATGTTTTTTCTGGCGCCCGGGGGCTGTCCTATCTATAGTATCGACCTGTCCACGCTGGAGGTGCAGAGCAGCGACTTTCAGAACGAGCTCACCCTGCAATCGATGCTCAACTCGGAGCTGCGTCAGTACCGGAATGGCCTCAACAAAAGGCTGACCGAGATGCCTGTGAGTTTCAACCAACATACCGATCCTTCCGCATCCCGGAAACATCCCTTTGAAACGGATATGGATTTGGAGCACGCGGAATGGCTTCTGGACACCCAACAACTGACAAGCGGCGATAGATGTGCTAAGGAGTCGGATTCGGATTTCCTGGGAACGAATCTGTTCAATGGCCCCGAAAAGCATTGCTTCTCCACGGAGGACATAGCTCTGATGTCCGCCCGCAGGGACTTTGAACTCCTGGTGCCGAAGTCCTTTCCCAACCTCTGCATGGTCAGTGACAACGTGGTGGCCATGCTGGTCAAGTACTTCAACACGGTGAACCAGATTGTCAAGAAGATGTCGGACATCGAGACACGACGAGTCCTGCAAAGGGCCTTTTACGATGCCCTGGGCGGCTACCTTCGTTTCTACCTGGTGCCGGCGGCTCAGATGTCCTTCTATGCCGGACATCTCAAGCTGAATACGGTGGACCGCCTGGTGAAGCTCTACCGGCAATGCCGCATGGCGCTCAACACGAATGGGAATGGATGGCGATCGCCCAGCAAGGAGCTAGTGAATCAGTTTCTAGCGGCCAAAGTGGAGCCTATGAAAATGCCAAAGTACAGTCGCTGCGAGGACGATGCCTCCAGCTGCGCTTTCCTCGATCAGACTCTGATCCAGGTGGCGGATCAAGGCCAAATGATTGTTCCAGTGCCCTCCCTGGAGCCCATGGACGAGGACGGCTACCTGACTAACATCTGTCTGCCCTTCAGGAAAAAGCGCATCTACAACCTGCGTGCTCCCAGCTCCGCCTTCATCGTGATGAGGTTCTTCGAAGCCCTGACCAACTGCCACCGATTCCAGGGCGTTAATCAGGTCGAGTACAATCGCAAGCTGCTCACCTGGATTCACGAAAACCTCCAGCTCCACTACGCGGATGGCCAATTCTATCCAGGACTGGGGGGTATCTTGCAAATCGAAGCGACTATTCTTAGTCAGAAGGAGCAAGAGGAGCCTGAAGTGGAGTGTACGACCGAAACGGAGGACCATGCTAAAGAACCCGAAACGAAAGAGGCGGAGATGGATACCTCGCCCAGTGAGGACTCCCGCAAGCTGAGTCGCTCTGCCAAACACTGGAGGATGGAGGAGAAGCGCGAACAGGAACAGGGAGATAGGTACCATACCCAAGAGTATCGAAGTGGCATCAAGGGAGAGGAAGAGTCATTCGCGACCACCCTGGAAGCGGAGGAGTGCCGGGAGTGCGACAATGATGAAACCTTGATCTGGTGCATTGCCGCCTTCTTGGCAGTGCTTCTGCTCCTCATCCTTTTCATCATCTGCTGCTGCATGCGAAAGGGCAGAAAGAAGAAGCCCGTGGATGAGGAGGCGGCCCAAGAAAAGCCCAAAAAGAAAAAAGAGGAGTACCATGAGGAGAAGCCGCCCGAGGAGCCAAAACCTAAAGAGAAACGAAGGGAACGTTCCTACTATTCTGTATCCAGTCGCCTAAGTGGGAAATCGCATTCCGGAGATCGTAAGTCTCGAAAATATTCTGTTTTACCTTCTAGAAACCCCTTATTGTTGTAGCAAACGGACCCCAGACCTCTAGCTCCTCGATGGCCTGCCAGTTTGATCGCAAGTGCCTCCCCTTACCCTGCCTCACTGCAAAGGGTGATGCCGCCACGAAAGTAGTCCCATCGTTTATGTCCACGGACTCGTCGCCGCGCAGCATGCTCCGATCTCCGCTAAGGCAGTCGCCAGTACGATCTCCCTTGATGTCAACCCACTCGGAATATTTGTCCAACAGCGATAGCGATGCAATGCCCAGGGAGAGGGAGAGAAAAGTGGAAAGGGTCCATGGGGTGGACTCTAGACAACAGCTCGGTAGGAAGGATCTCAAAAAGACCAGGAACAGAGAGGTGGGTCTTTCTTTTTTATCAGAAAGTTTGTAGACTACTAAGATTCCTAATCTTTAGAAGTCTGGAAGCTCAGAAGACAGGAAGATGGAGGATAGTTCCCCAGAGAGGCGAAGACCTAGCCGTGTGAGAATAGGTAAGTCATACTCCTCCCAAATCCACATCATTTTCAATCCTTCACCCAAAAGCTGAAACAGACGACTCTGCCGAAGATCGTAATCCGGTTAGGAAACCAAGTCGGCAAAAGGCCAAGCCCAAGGAGGACAAGACCAGACTTAGGGGCGGCAGTAATGTGAGATAATTAATTTAATTGAGTTCGAAAGGAAACTGATTAGTGTCTTCCACAGCCCGATAAGGATTCACCCAGTTGGGAGACTATGTACGGGGACAGCTAAGGACGAGGGGTCCACCTGTTTGTTGGAGTTTGTATTGTGTTGAGTTGAGTGTATATTTTGTTATATGAGATAGAATAAACCCAGTTTAGAGAGTTAACGCATCGAGACGAGGGTGCAGGCAACGAAAGGTGCAACAATGCAAAAGAGGCATGCAAATCAAAGATAAGATAACACAGGTCTGGGAAAAATAAGGACCAAGGGGGCCAGAACATACTTGGGTTAAGAGACTAAAGGGGTTAAGAGATAAAACACAAGTTTGTAGCCTATTAGGATTATAATCAACATAAGAAATGATAGAAAACTATAATAATTTTGTAATCAGATCGGTCCTTTTTCTGATATGTTCTGGACTCAGTTTGTACCTCAATTTTCCACGACCTGTGCCATCCTCTCCAATAATCAGATGATGGTCAGATAATGAGAAATCAAGAGAAACTACAAAGTAGAAGCGTGCTAAGGCAACAGAGGCAACAAGAAGCGACCTACAGAGATGCGACCACTCGGCGAAGAGGCCGACACTCTGGTGCTGCGACTGGGAGGCGAGTGCCGAGGTGCCGCTGTGGACCATGTCGCACAGTCGACGGCCGATAAGGTTTTCAATTGCCATAATACCATTGTCCGTGATGTCCAAGGCGCCGCCACCGTTGCTCCCGGTGGACAGGCCCGAGAACCGTTTGCTGTTTCGCTTGCTGGAGTTGGAACTGCCGGTGCTGAAGTTACCGGGTCCACTGCCGGTGTTACCCGGGGCGTCTGTGGTGTGTTGGCCCGCCTGCTGACCGCCAGTTCCACCGGCAACATCAATGTCCTGCAGCTCCTTGAGGCATAGCCACTCGCCGTCGACGGATACCCGGAAATTGCAAAGGTAAATGGTGTCTTGGACTCCGCCAGCCAGTTCCTCGCTGGTATTGGCATGCGAGGCTTTCGGCAGGGCAATAGTGTTGCTATTGTTTGTCTGATGTTGCTGCTGTTGTTGTGGTTGTTGCAGTTGCTGGGGTTGCTGCTGCGACTGTGACGGTTGCTGTTGCTGCTTTGCGTTTTGAGGTTGCACTTGTTGTGGGGGTGGATTCTGACCCTTTTGCGACTTGGTCGCTACCGCCCTGGTTGTTGTTGTTGTTGTTGCTGTTGCCGATGACGAGGACTTTGCAGACTTGCCAACTTGTTGTTGCAACGCCTGAGGCTCCTTCTTGGCGGCAGCAGCTCCCGTTCCTGCCAACGATGACGTCGTGGTCTTCAGTGTTGGCGCTTTCGCTGCACTCCTTAATGGCTTCGAGCTGCTGGCACTGCCACCAGTTACAGTGCTGCCCGACTTGAGGCGACTGCTGCCACCACTGGTGCTGCTGCTGCTGCTAATATTGTTGTTATTCGCAGTCGACAGCCTTGTCTTCTTCGTATCTTCGACGAGTCCTCGCATTTTGCAAAGGTTTCTTCCGTTCTCTGGACGTGCGTAGTGGCGCACGAATACGTTGCGGGGGCGTCCGTTTTACGTATGGGGAATTGACCATAAAAATACACATACATATGCATCGATATTAGCGGATAATTTATTTCGATTTCTTTCGTTTCCGTTGAAGCTGCCTTTACCTGTCCTTTGACGGGGGTGAGTGTGTTCCTTGGCCACCTCTTTCTAAGAGGTATCCTTTTTAGAAAATTAACTTAATAACTGAAAGTATACGACCCTACGATGTTGCACCGATGTCCTGTTGTGTACGCGTTGAGTAAGACTGGCACAAAATTTTTTATCCTATTGATTTGTCAAGTATGCGGAGCTTTTGAACTTTCACGGAGCTTTTTTTAGCGGTACTCGCTTGTGCACCACCGTTATTCAAATATTGGAAATATCTGGTCCCTCTTATTTTACTCACTTGCATTTATTTAAAAGTTTCAATTTCTAAGTTTAGTTTATTTTTAGTGTAATTTTTTATTAATTTATTTCGCTTGGTTTTACTTAGAATTGCTTAAGCTGGCACTTAATTGATAAGAACATTTGAAAGTCAATTTAAATGATTCAAAACTTGGTTAAAAATAGCACCGCAAATTCCATTGCAACAAGTGAGCATTAATATCACGTTGCGATAAGAAACTTCATAACGTCATAGGAATATATTTTTTTTGGAAAAACTCACCGCGTTTCATTCTTTTGGCCAAAATTTTGGATGGCGATGGCACACCCGCATCCCCAACTGACTCAGGAATTGGCTGAGTTGGCGGAGTAGAGTTCTCTGGATACGGGTAGGTTGTAGTACCGTCGATTATCTCGGAGGCTGACGCCGCAGCAGCTGCATTGGAAAACTGCGTGGAAATGTGGCTAAAGATCTGAGAGGAGATATTCTCAGTGCGTCGGAAGGTGTTGCGCAGCCGCTCAAACGAAGACCCGGAAGACGCCACAGTAGGAGATCCAGCAGGGGGCGGAACCAGAGTCGAGGCACTTGGAGATTGTGAGAGGGATTGGGAGTCATCGCTCCTCTCGCGGCGAACCAGCAAGTCGTCCGTGCTCATAGCAAATCACTCAGGTTAGCAATCAACCGCTCACATAAATCCGCGCGTTCGAATATAAACTATTTTCGGTTATTGCACTGCGATACGGAGTAAACAAGAAGCTTTGTTTGTCAATACAAAAATGAAACAGCTGTTGCATCGCGACCAGAGATGGGCGATATCTTCACTTATCGATAACAACCACCATATAGGGATAGGTGCTTGTATAATCTGGCAACGCCGTGGATTTTGCCGCCAAAAGAAAAGTTGCTGGTGTTTATTTACAAAGATAACACACTTTTAAGAACCTCGAATGGACGCGGAAATAAAGCAGCAGTTCGATGAAATGGGCGTGGAGCCCGAGGATGCGGTGGTGGAGAGGTGTGTGGACCTGGCCATCACGTATAATGTAACCGATGCTACGGAGTTTGTGGAACAGTGGATGGCGTTCAGCCTGTCACATCTTCACGGCGAGGATCCTACCACCGACAACCTCGGAGAGTTCGAGCGCAAGGTGCTGCAGCTTAGGAAAGACAAGATTGCTTCCAAGGCATCTGCTCAGAAGGTGAACTCCTATGCTGCGACAGAAACAAACTCCCTGGCCACCTATGGCCTTATTGAAGACGACCCCATGATGGAGGACTACATGGGAGATTCGGTAGCGGATTCCTCTGCCATGCACACGCCCAAGAGCAAAAAGGAAGCACCTCGCCCTGCAGGTCTCAAGGGCGGAGTGCTCTTCAGTCCCGCCAGCTTCACTCCCCAATCTGCTAAAAAGAATCAAACAGGAACCCCAGGAAACGCAGTTAAGGGCAAACCAGGCGATGTTGTGGACTCTTTTGGACACCCAAAGCTCTTGTCCGGTTCCAACTGGCAGTCGGATATGGAACACACAGTGCCTGTTGTCCAAAAACTTCTCCACAAAGACGCCCCACTGACTGTGGCCAACCTGGGCTACATGAACGATCTGCTAAGTGAGCGTTGCGATGACCTGCACGATCGACTGGTAGATACTGGACGAGCGCTGATAGACAGGAAGCTAGGCGCTGAAGGAGCAGCCGAGTGCAGCTGGTATCCGCAAGACAAACATACGCTTGAAGCCCTCCACTTACTGCACGCTGTAGGGATGATCCATTCCGAAGACGATGGCCCGCTGGACCCTCACTCTGCTTTTCTATCCGTATCCGACATTGACAACAACAGCTTCCTCTCGCTGAACTTCTCACGGATCAAGTCATGCAGTATATTCCCAGGACAAGTTGTGCTCGCTAAAGGGTTCATTCCAAAGGGCAATTCCTTTGTGGTGGAGGAGATCCACACTGAGCGGAAACTGACTCCCCCAAATCCCTTAAAAGTTGACAGGGAGCTGCAGTTTGTAGTGGCTTCCGGTCCATTCACAGATAGCACCGATCTGTGCTATGAGCCGCTTCACGACCTCCTGAATTACCTCAAAGATCACAGACCCGACGTGCTAGTCTTAACTGGTCCCTTCCTGGATGCAGAGCACAAAACTATTGGTGAGCTAGTGGAAACATTCGAATCCTTCTTCGAGAAGATGATTGCTGGAATTATGGAAGTGGTTGGGTCCCACACCACAGTGCTGATGGTGAGTAGCCAAAAGGATGCTATGGCTCACTCCGTATATCCCACCCCACCACCAACTCTCCGGAAAAGTTATCCTAACTTGCACTTGCTGCCCGACCCTTCCATTGTGGACCTGGATGGAATAACACTGGGCGTCACCTCCACTGATGTGGTGGATCATCTGCTGAGCCACGAACTGGCAGCGAATGCGGGCGAGCGAATGCATCGGGCCATCAACCATTTGTTTCATCAGGGTTCCTTCTACCCCATTTATCCGCCGGCGGACGAAGACATGTCCTACGATTCCCAGCTAGCCCTCAAGTACGCCCAAATCAGACAGTTGCCAAACGTGCTCATACTGCCCGGCGATCAGCGACACTTTATCCGCTTGGTAAGCGACTGCCTAGTCATCAATCCCGGACGACTGTCGGATAGTAAGGGCGGCACATTCGCCCGCTTCTTAGTTTCGCCCACAGTCCCCGGAAAGGTGGCCAACATGTTCAACAGTGTGGCATGTCAGGTGCAACGCATCTAAACATATTTTAGAAACGAAAAATAAACCTCTAAACAATAATCGTTAAAGCGTTTATTAATTTATGTATAATAGTTTACAGCTAACAGTAGGAAATGGTTTCTAAACGTAATGTACTCTAGGATCTCTATGTACGATTGTTTCCGCCTCCCGATAGCGAAGTCAATTCGATATCGAGGAGAAGCGGTCACAGAGAACTAAAACTCCGTTGTATATTTTAACTATACAAAAAATACTGTATGCCGTGTGTATGTCCAATTAGCTGGGCCACAACGCAGATGCGGTTAAGTAACTTCGTGCCACCTTAAGTAATCTTCGCCTTCTGTCCAGTTGCGCCTACGATTTTTTGTTCCTGGGATTGGAGCTACCCTGTCCAACAACTAGCTCAATTGCTGGGCTCCTGCTTGTATTGTTATTGCCGGTTGTTCACCCCCTCCGGATTGTGGCTACTGGCAATACTATGCTCCATGTTTTTGACAATCACGTAGTTTGTGATGTGGTTGATGGCCTCGTCCTGTAACCGCTCCGGCCAGCGCTTCATGTACGACTTGATGAAGTCACCGAAAGTGTCCACCTTATCGGGTGTACTCTTATGGGTGTCCACTATATTCTTAACTATGTCAACGAACTTGTCGTAGTCTTCGTGGGATTTTTTGATCTTCTGATAGTTGCTCACGCCCCCATTTGTATTGCCGCCGCCTCCTCCACTAGCCCCGCTACCTCCAGCGGCGGTGTTCATCTGCTGGTCCATGTTGTTGTCCGCCAGCCGGGCAGAGGCAGCTGCGGCCACTGCTGCCACAGCAGCCGAGGACGACATAAAGTTGTCCACATTCCCGGCATTGGGAGGCGGCTGGGAGTGGTCCATAAAGTGCCGATGCATCCCGTACTCGGTCCTATTATCAAAAACATAGTTATTTAAAGTTTACTGTTTTTTCAGTGGGTTATTTTCTTACTTATAGAACCCCTCCGTGTTGTTACTATTAAACTCTTGTTGCGACATTGGATTTTTCCAAACTGGTGATTCAGATGTAGAGGGTAAACTGCTGGTATTCGACGCGCTCGTCATTCGTTTATCTCTATGAAGGAAAAGATATACAAGTTAAGTTAAAGTCTACTTTTCTGTTGGTCTTAACATACTTGTAACCGGTGTGTGCAGCGAGACTTTTGAAAACATCATCGACTTGACTGTAGAACTTCCAGGTGCTGATAATGCCAGTGGTTTCGAATGTCTTTTGCTCCTGTCTGTAACGTTGTGTTAGATTGTTGACTTTGAAGTGGACCTCGAGTGCAGTAACAGGGACACCCAGTGAGGTTAGCTGCTTGGCCATAGCCACATACAGATGGCCATTGCGTTTGATGGTGCGCAGCTCATAGGCGCAGACTTTCCATAGTTTAATCAGCTCTAGTACACCACTATCCTCCCATTGTCGGCGCTTTTTGTTGAATTTTTCATACTGCCAGGATAAATAATGTTAATGTTAATGCATTGAGTTTTGATTTAAGAAAGCTGTATGTATATACTTACAGGCATTTCACATGGGTCTCACTGCCGACAACTGGGATTGCCCAACAAACTTCGTCTGCCACCTGCAGCAACACATGAAGAGGTTTATCTAATAGACGGGCATGGTGTATACGGATCTACACCTGAAATATGTAGATGAGAAATCATTAGAATATAATTCTATATCACATATTTATTAATTATTATTATTATTTTTTTGATCAAAACACTACTATATAGCCTATAAGATCCTATGATGCATGTCAGTATCCAGTATCTTTATTTATGTCATCATAAGCTAGAACCTTGCAGCACCTCGGCAATTATAACTTGCCTGTGTCTATTATATCGCTGTCATTATAATTGCTGATTTTTAATTATCATTAAGCCGGCACACACACACACACACACACACTGGACCTGACCAGCCTCTCCCAAACATGCATTACAACGGTAAACAAATAAAAAAGCGAGGGCCCGAAACAAGTTGAAAATATCTGTCGGGAGGCGAGCTACGAGATGGACGCGACAAAAGCTGGAATCAAAATGAAGCGGTAATTCAAGTATACAAGAGTGGAGATGCGGATGAAGATGTTCGGCGACGCCAACGTTGGCGCTGACGCCGACGCCGACGGTATTGGCACTTGCCTGCGAAGGGGAGCATTGGGGGAGCCTATTGGGCTGCTGTAATTTGCGGGGGGAGATGTTACTTTTCTTGAATACACACGCACAACTTTTTCCCTTCACAGAGATACACACAAACACACACACACACATCAAGAGGGACGTACATCAGATCGGATTTTCTTCCGCCGAATCCGTATTGCGGTTACGCTCTTCTTGCCTCAATGCAACAACAACATACAACACCATCAGCCACAAAACTTAATAATAAGTCAAATAATTAATTTTTAATTATCTTCAAGAGGGAAACACACGAAAAAACTGTAGCTCCAACGCAGCGCTGCCAAATAATGATGTTTTCGAGAGCGAGATAGCTACACGTAGAACGGAGATGTCAGGATAGCTTGTTTTTAACAAGATTTTCAAAGAAAAATATGAATAATTTGTAGTACTTAAAAAGTATTAACTTGATTGTTTTCATGAAAAATGTCAGCTTATTTTTTAATTGTTATTTTTTTAAGTTTTTTGTTAAAATCTAGCTAGTTTTTAGGATAAACATTTGGCAACACTGACTAAACGGCGAGAGCAACATGGTGTGAACAGTGCAACTAGTATCCAAGAGATACGAAATGGTGTTGCCAGATTGGCGGACAAAATGTAATACGTTAGAACTCAAATGTCAACATTGCTGGAAAATGATGAAAAGAATTCACTGCCTATTAATCCAAGATACAGTCGTCAGTAATTTATCTTCTAGGTCCCATTCCATCCTTCTGCCACTGCTCGTTAAGACTCACAACAAAGCAAACGCATTTCATCTCATCATTACCAACTCCAGTCTCTCAACCCCCCACTGCCCGCCCCAATGCACTAACAGCTTTTGTTGGAGCATACACACACCAACACAGCTCACACGTACATGTATTTGCCGGTCATCATCATCATCATTAGGTTGCGCGGCGAAGAGAGCAGCGAGCTCCCAAATGCGAACGTCATTAGCGGTCTAAATAACAAAAAATGATAATGTGGCTGCCACAGTCGTCGGCTTTGGGTAATCATCATTAACCTGCACGTTGGCCCCTCTGTGCGAGGCCAAGACGCAAGAGCCGTTGGTAGGAGGAAAGAAACCCCCATAACAAGGTCACCAGATTTTGTCCGTCTATTATTATCCCATTTGGGGGTTTCAGCCAAAAGTGAGCGTTGGGTAGGGCTGAAAATGTTTAAAATGTTGCAAAACTATTTAATGTTATTTTAAAATTTAGTTGTAAATTTCTATATTCATATATTTATATTTATTTTTGTAAATTTTTATATTTAGCTGCGAAAATATTTATTTAAGGCTTAAATATTTATGTGTTTAAGGCTTAAAATATTTTATAGGTTAAAAATGTAAACTTTCGTATTCAAAACTGGAAACATCTAAAAAAAAGTACAATAGATATTTTAATAAGCTTTCTATGAATATATTTCTGAAATACTTTTTCAATAAAAATAATCGAATGTAAGCTACTTCACATATGAATATTTTGAATAATTTTTTCAATAATAATTCGAGTTTTGTGTGGGCAACGCGATGGCTTTCTCATCATCATCAGGAACTTGGCATTCCGCCGACTACATCATTATGGTTCCCCTCTTTTTATCATCCGATGGTGATGGCCAAATGATTGTATTGCCTTTATAACACAAAAAAATGGTAGTATATTGATATACAGAAACGAATTCAAAAAATCGTTATACATTTTATTCATAATCATTAAAACTTATAAATATATTACGTATTATTTTTTGGCAATTTATATATTTTTTATAATTTAAATAAAACTATTTTTGTTGAAACTATGTTTTTTTTATCTGTAGACTATTTGTTTCTTCCATGGTGCGGCGTGCCGGTCATCATCATTAGGTTGAAACTCGAAGACAGCATCAGCACCCTCAGCTCTTGGGAAAAAAAGCATTCTATGATGCACATAAAGTTGGTGGATGTTATCATCATTAGCTACACTTTGCCTTCAGGTAGGAATGATGACAGAAGCAGTCAGCTCTCATCATGTCCTACTCGGCGCTAAGTTTGAATGGAGATCCGGGTATGTGTTGGTCTCCCCACTTGGCCACCAGAATGTAATCGCCAGGATCGCAGACACGGTAGCTAACGCGGTGGACATTCCGGCCTAGATGTTTCACCACCACTTCTTCGCTGGGACCTCGCTGTCCAAGAATCCCGACCAGCAGCATGTTGTTCCCAGCCTGACTGCAGTCCACAGTGAACTCGTTACGCTCCACCAGGCTGACGTGGGTGAGTCCCAAGCCCCGGCTGTGAACCTTATTGGCATCGGACTCCAAGGTGGGTACTAACGCAAATAAAGAACTATATAAATCATAAAACATTAGCTTTTTATATTACCCACCTGCTGAATCAATAGGTTTTCCCTCAATGGCTTCTGGACTTCCAGCAATGGCCACTATGATGAACGGTGACCTCGGCAGTGTCACAGAGTTGCACTTTATGTGGACCTTGTAGAGACCTGCTCCGGCACTTAACTGGCAGTCGATCTGAAATCGTTCCGGGTCCAGCTGCTTCTGATGGACGGGCTGGATGGGCTGCCCAGTTGGACTCTCCACTCGCACTTCAAAGTTTCCCTTGACCCCGTTGCGTTTGATGACAAACCCAACAGGGCTGTTGATCCTGACCGCTCCGCTGGGAAAGTGCAGCAGCTGCACCTTGCCGGCATCGGTCAGTTCGGGCGCCACATAAACCCGTGGCGGCTCCGAGGGATAGGCATCTGGAAAGTCAGATGTGAACCGTGTATAAATAGCCATTTCGATGTTTACTTCCTCATCTCACCCGCATCAGGCGTGCGCTGGTAGCGTCCAAAAATACCACCCTCCTCCGGACTATTCCCATCTATGCCACTCCCACTTGGATTGGAGGCGGGGGCGGCTGCCTGCGTATTCAGACGCATCTCCTGTGACACTTTGAACATGCCGCTAATATTCCAAAGATATTTTAGTTTTTATTTAACGAATTATGAATATTTTTCCACTAATAATTAGCGTCTTTCCGGAGTGTGGACTGGCCCGTGGCTGCTCCTTAAACTGACTGATCTTTTCGATCTTCCTCTCATTTCGATCTTGCTCTCGAAACGCTTGATTCTCGATCTCGGTACTCGCCCCCTCCTCAATGTGGGGCCCATGGGTGAGTGTTTATGATATTTGTTTGCCGGGCAGGCTGCCAAATATACATGGATGTTTGGTTCTTATGGGGAGTCGAGTGCCGGACAGCCAGTCCGATTTCCAATTCAAACAAGAGAGAACGTTATTTAGGAGCAGAAACCACACAGTTCTAACCTATTTAATTGATAACTTTTTGTAAGGCACCCCTCCTATAAGAATAAATGTAATCAACTGCCTTTCTTAACCATCCATTTATATTAAATCTCTAACAATTTCTATTTTTCGGGGGCAAGCAGAAATTCAAATTTAAATATTAACAAATTTAACAACACGTCTTCCTGGAAGGGTGCAAGCTGTCGGAAGGTTTAATGGTCAAGTTTAAAGGCGAATGGATTAAATGACTAAGATACTGGGATTTTGGAGGCTGGGTTCTCTCAGGGATATTCTCGAATATCGAAACCGTGCTGCAGATTGTGGTACAAATGGGGATACACAACCATGTCTGTGTTGGTCAGGTGTCCGGACTCGTAGAGCGTGAAATATATCTATTGGGGAACATTTTAAGGCATAATTATAAAGGAAAGCTGATGTAATTGCTCACATTCTCGGTGATTTTGAGTGTTTTGATGGACTCGGTGCGCATGTGCAGCCAAGTGTGCCGCAACCGCTCCTCCGCCTCCGATATAAAGCCCGGCGTCCAGTTCTCCTTCAGCCGGAATAGATTAATGCGATTCTTTTCGCGCACTGCTCGCGGCAGGATCGCGGTCTGCCGCTTCCGGGGATCCCGCTTGGGCCGGCCATTCAGCATCTGCTCCTGCTTGGCCTTTTTCTCCTCGATTTGGAGACGCATCTTTCGGGCCAGATCCTCCCGTTTTTTGCTGGCAGCCGTCTCGGCAAAAATGGATACCTGATTGGTCTGGCCGTAGAAGCGAGTGTAGTATTCCTCCTTGGATTCATCGGGTGGTGGCATAATACGTCTAAAGTTTCCAAGATGATTTTCCTCCCAGGCAACCTGCTGAGCCAGGGGGCCTATAACGACGGAATCCGATTCAGTCTCCTTGACCGGATTGGTGCCTCCTTCTGGATTGGCTGGATTTGCTGTTTTGGCATTTATTTTTGCCTTCGAAGCTGAGCCCGCAGTGAGCCGTGCCTTTGGAGCTGGCCTATAGAATTTGGGAAATATATGAGTTTAAGGTTTTTTCCATTTTAGAACTTACGGATCACCACGTATCTTGAGCAGCCGTTGCTTCACCCTCTTGCGATCCTCTCGCATAATTTGCTTCTTATCCGCCAGCACTGTGCTAACCAGATTCAACGTATCCCGGATGAGTGGACGCTTTACTTCTCGGTCCACCTGTTCGTTGGTGTGGAAACTGGGCGAGTGATTCACCTCCAGAATATAGGGCTTCAGCTTCCAGTCCACCAGAATATCGAAGCCGAGTATTTCGAAGCAGGCCTGGATTTTGTCGTGACCCGGAAAGCAGGCGTGGTAGTTGTGCTTCAACACCGGCCAGGCACTCAGTACCGTCTTAATGATCACATCGTCTACGTTGGTCCAGAACTCCTCCACGTCATAGTTATGACGACGCATCCAGTTGTTGATCGCACTCAGTTTTCGCTTGCTCCCACAGTCATCGTTGTCGCAGAGCTCGTAGTGGGAGTTCCGCTTGTTCACCGAGTAGTTGGTGAGGTGCATGTACAGGTCGGTGGAGTTTCCGGGAGTGGGTTCCACGTACTTGTTGGTCGCAAAACGAGCCAGTCCCTCATTGTACACAAAGATACGTAGCGGATCCACTGATGTAATAAGAGTATACACACGCAGGTCGAACTTGTAACCATCGATGAGCAGTGGCTACGGGGAATGCATTGTTTCTAAGATTATTTTCGGGGATTGGAACTCAATATCTCCGACTCACCCTATGAACGTACGTTTGGCATATAAGACGCTCGTGGGGTCCTATGGTTTTCAGATCATTGGTTAGCCAAATACCTCGTCCCTGGGCTCCTGAATCCGGCTTTAGGATAAAAGTGCGCTTGTGGTTTAAGGAATAATTCAAAGCATCTCCATAGCTGAAGTAAAGTGGGTGATATTATGTACCTATAGCTTATGAGATAATAGGAAACTCACTCTGCCGGCAGCATCCAGGTCTTGGGAAATATCTTGTAGTCATGCGGATACAGTTTCAACATTCGATTTAGATTCCTCGAAAGCAGATCCTTGCGGCAGATCTCGATCATCCCGGGGAAGTGGTTGATCTGCTGAAAACGCTTCATGTTTTTGAACAGTTCTACGCCGGGAAAGGAGTCCGACCACAGGATGTTCCACAGCTTGGACTCCTTCACCAGCTTGAAGCCGAGAGTCTTGGATATCCTTCCGATCATGGCGTAGCGAGAGTTGGACACGCAAATGGTGCTCTTTGTTTCGCTGAGATTGATAAGTTAAATCCAAGAATTATTACAGAAAGGCTATTTGGGAGTCACCTGGGAGTGCGTTCGTCGTCCGGGACTGCTCCGACTGCAGAAACTGTGCTCGTGGGACATTCTACCCGGTAGCACTTGTTGTTCAGCTGGATGAAGCCTTGGAGTTTAGCCTCTGACGCCGACATTAATCCCGGCAAAGGGCTGCCATCGCCTGAACACTGACCGCCGGCAACTCGGTAGTCCGGTGATTGGCTTCCTTTAAGGCCAGCTGCCTTTTTCTTTGGGGATCGCAGTTTCTTTAGGCGGCGACGCGGTGAGCTGATCACCGGTTGGGAACGGGTCGGCGAGTGATCCGGGGATGACCAATCCCTCTCTCGATGTGGCTGCTCGCTAAGCGCCATGTCCAAGGCGCGCGTAACTCTCGATCTTTGCTCCCGATCCTTTCGTATCTTTTCCTTGGAGAAATGACGCAGCTCCTGAATCCTCTTATAAAACTTGGAATTTTTCAAATTCATTGCTAAAATCGCTTGCAAGTGTGTGTCGTGTAGGCTCCAGTCTCTAGTAGTTGTCGGTTGTGAAATGGAAAATTTTCTGGTGCTAAAACTACAATTACAAAGGGTCGTATCGATGTTGGAAGCCGGAATTCTTCACGATTAAAAACGGTATTATTTTGTTGTTATTGTGTTGCGAAATTGAAAAATAAAGTTAGAACCAAAATGACGTTAGAATCAATACGTAACATATCCGAGTAGATCCTTAGGTTGACTTTTCAGATACCTGACGACAAGAATACATCAAAAATATAATAAAAAACTAAACCATCAATTATTAAAACAGTATATAAAAATATATATTATAACCAGTATCATGTTTTAAAAAAAATGACAATTGATAATTAACAAGTTTTAAGGCACAATCATTAATATGGTCATTAAAATTCGAAATCAAATCGGTTTTGGTTTAATGCGATGCGGTTCAAAGCGATCCAGAACCATACTCATTGACGGCCGATCCTGCGGATCTAGTGCAGTGCAAGGAAGTCCAGTTTCAATGGCACACAAGCACACGTCCAAATCCGCACCAAATGGCATCGGAACTTGCTTGTCTAGAAGTTCGGTGCGATTGTGCCGCCAGTGCTCCTTGACGTAGAGCAGAAGATCCTGCTCAACGCGATTTGTTACTTGGCGGCCCGTAAATACCTCCAGTAAAACTATTCCGAAACTGTACACATCCACTCCGGTGCTGAGTTGCTTTAAGTTGCGAAACTCCGGCGGCAGGTAGACTTTAGTACCGAAAACTTTCTCCACCCTCATCATTTCATTTATGGATTTAGGGCCCTCTCGAGCCAGACCGAAATCCCCAATCTTCGGCTGCAGGCACTGATCCAAAAGGATGTTTGCGGGCTTAATATCTCCGTGAATAAGCGGCGTGCCTCGTACCGTATGCAAGAAGAAGATTCCCCTGCGAAGAAGATGGTTTACAATTTTATGATCCGGACAAAATAAGAGTAGACTCACTTGGCTGTGCCATCACAGATATTAAACCTTTGCCGCCAGGTCAATGGTGAGAGCGACGGGTCAGATTTGTGAGCTCGCAGGCGATTTTCCAACGAGCCACCATTCATCAGTTGGTATACTAAGCATGGCTTTTCCCCATTGATACTGTAGCCGTAAAGAGCCACTACATTGTCGTGTCGGATTGAGTTGAGATACTTGAGTTCATTGTAGCTCTGCTGCAGCTCTACCTGGAACTTGTCGACAAGGCTGCGGTAGTTCATCACCTTAATGGCCACATCCAGCTGCTTCCACTGCCCGCGAAAAACCTCACCGAATCCTCCTTGTCCCAGACGATTTTCCGGACTCCATCTGTTGGTGCCAGATTCCAGCTCCTTGTAATCGATCATCATCAGGGACTCGGCTGCCCTTTGGACAGTGCTGATGTGAATGTTGCCTAGGGACTCCAGGCTGGGATCCTGCTGTGACGTTGTGCTTTGGTTATTGTTGGAGTTGCTTACACCCGAGGATGAGGGATAAGGTGGGCCATTGTTTAGCCTCACACTGGAATCGGGAGGAGCTCGCAGCTCGCTTATGGTGGGTACGCTCCGTGGAATGTATTTGTGTAGGTCCTCATTAACGTAGCCTTTAATCACTCGCATGGCATTGTGGAGTTTCAATCTATAATGTTACCTTAAGATTAGTGAAGTTTATACCAAATACTGATACACTTACTTCTTGAACAAAGCAAACAAAGTTTGGACAGTGTGATTGTACTGACCACCCCAGATGTTGAGAAACTCGTTTGACGCCGAGCGCCCCCTCTGTTTCTGACTATTTATTTGCTCCACTTGGTGCGAGTGTAATTTCGCAGTCTTAGCCATCACTTGCCACACGTCCAGTGCGTCCAAGTGGGAACATAACTGATGACGCACCGGCAGCGGGAGCAGCCGGATAGGCATGGAATCATCCAGATAAGATCTTGATCTAGTCCTATTCGCATTTTCGTGGTTTGCGGCGTCTGTGGTTTCTGCTTCACTCATCTTTAACAAGTCGCCAGGATAGCTGGTCGCGACTGGTACATTGAGTCACTTACCGGATGCACTCGAGGCGAGTGGTGGACGGAAAGGGGAATTAAATGATAACCTGTTGCAACGAAAGTTTGGGAAAAATCCCAACTCAATTCCATCAAAGCAGACTGCTAACAGTGATGATAACAGTGGCTTACCATTACATTGGAAGTTCCGTAGCCCTGGGGATCTGGGGTTTTTGAGTCTGGCAACTCTGGCCCATTACCAATAATTTTTTTATTTTAATATTTTGGAATATTTTATGAATTTTTATAAAAAAATCTTTCACATTAGATAAGTTTTATGAAAAACTTATATTTTTTTAATAATTGGTATTGCCCACCGATAAAATTTTCAAATACATATCGATATGTAATGTATTTTTTGCGACAAATATCGACTTATCGATATAAGTACATTTTTTTACATCCCTACCTCACAATTCTTTCAGCCAACAATTTATAATTCACGAAGAAGTCAATTACCGATCCAGTTAAAATAAAAGCATCAAACTGGCGGAAAAAAAGGTTCAAATGGCTTTATGCCAGACTTCAGTGGTAAGTTTTACAAATCTGCGATATATTTGTCAAAGCAGACCTGATTACCGAAATTTACCGGACATTGAGAAAATACGGCGCGACATATGGAAGAAAAGCGGCCAGGAGCTGGAGCTGGGGCCGGGCCCCTTCGTCCCCTTACTCCTCTACTGTCCACCTGGAAAAGTGAAAGTTTCTCCCGTTGAGTGTGGGGCACGGACGATATGGACACCAGGTTGAAATTAAGATACCGATACTGAGACTGCAACGGCGACAAGGTGTCTGTGTGCGTGACTGCGTCTGTCTGCTGTCTGCGGGTTGGTGCCTGTTCGTGGAAGTATTGGTGTTGCCTGCGTTCGTTGCCTTGCAATATTTTTTTTCGGCCTGGGTTGTTGGCCGAAATGGTTTTTCCCAGGAACCATATGTATGCCTATGTATATACCAAGTGGCGTGCGCCATTATCAGCATTGGGTGCTCTTATCTCGCTGATAAAGCAGAACTACGTATGTACTAACATAGCAAGTTCGTGGGGGCACAGCAGCAAAAACAAAAGTGATACCGGTACATTTGTGCATACATACACGTTCATATACATATGGAATTCAACATTCTTCGCAAACAAATGCGCTATGTTACTAGTATTTGTGGTTGACATACTTGCAGCTGTGGTTAAAATTATAATAATTGGGTTTATCAAGTTGCAAAACAATGTTACTTGGTTTAAATCGTGGAATAGTATAGAATATGCAGTCACCATGTACCTGAAAGCAACTTGGTAACCTTTAATTATAGCCAATTAATAACATGAACATGTATTTAAATATTAATTATATTTATTTTCCTATTTCACCCGCAGCTCAAAGTATATCATGCCGTTATCGAAGATGTTATCACAAATGTACGCGATGCCTTCCTGGACGAGGGCGTTGACGAGCAGGTACTGCAAGAGATGAAGCAGATCTGGCGGAACAAACTGCTGGCCAGTAAGGCCGTGGAGCTCAGCCCAGACGAAGGCTCACATCCTCCGCCCATTGTGGCCAATAATCCAAAGGTGCGGATCATTAAAATTTGTTGCAAATATCATACTAATTTATGTATTTCATAATTTGACTTGTCTAACTTTATTCGAAATCATTTTGACTAAGATCTGTTGCTTTATCTTCCTTATGCCCACCAACAACAACAATGTTACTGCGCTTCATCATCAACATTGACTAATGCGGTGCTTTCTCGACATCCAAACCGTCCCAAACACACACGAACCATAAAAACTCACCCACATCTCACACACATTTAAACTCGCACATGCCTCGACTGCAGAACAAGGTAATGCCATCTTTCCATCTGAGAACCGAGAGGTTTGTATTGCTAATGGTTTATTGTTTTGCAGGCCGCCAACGCTAAGGCCAAGAAGGCCGCTTCCGCATCGGCGGCCACACCACTCAACAGTAGCACCAGCGCCGGAGCGATTGCCATGAAGTCACCCGCCACAATGGCCACGAGCAGTGGAATCAAGAATGGTCTGGGGCCCGTCAAGCAAGAGGTCAACTCACAGAACCCACCGCCACTGCATCCCACCTCCGGAGCCACACTAATGCAAAAACAGCAACAGGCGGCCAGTGGGGGTCAGACTCCCATTCCAATTGTGGCATCGCTGGACCCCAACCGGATCATGCCCGTTAACGTGAGTTATCCAACCAATCGTCCAGTTTAAAAATATTATTAAGATGTAACTCCATTTTGTAGATCACGCTGCCTTCGCCAGCCGGCTCGGCAGGTTCAGAATCTCGAGTGCTCACCATTCAAGTGCCGGCATCGGCGTTGCAGGAGAATCAGCTAACTCAGATACTGACGGCCCACCTAATTTCGTCCATAATGTCCTTGCCCACAACCTTGGCCTCCTCAGTGCTGCAGCAGCATGTTAATGCAGCCCTGAGCAGCGCCAACCACCAGAGTAAGATATATAGTTCTTAAATATATTCGATAATTGGATAATAAATTTTTAAAAATTTCAGAAAATCTTGCTGCTGCCAAACATTTGGATGGAGCACTAGACTCTTCGGACGAAGACGAGAGCGAGGAGAGCGACGACAACATCGACAACGATGATGACGACGATCTGGACAAGGACGATGATGAGGATGCGGAGCAGGAGGATGCTGCCGAAGAGGAGCCACTGAACAGCGAAGACGATGTTACCGACGAAGACTCTGCTGAAATGTTTGATACAGATAATGTGATCGTTTGCCAATACGATAAGGTAAATCCTACTAACTTGAAATTCTTTAAAGAGAGCTTTATTTATAAGGAAATATTTTGTAGATTACTCGATCCCGCAACAAATGGAAGTTCTATCTGAAGGATGGCATCATGAATATGCGTGGCAAAGACTACGTGTTCCAAAAGTCCAACGGTGATGCCGAGTGGTAATTTCAGGAAAGGGTATAACAAAATTAAAAAAGACATCCAACAAAGAGCCTCATCGAATGCGCCTTTAGCCTTGAACAGTTGCCAACCCAACCGGAAATCGACCAAGAGGAGGAGAGTACTGGGAGCAAAGCACTCGGGCGGACAAACCAATACCTTATTTTAGTTTCATCTTTTATTCTACGCTAATTAAAAAGCGAGTTGTGTTGCACTTAACCATCTCAATTATAGATATGTATTACACCAAAAGTCGCATACCTTTTGTGTCAATAAACTGAAACACTTGTGAAAGTCAGTATCAGTTTTTATGTTTTCGGGATGTTGGTGGGGCTGGTTCTTGGACACCACCACATGTGGTGTGGTTATCCACTTTGATAACCAGTTGGTTTTCCAGAGTAAACAGAATAAAAGAAGACGAAACGCAGTCATTCAAAGTATGTATGTATTTAATATATAGACATGTCTAAATCTTGCAGTTAAGGAGTACAGCATTTTACATTTTCAACACTTACATCAGCGCCGCTAATTGTTAGGGTTTTGCATCATATGTACAATATTCCTTGTACAATCACTGTATGGTCATCTATCGTAGATTTATGTACATACATACATGCACTTTGTCGGCTTTTTGCCTTATCGCCTAAACAATTTAAGTAATGACTAAAAATGTGTGGGTCTGGCTACTAAACTTATCCTAATGAAAATGTCTGAAGGTGTTGTTGTGTTTGTATGTTGTGTGTTTGTGGGGTGGATTGTTGCTTGTTGGTTTCTAGTTTATTTTAGTTCAGTTGTTAGTGAGATGGACTTGGTAATCGTTTTTACATTTACAATTTCTCCTCTCTATCTCATCGCTGCCACACTCAAAATATAAGTATAAAAGTTAAAAACAATTTATAATATAGCACAACTCTCGCTCCTAGTTTTAGCCCTATTTGGTTTTGCCCGCAAACAAACTCGTGCTAAGCACCATGCCGAAGAATCGCCCTCGGTTGATATTGCAGAACAAGCCTTGCACATACACTCTGATATGGTATCTGCTTAGCCAACCATTAGGTCGTCAATAGCGCAATATTGATTTCTTTCACCATTTTCACGCGGTGCAGCATCCGTTGCAACGCGTCTTGGCCCAGAGCTTGCGTGGAGTACCAAACGGGAGAGTCGGGCACGCAGGAACGCTCGGGCTGCAAGTAAAATACATCGTTGCGGGTTTTGACACTTTCCGGACTGCAAGGAAACATTCAGAAATTAGCTTCAAAATAAAGAAAAGACAGTTTAGATTACTCACCATTTAGAGAGATAAAATTCGTAAAGGCGGACGGGACACCGCAGTGGATTCTCCTCATTCTCTTGTTGCTCATAAACCTTCTTCTTTCGTGGATTGGCGTCTGTTTAGGAAAGTAAGTAATTAAATGGCTGTTTAATCAGATGAAGGTAATGACTCACCCAAACCAGCCTGCGGTGGATAAAAGCGTAAGAGCACGTTCCGGGAACCAGGAACTTTGGAATTCTGGGATGAGCGCTTCCAGTGCTTCATTATGTGGGAGAAGGATAACTGCATGTGCTCTTCTACAGTCTGTAATGTTTTTAAAATTAAATAATCATCCTTGTTTATTATTTTAAGCAATGTCTTACCGTCAAATTAAAGTGTTTGGTGTTGAAGAACATGAGAGTGCTGAGCAGTACGTGTGGAGAATGAGCACCAAGTTGTTTGCACTCCCACAAATGCTCCTCTTCCACGCGGGTGACAATGTATTCTATTAAAATATATCGTTAGTTATTAATGTGCATGAGAATATTATTATAAAGATTGTTTCACTTACGCGAATCGTTGTAAAGCACGGAAAATTTACGTGCCACTTCATCCAAACACTCCGTAAACCGCTCATAATATGGATCGTAGAAAATATTGTCAATACGGCCATTCACATAAAGATATTGCTGTATTCCTGTAGGATAAACATAAAAAATTAATTTAAACAAATACTCTCTCCTTTTAAACTGCACACTTACCCAAGACAAGATAGTATATGGTGTCTGGAGCATATTCGGTGCCATTGGGCTTGCGCACCTCCTTTACGAAGAGACAAAGTGAGTAGTTCAACTCATCGGCGGTCATCTGTAGAAGCTCCGTCTTGAAGGGACGCCTCCGCATGGAGCTCTTCTCAAGATCAGCATTCTTGGTCATCACCCACTGCTTCCAGGCGTTTACACCAAATGTGTATTTGAGGAACATTTGGGCATCAGGCTTCTCCTGTGGCTGCTGTGCCTGCTGCGACTGCTGTTGCAGGGCGGAGTGGTCCATTTCACCACGCTGCCGCTTAACTGGTGACCTGCTGTTACGATTAGGCGACTCCAGGACAGCGCCGCCGGCTCGTTTGCGTCCCCGAGGCGACCTGATAATGATACTTAAATGTAAATAAACATTTTTAGGAAAGATTTTTGTTTGCTAACCGATTTGTTGCATCTAACATGTGATGCTGCTGATCCAGATGGTGCACTCCCATCTGACCCATGTCGTGGGCCATTGGCGATTGACTGCTGATGGTATTTGCTGTCATGGACGTCTCCAGATCCACCGTGGAAGTTTGGTGGTGGTTGTCATAGTCGCCCGTGGCCATCTTCAGTGCTAGCTGCAGCATATCGTCACCATAGGGGTTGTGTCCAGCCCCGCTGACGTCAACCACCTGTTGTTGCTGCTGCTGCTGGGCAACGGCCTCAAGACTGTTCTGGTATTGCAGGGTCACAAGGCCGGGGTCCGGCTTGATCTCGTTATCAGAATCAGAATCCGAGTCATGCTTCTCTTCGGCAACCATCTCGGCCATCATTAGGAGTTCAGCCTCGAGCGGATCCTCGGGCATCTTGTCCTGGATCTTCTTGATCTCTTTGAGTATGCCCTGCGAGGTGTTTCTCGTCGTGGGGATGAATATCGGCACTGGGATGGGTAGTGGAATGGGCACCGGTACGGGGAACGGAGCAGAGTACATGTACATGGGCTGCGGGATAAAGATGGGCACTGGCACTGGGATGAGCACTTTGTTGGAGTAGTCCTTCTCGGTCTGCATTCCACATTCTCTCATAGTCGGACAGGCCTGCTCGCCCGTGGATACCATCATTGGTTTACAGCTTATGTTAACGTTGCGCACAGCTTTCGGATACGGGGGCACTGTGATGATCTTTGTCTCTGACACCGTGGCCGGTGGATAGTCCATGGACGTGGTTGTGTTACGCCGAGCTCCGATCGGTGACAGTCCACCTGGCGATGGAGATCGCGCCGCGTAGTCAACATGCTTGCGGGGTCTTCCACGTTGTGGTGCCGGATGGGACCCTGGCAGCGGAGGAGGTGAAGCAGCCCCCGATTCTCGAGGACGTCCACGTTTGCGGCGCACAGTCAGATTTTCGCCACTTGCCAGGGATTGGACCGTAGATATCACTGGCAGCATGGTGCCTGATTTCTTGGCAGTGGGTTTTCCAGACTGAAAAATGAATGAAAAGGTGTATAATTATATTTTTGTATTTTTATATTTCATTCCAAAAAAACCTTACCACTGTCCTATTTCTCAAATTCATGTTTTTTTAATAGTTAAGGTATTATTAATATTAATAATAATATTTTGGAATTCAAATAGTGAGCCTATTGAGTCACTTGTATTGAGAAGGACTCATTAGTACTCATTTTAGAGCAGTAATTTTAATCGATATTTAACAATTCATCTAGTTTCGATACAAAGTTTCGATTACAATCGATATTTAACAATTTATCGATTATCGATCTGTCACTTTGAAGAAAAATTTGGCACAAGTTCGTACATTTTTGCACTACTAAGTTTTAATCTTAAAAAAAAAAAACCAATAAAGTCTTCGAAACTCACCTGGGAGAGCTTTAGCTTGACACGCTTGGGTAGACCTGTGGGGAACGGTGCAGTGTCCCTACGGCTACGGCCTTGCTTGGAACTGCTGCTGCCAGGACTCGGGCTACCTCCGGACTGTGGCTGATCGCTGTCCAGGGTGAGCGGAGCACGTGCGAATTGATTCTGGAACTGCATTACGCACTGGTATGTGCAAAAGTTGCGCATGGAGGCGTCCGACATGGTAAGATGGTATTGCGGGGTGTTGAAGTTGCTGCAGTTGTCGCATTTGGTAACCGCCCGGGCCGAAATGTTGCAGCTTACACCGTGCATGGTCAGACAGTTAATGGAGCAGGTTAGTGTTAGAGTGTCGTGGTCCTCCTGCCCACTCAGCTGGTAGATCATGTCGAAGTTGTACTTCTTAACCTTACACCACTGGCAGGAGACGATGTGCCGGTTGACAATGATATAGACGTTGATGCATACCCGCGAGCAGAAGACCTTTGGAGTTTGGTGCTCGTTGTATATGGTGTACGCCTCGGCGCTCCTTCGCTCAAAATACTTGGAGCACATGGCGCAGGGGTCGGCGTTTACGTTGCTCACGAACTTGAACGCCGAAAAGCAGGGATTGGAGCAGAAATAGTGTTCCCTGTCCTCAAGCAGCATCTCGACGCGCACTGGCTTTTCGTTGTTGCACACCCCGCACATATCGGTGCGAAGTTTTCGCCTGGGATTGCACATGCTGTCGTATCGGCGCAGACAGGCCTGCGAGCAAAAGTCTTTGAACTGGTCCTTATCGCCCACCGGTGCCAGGAAGCCCTCCTGCCCGCCGCTGATGTCCTTCTGGCAGCAGGAACAGGTCTTCAGACCTTTCTTGAAAGTGTTTAGGCATCCAGCGCAGCAGAACTGCCGAACATCGAAGCCGAAACGGACACAGTACTTGCCGAGAGCCGTGGAGCTAACCTCCTCTTTACATGTCTCGCAGCTGGAGCCGATTGTGCGCTGGTAACTTCCCAGACAGACCTCGTTGCAGAAGTCCATGGTTTCCCAGATGAGTTGCTTCTCGTTCACGTTAATCTCTGCCTCACAGTCGGCGCATCGTCTCCGGAAGCTCTCGATCCTGTCCAGTCGTGCCGCCTCTGCTTCGGCCAGCGTCCTGGCTACTACACTACTCTCGGCACGCTTGCCCGGCGAATTTTGCTGCGGCTGCAGTGTGGTGGCGCCAATATTGCGAACCCTGATCGAGTGTCGCTTGAGCTTGAACTTGTCTGGCTCCTCCGCGTTGAGCAGATTGAAGCAGTCATCGTTGCAGATGTAGAAGCAGTCCTGGTCCTGCTTTATGAAGTACTTGCACCGCTTTTCCTCCTTACACTGCAGACAGGCCTGTGTCTTTTCTGAGGCAGCATCATCATCTTCTGCCGTTTCGCCCTCAGCGTCAGCTCTTTCGGCGCTTCCTTCGCGAACTACCTCTTCCACGAGGAACTTCTTGCGCCGCACGAAGAACTTTCCTGGATTATCTGCCAGTAGGGCATTGCAGCATGTCGAGTCGCAGATGAACTCGTAAACTGGGGCTGCTGGCTCCTTAGGAGATTCTTCGTTCTCATTATCGCCGTCTTCTTTCTCCTTTTCCTGAGACTCCTCCGGTTTTTTGAACCGGAATCCACAGGTCTTCTCGTTGTCGCATTGTCGGCATTTCTCCACACTGCCCACGATCCAACTGATGATGGTTTTGGGAGATGCGCCAGGTTCTCCAGCCACTCCACTGGCGAATTCCTCTCCAGTGGGCTCGTCGGCATCAGGTGCATTTTCAGCGGCCTCTTCGTCGTGGGCTGCTGCACCTCTAACGTCATCTAATAGGAATAGAAATTAATTAGTCAGGGCAACAGGTAGTATGAATCTTAAACTATATAATGGTTTGCCAAAATGAGATAAAACACAAAGGACGAAACTCTGGATGAATATTTTGATTAGCTGATGTGTCGAAGCAAACAAAAATGCAAAATACATTTCTAATTCGCTCACCTTCGGCCCTCTCCGATGCTGCCTTATCTCCGGCTTGAGCATCTGATGGCAAAATTGAAAATCGTCTATATATCTTTGTATGAAAATTTTATATTTGTAGCACATACCGTTTGCAGTGGTCTGAGACTCTTCGGTGGGCTCGCCACTAACAGCACCCTCGGATTCCGGATCAACAGGTGTGTCTGTAGTCGATTTTCCATCGCCCTGGGGGGATTTTGATTGATTCTGCTCGGCAGCCTCTTCCTCCTCGGCAGCCTTTTCGGCGTTTTCGCGGGCTATTTCCTTCTCAGCTTCAGTCACCTCGGTTTCCGGGTCGTCAGGAATGAGGCAAACGTCTGACTCCTCTGGTTCCAACACATTTTCAACGGTGTCTGGATTAAAAGAGGAAATTTTAATTATTTTCTAGCGCAAAAAAGTATGTAGTTAACTTACCATCTCCATGCTCGGCCTCTCCACCTTCCTCTCCTCCTTCACCCTCTTCGATCTGCTCCGATTCAGCGTCACCATCCGGATTGTCGTCGTCCTCCGCATGAGCTTCGTTTTCATTCTCATTCTCATTTGCCTCGGTCGCATTTTCCCGATCTTCTAGACTCGTATCAACCTCGTCCCTGCCTTCTGGGGGCTCTGCGTCATCTCCCTGACGGGAATCTCCTCCCATTGAGCGCATTTCCACATCGTCTCCTGCCTCTGGCTCCTCCGTTGGGTGTCTTTCTTCTGCGGCTTCTTCGTTCTCACCAGCGTCTTGATCCCCTCCTGCTTCACTCTCATCCACATCCATGGCTTCGTTGGACGCAGGACCACCATCGACAGCATCGCCGCCGGCCTCCTCGTCCTTTTCGTTTGTTTTTAAGCCGTCTGTCTCCTCCGGCTCTTCAGGGTCGCGTCGGGTAACCTCTGTTTGCTCTTCCTCTTCTACAGGATCCCTTGGCGGCGAAGCTGAAGCCTTATCCTGGGACTGGTTGTCCTCTGCGTCCAAGGAGCCCTCTGATATCTGTTCGAACTCCTCTTCCGGCTCTTTCCCAGTGTCCTGGGGAGCGGCATCTTCTGCTGGCGGTGAGGCCGGCGTATCTTGTGTATCCGCTGGAGTCCGCTGTTGCTGTTGGTCCTGATCCTCTGGACGAGGCGTGGCCGACTCAGGCCGGGCGTTTGAATCCGCGCCAAATGAGTCTAGGCTGGATACTTCTTCCATTTTCGTGTCCTTGCTTACCAATGCTCAAACCAAGGCGCTTGTTTATATAGACAACAACTGTAAGAAAACAAACAACAAAGGTAAGTTGCGGATATCGATAGCGGGCGACTATCGACCAGGGCCCCACACCATTGCCGCCTAAAATGTGTACACACACATGCACAGGCACACCGACGCACACGGTCACACACACAGCCACACGGCAGTACTCCACTGTGGTGTACAGTGCACGAAAAAACAAAACATGCGCCGCCAGAAAAGTGCCTACTGGCCGTTGTGTCTGTATGTGGTGATTATCTGACCATTAATTACTTCACTTGCACTTGGTCCCGGCAATGCAATGGCTCTAAAAACAACGGCGTCGGCCGTATTTGTTTATGTGGGTGGACTGCTGGCCGGGTCGCGACGGCTGGGGAACGAGTCAAGAAAATGCCACAATAAGCAGCCTTACATTGCAAATCAAACTGGACTCATCATAGGTGGCCGCTATTTAGATTGCCCGAAACTTTTCAACACTTTGTTATACTTTTCGCAATGTGCAATTTCGCGTTTTTGCAATTTTCTTGCCACTGTAACTCGGCTTTTTTCAGGCAGGAAAATGGCGCACCAGAGTATCCAAATCCCAAATTCCGAGTAGTGGTAGCACGCGCATAACGCGTACTTTGCAGAATATACCGAAAAATACCGCATTTTCCCGCTATATCTAGCCGTAAAGCAGTTGGTGAAGATTGGTATTCGGCTGAGGTTGGCAGCCCTTGCAACTGTGGTACTTCTTTTTGGTATATTGAATTTATTTATTTACATTTTTTTTATATAAATCAAAGATTTAATAAAGAATTATGATTTTAATCACTATTCACTGATTGTAACACTTTAATTTTTTTCAAACTTTGTAGGTTAATTTCTTAAAATCTTTAAGATAGATGGGCTAAGCTTACAGAAAAACTTGGTAATTTTAAAAAAATGACAAATTTTAAAATTTTTGTAAAAACTTTAATAAATTTTAAACCTTAAAAGAAATATAATATATTCTTTGTATACACAAAGTCATAAAAAGAATACCTAATTAAATATAATATCTTTATAGACTAGCTGTATACACATATTCAAAATATATTAGAAAAATTAAAAAAAAAAGGAAGTTCCAAGGGAATTTTAAATTCTTCCAGAAAATACACTTCCCTTATATTGCTTTTGGTTCCTATACCGATTAAAACTTTAATGCCGAGCTAATGGATTTATTTATTGGGATAGATAAAAAACCATTGAGATAGATGAACTCCTGGTGTACAATTTTGTGTTAAAATTTTTTAATGAATCCCTCGGCATCCAAGAGCACGTTCGGGAAGTATTTGATGATCTTGGTGAAGTGAGGGAACTTCTGGGAGTTGGAAAATGTAATATCGTTGGTATCCTGGTACTCCTGAAGCAGATGCACGAGCTCTGTATGGGGCACCACATCGGCCAATATCCAGTGCTGGATCACATAATTCAGTGCATATACCTGTAGCTTCATCAAGCCGGGCTCCCTGGTCAATTCATCCGCTCTCTCAATGATTTTCTATTGTTTATGAAAATATTGAATAAATAAATACGTTGGTATCTTTATCTTTACTTACCCCCATGCACACATGCTCCAAGTCAATGATGTTATGGCGGAACGCCAGATCGAAGGTTGGGAAAATGCCGTCCAGGGGCCACTCCTTATCCTTTAGGTGTTTGGAAAAGGAACGCAGTAGCTCCGGAATGTTGTAGGCGCAGGAGAGGATGAAAATGTCCCCCACCAGGCCCAGTTGCACCATCGGCTCGCTCACCTGGAATGTGTATATGAACTCCAGGAAGATCTCAACGCTTTCCGGAGACACTCCATTGATCTGGAGCACTCCGTTCCACTGCTTGTTTCGGTATACGTCTTGCTCTAGTTTGTCGGAGGCTGTGGCCAGGAAGACCCGGTGGCAGTTGAACTTTTTGTAACAGACATTGCCCACGATGTCGTCGCTTTCATCACATGTGCTCAAGACGTGCACCTCACAGTCAGCATCGGTGGCTTTGCGAAAGTATTTCAGCCTTCGAGCTCGGCTGTTCGGACGATCCGATGGCTCCAGATCGCTATTGTTGAATTCATTGAAGGAGTCGGAGCTTCTATTGAAGGTCTCGTCGAGCGTAGCCCGCTTGCCCTGCGATGACGGGGTCGCTAACTTTAGGCCAGTACTTCCCGTACTACTTCTCTTGCTGTCCTCTTCACTAGGTTCCTGTTCCTCAACATTAGGTGGGGAAGGTTCTTCCTGATGTTCCGGATGCTCCTCCTCCCCTGTCCGCAAATTTGGCCTCTCCGAACTGCCAGGCTCGGCTTCATCCTCGTCCCACGTATCTGACATTCCTGACAAAGGGCATATCCAACGCCCGGCTCAAATTTTGTATTCCAAATTAGACATACATTTTGATACTAAACACGAAAAAGACGAGCCCCCCTAGAAAATCCCCAGCCACTATGAACTGCAAACTTCGCCGCCTGGATCTCCTCCGCACTGGCCAGAAGTCGGACTGCGAGCTGCATGTTCTGTTCACGCCCCAAGGACAGCAGAAACGGTGTCGGCGGGTGTTCCGGTGCCACCAGACTATGCTAGTCTCCGCCTCTGAAGAGTTTGAGCGGTTGATCCGGGATCCGGAATTTGAGAAGAACAAACAGGTTATCATTGTGGACGACGCCTCGCCCACGGCCTATGAATCCCTGCTCCTGTATATCTACACCTACGAGGTCTGCAATGCCGTCCACATAGAAATGTGTGAGGAGCTGATGCTTCTCGCCCAGAGGTACAAAATGTACGACTTTGCCGATTGCTACATGGAGAAGCTGGCCAGCCAGGACTGGCCCATGGAGGTGGTGCTCCAAATTTTTGCTCTAGCCAACAAGCACGACCATTTGTCGTTAATGGACGTAGTGGCCAAGGTGAGTATCTAATCCCATTTTATAACTCCATAACTTAAGGAGTAACTTCTATACCTTTCTGCAGAAAATCCTACCCATTGCCACTCACATCCTTAACGACAACTCGTTTACCAAGCTGAGTCTCCAGGAACTAAAGGCCTTGATGATCATTCTCCAAAGCGAGGGTATGCTGTCCAACAGTCACCTATTGGGAGCGCTGAAGAACTACCAAATGGCAAACAATTTGCGGTATAATGACATGGAAAGGTTCCAGCAATTCGTGGAGATTACCCAAATCTTCGACAAAGCGCTCTTCGAAGTGGACGGCACTTTGTCGGTGCCTCCGGAGGAGTTAAACGACACTAACGAGGTTGGATCGGACACATCCCTGTATCCCAAGAATGTTCATGAAGATTAGGCATTACAGAGCTAAGGGAATCCTTTATTGGAGAGTAGGGGGGCAAACAAACATGGTAGTTTAAATCGACTTATAAATTATTTACTATCCATTAAATAATACCCAAACGGGCCGAGGCCAGTGCAACAAAGTATCTTATGAATCAATCAACGGAAACGTGTGGGTCTACAGTCCTAGGACGCTGCCATCGGTCTACGCGTCTCCAGCGGGACCATAACACAATCCGGATCTGCATCAACGTCCCCATCCATGTCCTCGTCGTTTTCCTCCATATGGCAGGCCTCTACGCTGAGAAAGTCTTCGCTGTCCAGCACAACATCCTCGTCATCGGAGGCATCCGCATCATCATCCACGCGTTCCAGTTTAAAACCGTTCACTTTCTCTTTGGCAGAAACAGGAGCATCCAGTTTCTCTGTTTTCGTTTTCGATTTCATTTTCTTAGAGGCGGAGTAGATTCCCAGGCCCGTGGTTGTCGTCTCGAACTTGCAAACCACCGCAATGCGCAGATTGACGATCAGAGAAAAGAGCTTCACGGCTGGACCCATCTTGAGCTTCAGGTACTTTTCTAGCTCTTGTCGCCCGATCATCAGCAGCGCTCTACCATCTATGTCCTCGTCGAAAATAGTCTTGGCAATCTCCTCGGATTCCAGGGATTGCTCTATATACTCAAAAACATCCCATTTCGTCCAGTTGAGGGGGTTGCTCCGCACCTCATTCAAATCAAAGGCACTATTCCGTTGCCACAGTCGATAGTTTTGGACGTATTGGGGCCCATAGTCTTTAACAATGGGGATGGCCAAGGCCAGAGACTGAGGAACTGGTTCGTTCTTCTTTGGCGGTTGATCCTTGTGTTGCTCCTTTTCTTGCTTCGGCACATGCTTCGGTTTACGGCGGGACACCTTCTGCTTGACTTCCGGTTTGTTTTCCGTTTTAGTAGCTTTGGGTGGCAAGACCTCAGGTTTGAACCTCTTGTGGTTATCTACTCGGTCCTGGTCGGTACTTGCTCTCTTGAATTTCCTCTCAGGTCCGCGCCAGATGCTCTCCGGCGCAATGCGAGCAGGCTTCACTGTCTTGGAGCGCCACTGACGCCAGTTCTCTGGTAAATACGGACAACAATCCTGAAGGGCGTGAACGTTGAGATTGAAGCGCTTTGCGTTTCCGAAGCCTCGACATCCCTCCGTGTCGCAGGGCATCACCGGTTTGCTTTGGAGGAAGCCCGGCGGAGTTTCCAAGTCATGCGAGGTGGCCTCGCACCATCCAATCGGATGCAAGTCCGGGCTATCGTCCTCGAGCCAGAAAAAGTACTCTGACGGCCAGCAGTCAAAGTGGATCTGCACCCGGTAGCCCTTCCGCGTAACCACTGTTGCGGGACGGATGAGACAGGGATTACGTTGGTCAACCACTTCCAGCTTCATTCGGCCGTGAAACTCCATTGGCTGCCTCGGCGTAAACAGATGCTTCGGGGCCGCAATGCCCCCAACATCGGCTATATAGTCGGGCCAACTGAAGACCGACTTCTGGTAGTCGGGCGGCACAATCAACTGTTGGCGACCCTCGTGCCAGCCGCAAGGATGGATGTAGGGCGAGCTGATATGCACCCACAAATCGTAGCAGTCATCCCAACCGTCAAAGTGGACGCGAATGCGCTCGTCCAGGGTGTCCGCTATGGTGGCCACGCAAATCTTTCCTGTATCGTTAAGATCCTCCGCTTCCAGATGCATGCCCACTACGAATCCGTTGCGAACACCCGCCTGCGGAGATATGTTCAAGTGGGTGAAGAGCGATCGCGGAGCTGCTTTCACGCCGGTTTTCACCAAGTAGCGGTTCCAGCTGAAGCGTTCCGAGCAGTACCCCTTGGGTGCTTGTAGCACACGGTTCGTCTCTTCGCACCAGCCTGGCGGGAAGATGTCCTGCGAATCCGCGTTCACCCAGAAGTCGTACATGGAAGAGTAGCCATCGAAGCTAAGTCTCAGCCGATAGCCACGGATCTCGGCAATAGTGCACACACAAAATAGCGAACAGTTCTCTGGATCGATTGCCTCCAGTTTCATTCCGCGCTCGAAGCAGTTCGGTGTGATGGGGAACGGATTAAGGAACAAGTGGATGGGCGCAGCCACATCCTTACCCTTGGACTTTAAATATTCGCTCCAGCGGAATGGCTTTTTACCCTTCTCTTTCATTCGGTTTGGCTGCTCGAGGGTCTTGGCAATGGCTTTGTTATTTGACGGGGCTTTTCTGAATGAGGCCGAAGGAGCAGGCTCCGGCTGGGTGCGACTAATCTTGCTCTCTGTTTGGCTGCTTGGCGGGAGACGACGCTTTTGGCCTCGGCGGACACAATTTAAGGAGCAAAAATCTGTCGGAGATAATAAAGAAAGTTAGAAATACGAACATATTCGGTACCACAGGCACTTACGGGGAGCCAGAAAGTCGGCGGCGGGTCCGTGGCAGTTGCATCGCTGGCACAGGTAGAGCAGTGGATGAGCACTACCCGAAGGTCTGCGACTCGCGCGATCGTATAGCGCCCGATCGAAATAGTTTGCCGGTCCTCGACGGGGCTCGCAGCGTTCGTTTAGCTGCAACAGGTTGAAGCGGTTCAGCTCGAACCGTAACGATGAGTTTTGCAGATTTGCCGGCTGTTGGCCGCGCCACTGCAGCATTGAAAGATTTTGGTGCATGCTTTTCTTCAGCGCATTAGCTCGAGAGCCAGGCAAAGGTGACGCCTCTTTGATGTGGATATCACCATTCTTAGTGGCCCTCTGTGGTGCCACGGGCTCAACCGATTTCGGTGGGGTTAGTAGGTCCGAGGCTACTGATGCGCTGGAAGAGGAGGAAGGCGGCGTACTTGGCACTTGTTCATCGCAGCGCAGAGAGCGCTCAAAGTCTTCCTTGGTCACTGGCAAGGATTCAGCTTTCACAATACTGATTCCCGGCAGCAAGCTCAACTCCTGTTTCAATTTGCTCATACCCATGGGAACCTCCACCACATCGCTGTTAGAGCTAGATGATGAGCTCTTTCTAGACGATATTGGGGCTTTCGCGGCGGGACCTGATGATCGTCGGGTAGTGGATATGGTTATTCCAGCTGGAAGAATAGGTAGCACAATGGGCTTCTTAATCGGCTGAGGAATAGGCTGAACCGGTTCTTCCTCGCTTTCGTCGTCTTCGATGGTGATTGTTTCAATGGGGGCACACGGCTGCTCGATAACGTCCACTTCTTTGGCCATTATAGCCACGGAGTGACGGCGTTCACAGGGAATCAGTGAAACTTCTGGAGAGCCCACAAAAGACTTGGATCGCTGCAGTTTGGGTCCCAGATGACCACCTTTAGACAGTCTCTTGATTTCCGGTGGCTGGAGCTTGGGCGGCTCTTTGCGCTCCGGAGGTTTGGGCTTAGGTGGAGTCTTCTTTTCAGGCTGCTGCTGTTTCGGAGGACTATGAAGATCTTGATGATGGTTTTTAGATGGCTGCTGCGATTTCGGAGGACTATGAGGCTCTTCATGTTGATTTTGAGATGGCAGCTGCGCTTTCGGAGGAATAATAGGCTCTTGATGTTGATTATTAAATGGCTTTTGTGGTTTCGGAGGACTATGGGGCTCTTGCTGCTGATTTGTAGATGGCTGCTGTTGTGGCGGAGGACTATGATGCTCTCGATGTTGATTGTTAGTTAGTTCTAGGCTCTTAGGCTCTTTATTTTGAGTTTTAGATGGCTGCTTAGGAGTAACCTGAGGCTCTTGGCTCACGGTAGGTGGCTGCTGCAGTTTCGGAGCAACCTGGGGCTCTTGGTGTTGATTTTTGGATTCCTGATGCAGATTCGGAGCAATCCGAGGCTCTTGGTGTTCATTTTTAGATGGCTGCTGCTTTTTTGGTGAAATATGAGGCTCTTGAGGTTGAGTTTTAGGTGGATTTATTGATTCAATCTGTCGCACCTTAACTTCGCCTTGGAGCTCCAATTTTTCTGGCTGTGGTGGGTTCTTTAAATCTGGAGTTTGCTGAAGCTTGGGTGGATTCTTTGCTTGAACTGGTTGTGGTTTAATAGGGACCTCAGGCTTATGTATCTGCAGGTTTTGTACAGGTTGACCCTTTTTAAGTGGACCGTTTAGAGCCCTTTCCAGCTTAGTCTTTGATTCTGGGGTTAAAACGGCTTTTGTATTGCTAGTTGCTATGGGCATTGCTTTTTCGTTCGGTGTTTTCGGGACCGAGAATGGAACATTAGCAGGCGTTATAGTTAAAATAGTAGTTTCCGATCCTAGAAGCTGTGGTTTCGGACTAGGAGCTGGAGCTGTGGGTGCCGAAACCGTAGGAATGGGAGCTGGCGGCAGAGGCTTAGCATTTGTAGTAACCGTAGTTGTACCAGCAGGAGCCGGAGCCGGAGTCGAGGCCGGAGCCAAAGGCATAACCTTTACAGTCTGAGGCAGAACTTTCTGAAATGTAACTGAAGGTAGAGCCGTAGGCGGAGTCTCCTCTTTCACCGGCAGGGGAACAGCTTTTATGATTGTCTTGGTTTTTACCGTGCCCTTGTTGTTGTTGTCGGACACCACGGATACTGCCTTAATGGGAATGGGAGCTGCCTTGCCGTTGATGTTGTTGTTATTTTGGGATGTCCTGATTATATCCTCGCTACCAGGCGGCATGGGTAGCACCTTCTTCACACTGCCCGACTTGCTAATAATAACCGATCCAGAATTGCCCTTGGCCTGATTAAATTTCCATCGCAGCTTGTCCACAGCCACCTTACTAAGTATGAGCGGGGAGCGTTGCTTGATTAGGGATATTTTGGTTCCTCCAGGATTGGCGACCTGGACGGGAAGCGTTGTGGAAGTTGTGGCAGTGCCACTAGCGGAAGTTGCTAAAAAGGTAAAAAATGAAAATTTTAAAAAATTAGTTAAATATTTTGTAATTAGTCATCTTAAGGTATGCAGCGATCCTCCAATAAATGCTTCACTCCTCCCCTGACCATCTTCTCTTTGAACTGCAGCTGAAAAAACCTGATCGTCATCATTGCTCGATGTTGTTGTTGTTTCTGCTCATGATTGTTGTTGTTGTTGTTGTGGCTACCCCGCCTTTGCATATTGCTTTTGATAAAACGAGCAATAAGCAAAAATAAAGAGTAGAAACTTTTCAGTTTTTCTTAATTTTGAACTCATTTGGACGGAAGGGACGGAAAACTTATGGATAAATTTATATCCGAAAATTGTACGGGCACCGCACACACGCACACCAACCCAATTAAAGTGGCTCGTTTAAAACCGTATTCGTTCCGTTCCGTGTTATGAAATGTGCAGCAGTCGAACAACAACTAAAAACTAAACCAGCGGCTGAAGCAACGCCAGCAACACCAACAACAATAACCACAAAAGTCAACCAAATGCGGAATGACACATGCTATCAAAATCAAACACCATTTTCCCAATGTAATGACTTGAATATCGATGGAAGAACAACCATAATTATATAACAAAATAACATAATCCCAGTCTCAGTCTCTACTCACCAATGGCACTTTTCTGGACCAGCTCTGGTTTTCCAACTAAAGGTGTTGGTGTCGGTGTTGGTCCAGGATTAATTACTGCTCCGGAGGATACTGCTACCCCACCCACTGTTTGTGAAAGGGCATTGCCTTGGATGGCAAAATGTGCTTTGCCAATCTGTGCCTGACCAGGTCTTATCACCACTGGATGGGAGTTGACATTTGTTTGGCCAGTGGCTCCGATCACGGTTGCTGTTTTTCCCGATGGCGTCAAGATGACCAGTGGTTGCTGGCTGGGCTTGCTCGCGGCTGGCAGCAGTTGAAACAAAGGAGCTGAAGTCGAAGTGCCCACAGCTCCTGATCCCTTTAAGGGCTTCGGAACAATGTTCATTTGAGTTAGTTTAGTCTTCAGAGCGGGCGGAAGTTGATTCTGATGATTGTTGGACATGTTGTGGGCCTGGACATTGCTGATGGTGATGCTGCAGGGTTTTCCAGGTGTGGGCATGGATGCGAGGGGCAGAAAACGCAACTCCTCCTTGCGGGGCGCCAGTGTCAGTAAACTATTGTTATTATTTGCTCCGGCGGCGCTCTCATTGGTGCCAGATGACATGGAGGTGGCAATGGTCATCTCACGCTTCGCCTGCTGGATCTGCTTGGCCACTCCGGAGGCCATCGACATCGGCACCATCGACATTTTATTCCCGTTTCACAAGCCCACTCTTATTTTTATTTTCGAGTAGATATCAGTTAAAAATCTCGACTTTTTAAAACTCTTCTCTCCGCGTCTCGTCTTTGGGCACTTTACAATTTTTGTACGTTGAGCCGCACAAAAGTTTTTGGCATTTTACAGTCCACCACTGGGTTGGTATTTTTTTATTTTCCTCTTTCTCTTCGAACTTTTTATTTAATTTGAATGTTTTCTTCTCGAGGTTTTCAGTTTAAACCCTATTCATTTTTAATCACCAATCACTTTTTTTTTATCTTCGTTATTATTCTTTTTAAATTAAAGTTGTGAGTTTCCCGCGTCCACTCGCACTCATTATGTGTATTTCCTTTTTTGGTATTAAACCAGATGTAGGTATTGTTCAACGTAAAAAAATTCAGAATTTATTTAAAACTGCAGTTATTTTTCACACAACCTGAAATTAATTTAAGGACTATTAAGGTTTTGATAATACGTATTATAAATTTAATTTTTAATAAAAATATAATATATTATTAAATATATATTCTCGATGACTTCTGTGTCCTGGTGTCTACCTTATTTCTACCTAACATTGCTCTCAATCCTTTTGCTCTTTTTACCTAAAAATACAGGTAAAAGCTATAGGAAATAGTACTTTATAGCCAGATTTCTTTGTATTTCGTTTCTTCTATATTACAAGTACATATTTATTTTTGTGAATTCCAAAAATCGTAAATAGGCAATTATTTTACACCTGGGTACGGTCACACTCACCTTATGTTAAATTTTGATACCATTTTTAGTTATTATGGTTGAAGATTTATGTTATCTCAAAAATAACTTGAACTTATTTTTAGGAATCCCTATGCTCCGATTCTTCTATTATTTATATTTTTATGAAATTCTTTCAAAATTTTAAATCGCTGTGATTGGCTAATGTTACGTAGCTGGCAATGTCCCAGAGCTCTAAGAACATAAAAGTCTTATCTGGGTTCGGATGAATTACCATAAGCTTATGTTTAAACTAAAGTCTCAGGGGACTTCTTTTACTCTTTTATTTCAGAAAGTGTGAAAATTGTATAATATAAAGCAATGTTTCACTTACCTTTAAGGAATCAAATGTAGCGGGTTAAGCACAAGAACAAGGATGCAGGGATGCTGCTTCAGTTATAAATAGATACTGGAAGACACAAACCCAGGACATTAGAGTCGTAATATCCTAATATAGGATAAATTACTTACTTGTTTTTTGTTTGTTTCACTGAACAACGATTAAACGACAGCCAGCCAGGGTGCTAAAAACGTTCGACCTCGCAGGCAAATTGTTGCGTACCTTGTACAAAAAAAGTACTCACTGAAATCCAATATCGGCGCAATTATAAGACGCTTTTCAAAGGCTACCATTCGTTTTGGCATTAACTAGCCTTTTGAAAGTCCTTGTTTCGATTTCAGAATCAAACGCGTTCTATGTCGATTGCGATATTAGAACAGCAAAAGCATGTGTGTATTTTAATTTGTCTGATCGACCAGCTCTGGTGGCAACTCTGCCCTTGATTTTGCGCCTGGTGTCGGTTATTTTGAAAAATCGCAAGTGGAGCGATATTTTCATGCATCGATTTTATGGGTATTCCACATTAAATTTGAGTTTCTTATTGTATTACAATTTATTTTAATATTTAAATCTTTAAAAGTTTAAACTTTAAAAATAACTGAGATGAAATAACACCCCGCTTGAATTCCAGTTACATGCACATAAGTTTTCGGTGTGTAAAAGGTTAGGTAGTAAATTAAAAAAAAAAAGATATTTTATTAGATTAATAAAATGTAAATATCTGATTATTTTAATTAAATAATTGATAAAAAGTATCTCTTCTTCTTACTTCTGAAGATTGGGAGAAGTGTTGAAAGTGGGTCGTGCTTGACAGTGTTGTCAAGCGTCACAAAGTGGCAGTTTTATTTTTTCGTCAATTTATGCGAAACTTTAGTAAAAATACAATAAGCATTTCTTAAAAAAAAGCGGAGCATTTTTCACTGCCAGATATGTCCCTGTTAAACAACGACGACAGCATTCCTAACATGGACGAGGATCCGCAGGGTAAGTTGTTGATATTCCGGGGTGTGGGCGACTCTCTTGATGATGTTATCATTAATTAATGTTCTGAATAATCAGTGGTGATCCAGGAAGACGAGTGTGTCCCGGCACCTCATATGCCAAGTGGCAGATCTATGGACTCTTTGCGCTCCTCCTTCACCAACCGGAGCTCTACTCCGGATTCCTCGCACAACTCTCTGGAGGCACTGGAAATGGCTCAAGATGACAGGGAGGAAAAGGCTAGGCTTATTACTCAGGTGCTGGAGCTGCAGAACACCCTGGATGACCTATCCCAGAGGGTAGATTCTGTTAAAGAGGAGAATCTCAAGTTGCGGTCGGAAAACCAGGTTTTGGGGCAGTACATAGAGAACCTGATGTCGGCCTCTTCAGTTTTCCAGTCTACTAGCCCAAGTGCAGCGAAAAAGAAGTAGAAGGACCTTCCTCGGAACCTAAAATCATCTCAAATATGCCTTGCTAGAGCTAAAAACATTGTAATCTTCGAAATTAAGCTTATGCAATATTGTTTCAGTTGCTAATCCGTCGAATTTGTGCACAACCCTATTGTCTTTGTTAGGTTTAAGCTTATGGCGCGCTATGTATTTTATACATAAAATTAATTTATTTATATAGATAATTAATAAATCAATATATTACCCCACCACAGTGGAAGCATTTTGAATCTCGCCCGAGCTGGCAACCCTGATCGCCCAGCTGTTCGTCGTCTAACAACAATCTCAGCAGCACGAACTGGATAATCTATTTTCGTGTTGAAACAATAACGTAGAAACCGTGTTACAGTCGCAGGCCCTTTGTTAAAACAATCAGGAATTGTTTAAACACGGATAAACTAAGAATTTGCTGCTGCGCACACAACTTTTTTTACATTTATATTGGTGGATAGAAAAAGTGATTGCGAAATACGACCAGCCTTCTGCATTTGAAAACTCTAAAAGGTGTGTATGCTTGCGATTGGGGGGAAAACAAACTATTTACTTAGTTTTTTCACCTACTGATAGTGCATTTTATGGCTTTTAAATGCCAAAGTGAAAACTAAACTTTTAGTTTACATTTCTTTGTATTGGATTCCCTAAGCCCTGCTCTTCCCCACCCGCAACGCAGCAGCAAGGCAGAGAACAGTGTTGAACAATGCCTTACCTTTCCCCTCCCCACAATGCAATTGCAGTTCTACAATAATTGTTTTTTTAATATGCACTTTATTTTAAACGGTTTCACCCACTCATTTACGTCAGCAGTTCGAGAGGCAGGCGCCATACCGCTAGAACCGCTTATGGCGGAGTCAGTTGAAGAACGTTCGGAAGACCTTTGAAGTACATCCTCAGCCAGTATTCGGATCCCTGCCAGAAACGGAAACCTCAACATGTTTTGACCTCGCACACCCAACAGCCGGAGCGCCTGTGGCTCTTCTTTATCTCCTCGTCACCTGTTTCAGTGAATAAGCACATTCACCCACAACAAAGCACATCAAACGCATCTACATTCGCCTATCATGTCCTTCTCCGACTTTGACGCCATTTACGAGGATGACCAGCTTGAGGAGCTTGAGCACTTTCAGGATCAGACAGTGGCGCCGGTCCCGGAGCCCATCATTATTCGCGGCGCTGGTAACATGACCGTGTAAGTAGAGCATACCTTGGAAAAGCACACTTAAAAGATACACTAATATAGCAGAAGATGAAACTTTTCTTAGTCACCATCTAATCTTGAGCCGATTTTTTATTCAGAAAATTAAATGACATAATGTATGTATTTCGGTTTAGGAACAGATAGTCTCAACTATAAAATTAGTAATTACTTGCTTACTTTATTACTCATTCCCAGCAAGTATATAGTATGTATGTACACAACTGCTTCAAGTAAAGAAAACAGAATGTAGCTCAAGGTTTTAGTAACCTAATTTCATCAAGTCCCTCTTTTAATATTGATACCTAAAAACTAGCCGTTAGTGGCCAGTTGACAATTATTGACAGGTTGCATAATCGAGCCGTCGGGCGGAATAAAAATGCATTGTTGCCGTCACCAATACGTCAATTACTCATAATATTTTTAATAAATCCACTGTTTTTCCCTTGCCCATTTTCAGCTTTGGCCTGAGCAATCGCTTCAACTCTGAGTTCCCCTGTGGCCTGCTATCTCGCGTGGCTCCGGAGGAGTTTAAGGCTACGGTGGGTCGCATCAATGGAGTCCTGAAGAAATCCCTGCCCGTCAACGTGAAATGGCTATTTTGCGGCTGCGTCTGCTGCTGCTGCACCCTCGGCTGTTCCCTCTGGCCCGTCATCTGCCTCAGCAAACGCGTATGAGCTTCGAAATGATTGTACTTTGAATATCACTAACCGTTCATTAATTTATTACAGACGCAACTCACGTTGGACAAGCTGTTCGAATGGGAGAATAATCATTTATATCATAAGCTGGGCCTGCACTGGCGACTGCATAAGCAACAATGTGATTCCAATTCCATGATGGAGTATGTTATTTTAATTGAATTTATACCCAAAACGCCTATTTATCGGCCCGACTAAATAGTGGGATAAAGCCTGTAAAACGGGCAGGGGTACGGGCACGGTAACGCGGGGTCGTAATGGTAATTGTAAAATAAACACTAGCTGCTAACACTTTGCTTTAGGCGTTTACCGAACACACTAACCCATAGATATGCAGGCAAACTACACAATGAGCATTAACCAGTTTAGTGAACTCACAGATTGTCTTTTTAAGCTAAAAATATTTAATATTTAGTTAAAAACAAATTTTCCGAAAAATCGTAGCCAGTAAGATTGATTGATTTCTTGTAATTGTAATTGTAGGGCGCTTTAATTTCCCTAATTTCGTTTAGTTTTAAATCCTAATTTGTTTTTTAAACTAATGCAATATTAAATAAATTTCTTGTTAGGAAATTCGAAACTGTGGCGTTTATTTTTATAGTGGCCTTTCCAAAAATTCCGACAACGGGCATCGTTTTAATAATATACACTGATATATATTTTTAATATCGTGAGTTTTCTTTTGTCCATAACTTTACAGCACTTTCGGGCACGGAGCTCCGATAAACAATAAATATTTAATTTAATGTTAGGTTTTGTTTATGTAATAATGCTTAAGTTTAATCAAGTCTTTTAACAATGCGCGGGTGTGCTATATATATAGTACATATTAAGGAATGCGATTGGAATGAATCGGTATCAACAATGATGTCTGTCTTTTTAAATAATACTTAAAGATGGGATAAGTGGTGAGGGAGTGCCATCTAATGGTTGTCATGTCCATCACCGTGGGTAGAATAGTCTTCACTTGGAGCTGTGCCAGATAGAGCCAGTGGAGACATTTCGGGATCAAACTCGCCCACCAGGTTCTCCCCATCTTCCTCCTCGTCGTCACTCTCGTCCTCGTCCTCCTCTTCGTCAATATATTGGGAATCCACCATAGTATCATCGCCATCATCTTCTGTATGAGCATCTAACATTTCGTCTCTAATTTCCTTGTGGTCTGTTCTTCGAGTTGCCAACTGAGTTTCTGGCTCAAAAGACATGTGGGTTTCTGGAATGGATTCTTCCTTATCCTCCAATTTACTATCCAAGACCTTCGTATCGCCACCAACCAGGTCCTTGGCGGTTTTTATCAGCAAGTTTGTCTGTTTCCGTAGTGCCCTCATCACCATCGAATCTTGTTTCATCTGGAATTCGTGCTCCCGACGCGCAAACTCCTTCTGTTGCTTAAAGAAGTCCCCTAACATTTCCTTTTGGGCCACGCGCATCGCATTTGCCAACTGGGTCAGCTCCTTTGCGAAAAGCTCCTCATGCTCCTTAGTGCGTCGCTTGGAATCCTCTTCGCTAGGTTTCGATTTCCCTTCGTCACTCATGGCAGGTGCAATTGCACGATTTCCTTTGCGATTGGAGTCGTACAGTGTCGAGCTGCGCTGCAGTTTCACTGGAACTGGCATCCCGATTGGTGGACTCTGTTCCATTCGGCGTTTGCGTGTCTGCAATTGTTGATGTTGGTGCGGAGTCAACTGGTGGGTGGACATTAAATGGGCTTGTCTACTTGTGGAGGGGCCCATCTGTTGGCCGTGAGTTGGGTACTTGGGTGGCGGACCTCGGTTGAGATGGGTTTGCAGCAATGTTGGCGAGTGAGGTGGACTGGTCATGGGATGTTCCAGATCGGAGGCCATACGCTCAGGACGATGGGGGTAAGCCGGCTCCCTCATCGGCACAGTCTTCATGCGCATTCCCGACGGCTGGACATTAACATCTCTGGGTAGTCTCAGACCAGATTGGCTCGAGTTCTGTTTGCGGGGTAGCATCAGCTTGCTAGTAGGGTGAACAAAGTTTATGTTATTTGTGTTTTGAAGCGGTAGTGAGCGACTCATCAGGGATGGACTAGCCATCCGGCCCATCTTCGTTAGCGTAGGAGGCGGTCTGTCGATCTGCAAAATGCCGTGGCTGGGACGACTGGCTTCATCCTTGGCGAAGGAGGCCACTCTCAGAGGTGGCATCGGCGTTGAGGTATAAACAGGATCACCATCGGGATCTTCCAATTCACCAGGCGGAGGCGATGGCGAGGCCGGTGCTGTCGGCGGTGGCGTATTGGTTTCATCCATTCCCAAGTCCATATCTGGCTCGTGCTTCACGGAAACAATAAATGGCAGATGGGGAACTTCCTCCTGGTCATGACTGTCAGCCTGAGTGCCATCACCGTTCCCTTCGTGACCATAATCAAAGCCATCCATGTCTGGTTCCGATACCATATCCGATTTCATCGGATTCTCGTAGCCTGTAAGTAAGAATTTAAATGTTATTTAAATGTCACAATTTTTAAAGGATTCAGTTTACTGAGACTGGCCTTTAAGTTTTTTTTATTTATTTTTAAAACTAATTAATTTTCTTTAATTTTGATATCCCCGCCATTGTAATGGCCGCGCAGCATTTTTAAAATTCAAAGAACTAAAAATTCTTGGAAAAAATTGATTTTTTTATGGTGTTGGACAAAAATATTTAACAACACTAAAATCAAGTACGTATGAGTATTTAAGTCATAAAAAATAATTATTAATTAGATTTTAATTATAAAAAAATGAAATCAAATAATAAAATTAATATCATTTATTACCTGTATCAATTGGTTCAGGTTTTATGGGCCCCAGTCGAAAGCCAAAGATGGGATGCTCTACGCCGAGGATGTCCTCCTTAGATTCCTCGCCAAGCGTCTTGGAGCTGTCCATCGAATTCCCGCCTTCGCTTAGGCTGGCACTAACGTTATTGCTGTGACTCCCACTGCGGCGTGATCCACTTAGCATACGGCAGAGCACTCTGTAGACCTCCTCCGGGACCACCTTTGGTATCCCAGTGCCGTGGCGCGTGGTAGTATTGTACGTAGACTTCAGGAACTTCCACTTAGTCCAGATCTGTATTCCAGACTTCTTTACGTAGCCCTTGCTGCGCATCACTTCTTCGATTTGACGGAACACATTCTCACTCTTCTGATTCCGATCGTTCAGCTGCTCCAGGGCGTTCATGTCTTGCATAATATTAAGCATCTCCAGCATTTCGGCACGACTCCACAGGTTGCGTTCCGGCCGAGTGCTGCCCTGCAGGGAGGAGTCGCATTTTCCGGAGGAGCTCCCGCTCAAGTTGCCAGAGGACGGGGGCGGCGATACATGGGCCTTAATGCGCATGGGCGTCAGGAGGCCGTCGACATCGCCCACAACGCCGTTGCCTGTGGACGCCGTGTGCAGCAGGCTGTTGATGTCCTGCCCGCTCTGACCTTGGCTCTGACGCATGTTGTGCTCCACTTTGCTCAGCAGTCGCATCTTTGTATGGGCTGCCACTGTGGTGGGCGGGGAGCCCAAGCTGGAGTTTGAACTGGAGCTGGTGATGGTGGCTGTGGGACCGCGGTTGCCAGACGACGAGGAGCTATCGTTTAGGCCCATATAGCGTGGCATTAACATGGGTGCAGGATAGAATTTGACGGTACTTCGGAACAGGTCAAATCACTGAAAGAAACACGAAAAGTATTCAAAATTAGTTTTGAAAATTCTCGAACAAGGTTCTTTGAAAGCCCCTATTATATTTAACAGAGTGTCACGTCCAATGGCAAAACCAGTTTTGGAAAATTTCCAAAACGTTTAAAAAGACCGTTCCTAACATTTTTTTCAATTTGGTTGGTAACATTTTTTAAACCTTTGGTATTATTCCAAACACAGTTAAATGTCCATAAAATCAAATTAATAAACACTATGATTTTCTGATTTTAAACTTATTTTTCTTTTTGGCCTTTGTTTGAAAACACAATTAATTAAAATCAAATCAATAAATACCTTATAAACTAATGTTTTTGGGTACAGTTCCTTTTTTTTTAATTCTCTGTCATTCCATTTTGAAGCTTTGCTGCGTCGCAAATGACAACAGTGTTTTCGGGTATCTTTCACTATTCGTCTTGAGAATCAACCACCAATTTTTTATTTACTATCATATACATATTTGCCGAATCGTGTGAATTGAGAAGTTGACGTGTTTCCAACTGTTTAACACATTCGAAAATCTATCGAAAAAGGCAGCACACCGACACACACTCTCCAACCAGTTAACTAATACACGAAAAGAGCTTACAAATCTAAACCAAAGAAAATATATATATTTTTTATCGATTTTGATTATTTCAAAACGAATAATGGCCACAAAGAAAACGTAAAAAAACGAGCAAGTAAAAAAACCGACATACACACAACACAGATATTCCCACACATACACACTGAGGCAAGTGGAACACTCTCAATAACAGAATATTTTCGAGATAGTGATTTTCAAATGCAAGTAAACAAGATACAGATACAACAGTGAGCGTTAAATTTTGGCCCAAAATAAAATTCAAAGAACTCGAATCTCGCACACAACAACAGTCTATTTGGGTGACGATTACGTAGGGTTTCTTTTTGATGAAGCAAGTGATACGAGAATAAATAATAATAAACTAAACAAATAGCAAAAAGATTAGAAAACTTGCGTTTAATATTGAATATTCTTGATTTGGTGTAGCAACTAACCAATACGATGATGCGATTCGAAACGTAAATTCGAAATATTTAATGCCACCGGTTTGAGTAATTTTCCAGCTCTATGAAAGCTCGAGACTTTGGATTCGCACGATGGGTGCCAATGATGAATTCTTGGAATATTTCTAACATTTTCGGAAATTGTTTAAATAGCTGTGGTATGGGTGACACGTTTAACTAACTACTAAAGTCAATTGCTTGGTGGCGGAAATGTAATTTCCAACTAAATTTGAATCGGTGCGGGTACGAATGTACAATGGGATAATATACCACAAAGAAGGATATTTTTATAATGTGTAATATATTAAAACACATGAGAAAAAGGATAAGAGAAAGGGTCTCATTAGCTACATATATACAGATTCAACATTTAAAAATATTAAAGAAGTCCTTTTTTTTAAACATCCACAAGTTTCCTTTTTGTTAGTTTTTATTGTCATAAACATAAACATACTTCGAATAAATAAAACTCATTTTCAATGAAAATTATCATCAATCATCTATCTTCGACATTTCTTAACCATGAGGCCATTATGCAACAATTTTGTTTGTTGGGGCATGAAAATGAATGAATGAAAGAAACATTTATTCAAGTAAACATACTAAAGTATGAAATTATGGTAAAATGTATCTGTTTATTATCCCATAGTACACTGTAATGGCACAAGATACAATAATGCGAGATACTGAGAACGCAAAGCTGCGCTCTCTCGGCTCTCAGTTTAGCTCGGCTCGCATACTACCACAAAATTTACGCTTATTATGTGCAGTAGAATTTTTCAAGAAAAAGAATATGACAAAATCGAGTTTCCCAATTACACATCGGAATATTGAATAATGCCAATTGACTGACGGCCTGACAGGCGATGGCTTCACAGTCCACCAGGTACGCTTTGCCTGACAGATAACGCCAGAAAATATTTTAATGCACATGCCTCGCAATAAGTTTAAAATAAAATCAACTTTAACTATTTTCAACACGCCGGAGAGCACACCTTAGTTCGACACACACACACACACACACACACACTTACCAGCGACAGCAGCAGCAGCAGTAGAAGTAGCAGCAGCGAAAAGAGAAGAAGCAGAGAGAGAATCCCATGCGGAGAGCTGGTCGAATTTGAGACCCGTCGCCGTTAACGACGATTCCAATAGTGAAACGGATTTCAAAACTCAAAACGGACAAACGGGCCTACAAAAACCGAACCGAACTATATACTCGCACACAGATACAGACTCCTGTATCTGTGTGAGAATACTGAGTTCGTTTTCGTCGGTGTGATATATATTCGGAAAGGTACAAATAATGGTTATGGTCGCTAGTTGTTTTTTAGATTGTGAGAGATTGCCGAGAGACAGTTTCGCTATTATATATATTTGTTCTTCTTTTTTGTTGCCTTTTGGGGATTTCTGTTCGCGTTTTTTACTTGCTCATTTTTTAAGAATGGGGTTATTTTGGGGAATATAAATTATTGGTTCCCGCACACACACAAAACCACGGTTACAGTATACATAAGCTAAAATTGGGTATAATAATGATTTTTCAAGTTTTGCTTTCATTTCATTCATTCCCATTCGTCATGATTCGTAAGCTGTGACTTTCATATTCGTTTTTTTTAACGAGATCCTTGTATTTGGCAAGTATTTAGATACTAAAAAAATTTCAATGGAATACTCAACAAAACGATAAGAAATTGTAGTGTCTGCGTATTTTTCAAATAGCTTGATTAATGGGGACATTTATGTTTTATCTTTTAAAAATTTATTATGAATAGTGTGTATTTAAGCACCTTGTTAGGTGTGCGTAGACGATTTTGACCCACTGTTAAATACCTTTTTCTTTGTAATGAGAACAAGTATCCAATTTCTCGAGCAACAAATATTACGTTTTATCATTTCAATCCACGAGTAACTACTGTAAAACCCGATAAGTATAAGCAAACAAAATGAAAAAAAAAATTATGCCAATAATTCCGGGTATATTTAGTTTTCAGAAGCCACCTACACAGGTGAGTGTAGCAACCCTCGTGTGTATAATAATCTCAATATCTCGAACTGCTGAATACTTGCTCCAAAGACTCTCATTCAGCCGAGCTTTCTTGAAGTTTTGGGGTTGCAGATGCCAAGAATAAGCCTCTACCTGCCAGGTGGCTGTAGTTGAAACTAGAATTACAACTATTCAGTTGGCCTTAAACGAATCTTGAAACTCGAATTCAAAGAACGGGAAAGTCTGGAAGGAGCGCTGGGAAAGCTGGCAAAAAATTCGCATCTGCTTTAATTTCACACGAAAGTCTATTAATGCTGTACATTATTATTATCACAAATACCTTTAAATTTAAATACAGAAATCTATTTTGAATAAATTGCCATTTTAATAAATCTTTGTTTTTAAACCTAAAGAGTTCAAACAGTGTTATTTGATTAAAAGTTTGGGAAGATTTATTTTAATAATTTTACATAATTTATATGAATACATACTTTGTATTGACAGAGGATTCACCTTCCTTTAGATGAGGACTGGCCGTATTTTATTTTTTTTTTCAAAGTTATATTAAAAATATTAGAAGCCCAGTCTGTCCAAAACAAACATAAACAACAAGTCTGTTAAAACAGCTGTGAGTTAACATTATGTTAATAACATTTGGTAATCGCACCTATGAAACACTCAAAAAAACCAAGCACATTATAGATACAAATATCGATATATTTTTGATAAGAGCACGGCATGCTGGGGTCTGGCCGAAAAGCTACCGCTAAATCAACTACCGGAAAAGTTGACCATTGCGAGTGTCTGTCCTACCTGCAGGTAAGTGGAGAAACACTAGTGATTGATGTGAAACTATTAATTTCTTTCTGCAGACTCTGGGAGATGTGCTGCCGGAAGACGCCGCCCTTCAGCTGGCCCAGCGAATACGGGCGGAGGAGGAGGAAGCGAGACATGCCGACACGTGCGGCGGCGCCAACAACCAAGCCTCTTTGAATGTCTTATTTCGAGTTTACTACCACGTAGTTCACAAATATGAGTTGGAGGATATCCACTTTGGGGATCTGCCTCAACGGCTCACCTACGACCAGCCCAGTGCGTTCCTTATGCTCCAATCTGTGCTTCTTACTGACCACTGGAAGCAGTTGGATCCAATACTGCTAGAGGACAAGTGCATCAGTGCCGTACTTGCAGCTCTCAAGAGAAATAGTCCCAGTCTTTTACCCATTTTGAAGGCCACTAACTTGCTGGTGAAAAAGTTTCCAAGATTGGAGCTGCTCCGTCTGCGCCTGGAGCATTTTTACCGCTGCCTGCAGCGCCAGAGCCAAACAGGATCTCGGGAAGAGACTCTTACCTTGTACAACCACTGCTGCAAACAGACGGGACGAGCCTTTTCCTACTTTCGGTTAATCGTGGAATTCTGGCCGTGGACAAATCGAAATAAGTACTATCTTTTAAGCGGAATATTGAACTCGCATCCGTTGTCGGAACTTCTGGCTACCACCAACCAAAGCGAAGAAGACTTCTTCAATGGACTCCGCTTGAGTTTAAGCTACAAGGGACTGCGTGCCGCGAGTCAGTATCCAATAAAGAGCCTCAGCAACCAACGGTCGCCGGCGCTGCTGGCTGCGAGTGTGGAGTTGTTGGTCAGTGGAAACATCGCTGAGATTCAAAACTTCCATTCCCAGTGGTTTCTTCGCATACAGCAGCGAGAAGTGCTGTTTGAACTTTTGCAAGCCAATCCGTACATTGTGGAATTCCTGGGCAGTGTCGAGGACCTCAAATCCGCAGGAGAGCAACTGCGCCTGATTTTGATTTTTAGCATGTTCGCCAAGGAGATATACGCCGCGTCAAGACTACATTTTTTCACGATTAGCACGGAACTGCTTACCAATTGCATTCATCTGGAGTTGGATGCCCAGCTCCTAGTGTTTCGCTTCCTGGTGGACAATTTGAGCAATTTTGCGGTGGAGGACTGCCTGGAATTCTTCCACAGCTTCATTGACCGCCATCGAACAGTGGAGAGCGCGGAGTTCCGGAACACCATGCTGGGAAAAATCCCAACAATAATTAACCACACAGCTAAGCATTTCCACAAAGTCTTAAAATCGGACATCGGCGTGGGAGGTGATGCTCTGGCCCACAATATCAAGAGATTTTTCATGCATCTACAGGAGATCATCGAACGAGATATCGGCCACGATGTCTATCAGCCAAATATCTTTGCTCTGAAGCTGCTGGAGGTCCTAAACAAATCCTTGTATGCCGATCAAGTAGTTAAGAACGCCAAGATGTGCAGTACTCAGCAGAATCAGCAGATGGGGAAATTTCTGATGGATCAGGGAGTCTTCAGACCTCAAATAGTAGCTAAGAAGCTTTTCGAATCTTTAAATAATCCACAAGGCTTCGATGATGCCCTTGAGCTGACGGTAGTTCTGTTGATTCAGCTAAACTACTTGGATGAGGAAAAGAGCTTGGATCGTTGCTTCGAACTTTGCGACAGCTCGGATGTGGACGAGTGTTCGTTGGTTTCGCAGTACGCCAAGTTAGCTTTTGCCAAGGAGCCACCCAAAGAAAAGGTTTTTCAAGATTGCCTCGATCGTTTGACGCTCAAAATTGATTCCTATCTGGAGGATCCTCTAAGCACTGCCAAGCTCGGCGGTCATCTCTTTGGCTATCTTTGTGTTCTTGATGAGGTTATAAAATCGAAAGGACCGGCCGCTCAACCTCTTGAGGATTTGTTGCCAATTCTAGATCGCATTCTTAAGGGCGTTCTTCACCTCCTTAATTTGGCCAACACGAGGCGCAAGGCGGAGGCAACTACGGCCGCCAGTTTCCAGGACATGGATGAGAGTCTTCAGCTGCTGGTAAGCGAGAGCTCATTCAAGTCTGGAGACGGCGATGAGGCCTGTAGGAAGTATTTGCTCATGAGCTTTTGGCTAACTTTAAAGGTTAGTGGAACATATAAATTTAGAAATAAAATATTAAATTTTATATTCTCTTCCAGGGTTGTTGTGATGTGGCCACGACCATTGGTTGCTCTTTACTGGAAACCTTCAAAAAAGAAGTAAACTGTGAGGCATTGAGCCGCAGTCTGGATATCAATGTCTCAGTTCTGACCCTTTGCCGTCATAAAGGAGCTATTGAAGCTGCCGGTTTGAGCATTGGAAGACTTACCCGCAGCATTACTAGCATCCTAGATAGCTCGGACGCTGGTTTTCAGTTGTTGCACGATTGTCTGGAACGAGAGCTGCTGTCCGATAGTCGCCAGGTCAGCACCACGCGTCGAGGAGCCGGTTTCTCCATCATGTTCTTGCACGTGCTGAAGAACGACAATCCGCAACATCGGTTGGTTCTTCACAAAGCCGTTCAACAGATTCTTAAGAGGCTAAATAGTTTAACTGAGGCGACTCCAACGGATAGCAACCATGATCGGTGGGAATCGTTGGCACTGCATTATCTGTGTGTTCTTGTACGTGACACGGAATTAAGGCCATCCATGTGCAAGTACTACAACGAGATCCTGCTTGTGGCTATGGAGCACATCCATAATCCTGAATGGACCATCTCGAATGCGGCGCTTCAGTTGTTTGGCGCAAGTCTTGGGAAGATAGTGGGACAGCGTCAGGCAACAGAGTTTGAGACGCGTCCGGCTTGGGAACCCAGTGAACTCGATTACGACGAGCTGGGCTGCCTTCTGCCCAAAGCTTGTGAGCACATATTAGAGTGCTGCGATCGGCAGGAAGTGACCTCCTCCATAATACTCTTTCTTGCCTTTCTATCCAAGGTGGAGCACTTACGCACTTCCAACGATAAGGTGCCGAATCCTCTTCTACTCCGTTTTCGTCACCTTAGCTGGCGGCTGTTGCGGCACAAGTGCGAGCAGGTTCGTCAATTAGCGGCCACCTGTTTTGTGCGGTCCCACGAGTTCCGTTGTGATCTTCCAGCGGTACTGCTCTCCAGTGCTAAGTTAGCAGCTCGTCTGAACGATGAGAACTTCTACGAGGGACTCATTTATGCTCTCACTGCTGGTGTATGGAAACTTCAGTATGAAGCACGGCATGTGTGGAGTCAGGAACGCTTGGAGAGGTTTTTTGAAGAATTGCTTATACTATTGGACGTCACCGACAAGGTTCAGCGCTTTAAACCGTACACGCGTAACGTTCTTCTGGAATTACTGAGGCTGTTAGGAAACGCAGATAAAGTGACTTTGGTGGAAAATCTAAGATAAGTTAATTGTATCTAATCCGTAATCTAGATTAAGCAAAAAGTTTTCTTTCTCGGTCAACGCTTTTATAACTACTCAAATTACGCATTTAATATTTGTACGTAGTAAACAAAATGAAATGAATTACCAAACACATATCTCTTAACTAATGAAATTATAAAATAGCCTTGCGATCAGCTAAACCCATCGTTGGTTTCCTGCTCCATGATCTGCTGCTGCTGCTTCGCTTGCGCCTCCTGCGCCATCTGCTGCAGTGTGCGGCTAAGGATGTTGCGCAGGATGTGCGGTTTGCAATGCTCCTCCAACCAGGGTATGATACCAGTAGTAAGCTGTTTAAAGTTATCCATCGGTATGTGCTGGAATGTTTCAAACATTTCCTCCATAATTGCCTGAAACTATTAGATCAAATAATGAAATATTATTACTAAGATCAATAACCAAATATTGGGAATCCCTTTCACTAACCACTTGAAATTTGGCCTCATCTGTGAGTCGTGCCTCTTCCGGGCCAGGATTGGCCTGCTGGTGCTGCAGCATGTTCTCATATCCATTCTTGATAATCCGCAGCGCTGTGACTTCTTTTTGCAGAGCAGAGCTCTCTTCCTCTTGCTTGAGCTTTTGTTGGTTGAGGTAGCCTATGTATTCGATGCTCTTCTGGAGAATCAGAGCCTTGCTCAGCTTGTATCCTGAGGAATCGTTGGGCTGGCATCGTGGCACCAGCTCTTGAAGGCTGTCATAGCCCTTTTTAATTGCGTCCCGCCGCTTTTGTTCCGCCTGGGTATGTGCTTCCCTTCGCCTCTCCTTGTAGCTCAGCGTGGAGTTAGCTGCCGCCGAGTGGCGCGCATCTCCGCCACTATCATCGTCGTCGTCTGCGGATACAGAATTCGGGGAGCGTGAGACACAGGGGTACATTGTAATAAAATACTGCTGCTGATAGCGTTCCATCGGATAGGGAAATTCAATGCCACCTTTATCAGCGGGCCTCCCCCCGCTCTTAATTCACCATCAAATGGCAATGTGACACCTCCTCTTCACATGTTAATGATATCTGCGCCTATGCGCCACATACCTGAATTGTGGGCTGAGGAGTTGGGCGTGTGTGTGCTGCCAGCACTGCTGCAGCGGGAGTACAGTTTGTTGCTGTGGTCCTGGTCGTGATCCATGCTGAAGGCGTCCTCTTGTTTGGGGGCGACGTTGTTATCGCTCATTTTCAACTACGACGTTGTGGAGAATTCCCAAAACAAAAACACCAGCTGTTATGTGGCCGTCGTAGTGTGGGCTACAAATACGACTGTCACTATTTGGTCACACTGGAAATTGGTTTCGATAGTTTTAAAAAACCTAACTTTTATCTTAAGATTTAAATCATAAATTTATTCTACTTAAACTACCTTACCGAAATTAAATTAGGTCGAATAAAAATTATCCGAATTATTTTAAAACTGTCAATTCTGAATGATTCGATTACACGTAATAAATAAATATTTGTGTCCAGGTGCCATTATTAAAAACGTACTCTTGTTTTTAATTTCTGTGAAAGATTTATACATTTTTGCAGAAACAGTGGTAGAAAATTTACCTATCAAATAAATATCTTAAAGATTTGCAATAGTGGTTCCCCGCTGACAAGTGTAAGTGGTGGAACAAATCACAGCTTTCAGCCTTCGATAGTTCCATCGATGTTTTTCCAGCTCTACCGGCCTGATGACTTTCGCGTTTTCTTGTTGAACTTTGCCGTCGTGTCGCTTTTTCTTTGGAGATTTTGCCCTCTTGTTGACCCGTGACCTGCGACTTCACGCCGGTAGATCCAAACGAACTGAACATGGGTCTGCTGTATGCTCTGCGCGTGAGGATCATGAATTTCATGATCTTCTTTCTCTTTATTATTCTGCTGCCCGGTCTGCCTCCCCGTACTACCTTTCCCATGAAGGAATATATGTAAGTACCGGCTCTTACCGATTGACGTAATGCACAGCATAATCCTTGGGGAATTATTATTTTCGTGGCTAGTGTGACGCCGCCCAAGGACTTAAAGGGTGCTTTGGAGCCAAACTTTCACCTGGAGGGAGCGGAGCGACTCTTGGAGGGGCGTGTCTATGGCCCAGAGTGCTTGATAGCCCGCAATAACGAGATTTACACCGGCATCCACGGCGGTGAGGTCATTAAACTAACCAGTAACCACGTCACTCACGTCACCAAGATCGGTCAGCCCTGCGGTAGGTTTTTGAATTTTTAAAAATGTTGGTTTTACTTATTTTTTTTTATTTTAGAGGACATCTACGAGGAGTCAAGGTGTGGTCGTCCATTGGGACTGGCCTTTGATACGCAGGGAAACAATCTGCTCATCGCCGATGCCTACTACGGGCTTTGGCAGGTGGATCTGGGTACAAACAAAAAGACTCTGCTGGTGTCGCCCGCCCAGGAGCTCGCCGGCAAGAATATCAATCGACCAGCTAAGGTTTTCAACGGTATAACCGTAAGCAAAGGAGGCGACATCTACTGGACGGACTCCTCCTCGGACTTTACCATCGAAGACCTGGTTTTCGCTACGTTTGCCAACCCATCGGGACGGTGAGTTCATACGAACACCTCTACGTTTTAAGATCACAGTTCGTGTTTAAGAGGGGGGACTGTATGTCTTACCAAAACCGGTTCCTATTGGCTCTAATAGTCTTCTAACGGTGCGTTCTTTTCTCCCTTCCCTATAGACTATTCAAATACAACCGCGCGAAGAATGTGAGCGAGGTTCTTCTGGACGAACTGGTCTTCGCCAACGGCTTGGCTCTAAGCCCCAACGAGGACTTCATCGTGGTGGCCGAGACAGGTGCTCTTCGGTTGACTAAGTATCATTTGAAGGGGCCCAAAGCTGGACAGAGCGAGGTCTTTGTGGACGGACTTCCCGGCCTTCCGGATAATTTAACGCCAGATGCCGAAGGAATTTGGGTGCCGTTGGTCTTGAGCTCCGATAGTGAACATCCTAATGGGTTCACGCTTTTCACTCGCTTCCCCAGCGTACGTACATTCCTGGCTCGTGTGCTGGCTCTGTTCGAGCTGCCTTTCCGCTACCTGAACAGCGTCTATCCGAACAAGTTCTCTCAGCGATTCGTCCACTTCGTTGGCCACATGGAAAGCCTTAGTGTGCTAACCCCCAAGCGCACCACAGTGGTGCGGGTGGATTGGAACGGCAACATCGTTGGTTCGCTGCACGGCTTCGACAAGTCCGTGACGTCCGTATCGCACGTTCTGGAGTTCCAGGACTTCCTATTCCTGGGTTCGCCTACCAATCAGTACCTGGCGCGCGTAAAGTCGCCAAAGGCTAAGCAGCCTACAGTTAAGGTGCGCAACGTGCGCGTCGAAGGCGAGGGTTTGCAGGCATCCTTCGGTGAACCACCTAGCTCCACCACGGCCAAGCCGCAACCCAAGGTGGCGCCAACTACAACCACGCCGAAACCCACTACAACCACGCCTAAGCCTACTACCACCACGCCTAAGCCAACCACTCCGAAACCCACCACGACAACGCCAAAACCGACCACTACCACGACTACACAGAAGCCAACAACCAAGCCAGCTGAAAAGCCCACAACTACTTCTAAGCCGCCCACCACCACAACTACAACTCCCAAGCCAGCTACGACTACCACTAAGCGTACTGTGCCTAAGACACCCGCGCCGGTAGAGGAGGATATTCCTACCGACACCAAGCCACCCAAGAAGGAAAAGCTCAAGGTGATCAACAAGCAGGGCGTCAATGTGGAACTCTAAGTTCAGAGCCTGCTCCTAACCGGGGATATCCCCAGCCGCGAGATTCGGTTATGCACGTAGTCAAAGCCCATTATGTTAAATGTATTCTCAATCTCTAGCTTCCCAATTAGTTTTGGGGAGCATTCTGTATTTCCATAGATCAGGTTCGATTAGTCAAAGTTTAGTTAATGTCTGAAGACTAGCCGAATGCTCAGCTCTGATCACTTTGGATCCTCCACGGGCAGCTCTTTATATGATTTTGCATATAATTCGGTTTTGCTTTGGCACCCGATACATTCCCTAATTTTGTATTTCACCGGAAGTGCATTCCATCTAGATAAGAGATTAAGCAAAACAATGCCCAAAATTGTTGAACTCGAGTAACTTTTTGATTTTGTACTGATTTTTTCTTATTTTCATTTAAAAATAAAGGTTTTTGTAAAATTAGAATTATAATTAGTGATAACGTAATGCTATTGAGGTTGGTTGTCTTAGAGTAACATTAAATTAGGAGCATCTTTTTCCCCATCCAGGAATTACTGTTTGGAGACCGACTGACTGGTGGGCTTGGGCCGGCTTGGCGGCTCCTTGGGCTCGGTCCACGCCCAATCGGCATAGTGGACACAGCGACCCAGCTCCTCGGAGTACAATTGAGATTTAGGGCAGCGCTGGAGGCGGGCACGGGTTCCCTGCTTGTCGCACACCCAGTACGCCGTTGGATCCCAGAAGTTGCGGAACATGCGGTTAACCTCCTCCAGTCCTTGGCAGCCGGGCTCGCCACTGTGCTCGTGGTATTTCCGCTTCTGGATGGGCAGATGTGCTGTTGCCGTGGCCATTTCTTAGCTTGACGTTGGTATTCTGCGATAGAAAGACAAAACCGGAACAGGGCATTAGTCTCATCCACGATGACGGTGCGTGATCAGCATAAAGCACATATTTTTACTATATTTTTTTTTTTGGCAAGCCATTTGGCCCACATATTTTTGTGAATTGAATTTTTCCTTTCGCTTACCTTGTGATTTGCGTTTCTGGTTTTTTTCCCTTTGGGCTAGCAGCCTGTTGCTTGCTATTGCTCAGTTATTTCACTTCTGATTTGTCATACCGAATCATTTCACGCTTAAATACCATTTCTCGTCGGCGTCGACGTCGCTGCTTGGTGATAGGGTCCGTTCCGACTTCTATTAGAAATGTCTGGTTCGAGTGCCGATTCCGGCGGTGTCGTCGCCGTCGTCGTCGTCGTCGGCGGGCAACGAGCAGTTTTTATCTATGTATAAAGCCAACAAAGTTGCGCCCGTCCGCGGAAAACTGAATCGCCTTGATCTTGAGGCGCCCCACGGGTGGGTGGGTGCTGCTGGGAGGTGGGCCCGCCGCCTGCCCTGGTCTGGTCATTCGCTCACCAGCCAAGTTTCACGTGTAGCCATCGTGGTTGGGGAATACTCCCGGCCAGAGTTTGGCCCACAGGCGATCATATATAAGAAAGAGCGAGCGCAAACATTTGGAGAAAATAAACTTAGGTAATAAGCACTTTGAGTTTGGCAAGCGATCCGAACACCTTGTGCACAGAAAGAAATTTCTTCTCCATAATAAATTTTATTAATCTTTAATTAGGGTTAAAAAAATATATATTTTTACTTGAAATTCCTAAGAAAGAGTATATAAAAAAGGTAAAAAGTATGTAGGTCTTAAGTAGGTATTATAAAGTTATCAATAATTGTTTTTAATGTAAAACCAAAAAATCCACCAAATAACCAATTTGAAGGGGCATTTTCTTCCTGTGCTTCAAGGGCAAAGGTCTAAGGCTTGCCTGCGTCTTTGGAGGAATGACGCCAGATGGAAATGTCAACAAATGCATATAGAAATAGTCAGTAATCAGTCAATAAACCAGCGACTTGGGGGGTTAAGTCGCGCCACTAACTGCAAATATCATCCAGATCACGCAGCCGCCGTGTGGGCCATATGACGAGCCCCCTAGTTTTCAACACCCCTAGTCGGTAACTTTCCCCCGTGTGTCACCTTTCCGTGAATTCTAAAGGCAAATGCCAACAACGCCTTATCATTTATCGCCCAACCAGCCGGCCCACAGCCCACAGCCAGACGCTAAACAGACTCAAGTTTCGAAGGCGTGTAAAGCCGATTGGCGAACGCTATTCACGTGATCGCTCAGTGGTTGGGGCCATATGAATTCTTTTAAAGCCCCAAAACGGGGTTGTACAATCAAGGCAAATAAATTTAAAAAAAAAAACTCTATATGGAAGTAGTATGGTCTATCGATTCCGTCAGCTTGCGAAAATTTATGTACGTGCACGTGGGCAGCTGGTGGCCAAAGTCACCGGGGAGCATTGAAAGCACGAGCTTCCATGCCGGTCTGGCGAGCAAGACGTGCCCGCATGGAGGTATTTCTATAAAAGTGCCACGATCGACCAGATTTCTGATAGTTCGTCACTTGACTCATTGGGGGAAGATTCCATATCTGCTGATGTCCACACGTTTCCCAAATGATCGATCCACTATTTATAAATTTCTAAAAATTATTCTCTAATCTAATATAAAGCGAGTGGAATTTTTAATGACGGGATATGTTTATATGACTTTTTATAATGGTTTTTTTGTGAAATTCATGAAATGAAGTCGTATAAAGTACTCTAGCTTTTACGTCACTTGATTCAAAGTTCAAATGATTAATATGGGCAGTTCAGAAAGTAGTTTAATAAAAGATAAAGCCTATGTTTTTGTTTGATTTGTCATTTAACTTTCACCCTAATTGTCTTATTGCTAAAATTTCAATTTTTGTAAAATTTACGAAATACTCTCGGTCTAAGTACAAATACTAATTCCATTGATAATTAAATATTTGCATTTACGTCACAAATCGTTAAGGAATATTCCATACCTTCTGTTTGACTAGACAGTGTCTGCTGGAATATTATAAAATTCAATTCCAAGTCTATTTTTGGTTGAACTCATTATACTAGACGTCACAATGAGACGACAAATAAAATTTCGACCCAATTAAATTTGATCCAAGCTAGATAGATAGGTTGGGATAGGTTTTATTTATGATACCTGTAGTAGATATTAAATTTATTCACTTTCATAGACAAATTAGTTTGAGTTAGTTATAGCTGGTTTTTTGGTGAATTAATTTTTGGACGCCCACGACTTTGAGAATTTATCAAACCAATGTCATACAGATTCGCGAACAAGTTAGTCTATTTCATGATTTTTTTCCTTGGTAACAAACAGATAGCGCATGATGAGTACCAACAAAGTTCGATAAGTTGAATAATTTCCAGTTCATCGTTATTACGCCAGCTTCACGTGAGTTGCGCGACTGCTCGATTTATCATTGTGCTGAAAGTTATAAATATCTACTAATTGATTAGTCACATACTAACTGGGAAGCGCCGACTTCCTCGCCTTTAGAATTTAATTCGGAATTGCACAAATGACGTTGATTGGAATTATGTCTGATGGGTAATCCGAGAGAGTTATTTATGGCTGCAGTAAAAGCGCCACTCCGCCCAGGATCCACTTCGAGGGGCGTTCACGAGTCTTTAGGTTAAAGGTCCACACATAAGTGTTGCCACGCGACCTGCCCAGAAAGAAAACGTTGAATGACAAAGACGACACTCGGGATACTCGGGAGATGTCACCCACCGGGTCTTGTACAAAGGACACTCGTAGACGCGCTGCAGTTCCTGCTTCTCCTGGACGATGGACTTGATGTATATGACAGGCATCGCGCAGAGCATTTCCTTGGGTCGCAGGGCTACAATGGAGTTCAACTGACAATCCCAGCTGGCGCCGTCCATGTACAGGTCGTGCACAAAGGCGCCCTCCATGGGTGGCAAACTATGTGCAATATATGCGCATGAATGGAAATGCAAAATTCAGTTTAATATTAAAAGTACATCCAAAGATTTCTATAAAGATTGGGTGATATATAAAAGGAATAATTTTTAATAAATTTCTTGAAGCTTATAAGAAATATTTGTGTTTGTAAGGCTGTAATATTCGTAAGGTGTGGGAACTAGTTTAATCTGATTTAATCTCAGTCTGAACAGATAACGTCAAGCTAATGCAAAAACATACAAATAAATAAATGCATATATTTTTTCCCATAGAAGTTTAGTAATCACGATTAATCACTACACAATAAGTACAATAACCTTTATAATAAGGCAAATCAATCTGATTGCTTATTGGAAGGCATCCATCTCTGTTGGCCATAAAGGAATGGACTTTCCCCCAAATTTTTAATGGGACTCTCCAAAAATTTTTCAAAAAATTAAATAATACATTATTTTTCTAGGTTTAGATGCAGATTGGTGAAGAATCGAGCACCGATTGGTTCAAGGTATTCCGCTTGAGAATCGGATGGTTATTGGAAAAACTATAGCCTTCGCTGTGGGCCATATCGTCCTACTCATGCATTCCCCAGATTTTTGCAGGGGGTCACCCAGAAAATTTGACAAAAAATCTAAAAAAAAATGTTATTCTAGGTTTTGATGCAGATTGGTGGAGAATTGATCCCCGATTCGTTTAATGTATCCCGCTTAAGAATTGGATGATTATTGGCAAAGATATAGCCTTCGCTGTGGGCCCTATCGTCCTCCCCATGCATTCCCCAGATTTTTGCAGGGGGTCACCCTGAAAATTTGACAAAATATCTAAAACAAAATATGTTTCTAGGTTTTGATGCAGATTGGTAAAGAATCGAGCCGTGATTCGTTTAAGGTATTCCGTTTGAGAATCGGATGATTATTGAAAAAGATATAGCCTTCGCCCATTCATTCCCCACATTTTTGCAGGGGGTCACCCAGAAAATTTGACAAAATATCTAAAAAAAAATATGTTCCTAGGTTTTGCTGCAGATTGGTGGAGAATCGAGCCCCGATTCGTTTAAGGTATTCCGTTTGAGCATCGGATGATTATTGAAAAAGATATAGCCTTCGCTGTGGGCCATATCGTACGCCCCATGCATTTCCCACATTTTTGCAGGGGGTCACCCAGAAAATTTGACAAAATATCTTAAAAATATGTTTCTTGGTTTCTTGGATTATTGGAAAAGATATAGCCGTCGTATATTTTTCATTCCTAAAAGTGGCAAAGAAAATTTTAACTTACGTGACATCGTCTTTTTGTTTTTTGGTAACATCGCAGCTGATGAGCATGCGGTCTAGGGGTAGGTCGTGCTTTCGGGCACTTTCCTGCATGATGGCCGTAAGGAAGCTCTGCGGATTAAAGAGCCCTCCCAGCCAGATGGCACACGGCAGCTTGAAGTCGTTGAGCCAGCCCGCTAGCTCCTTGATGCGGTGTAGTAGGTCGGAAAACCAGGACTGCAGGCCCAGCATGCTGGGATATGCCAGTCGAGCCCACGCCCCTGGGACATGATCGTAGAAGATCGCGTGGTCCAATCGCTCCATTTCCTGGGTGATAGTCAGTTCTCCCTTCAAACCCAGCATCAATTCTCGCAGAGATCGCTTTATTTCTCGGATAAGTGCGTTCATTCGCTCACATTCTTGCAGGGCCACGACCACAAACGGAGTTTTCCTTTCGACTCGATTGAGAAGAGCCTGGAGATTGAACTCGTCCTGCAGCTTGTCCAGGAAGTCGTCAATCATAATTTTCACCAGCTCCTCCCGGGGTGCGCCGCAATGTGAGCTCAGCTCCGACTCCCTCGGCTGAAGCTCGAAGATGGTGCGCAGCAGTTGCTCGGAGGCTGTGGTCAGGAAGCCAATCTCTGCATTTGGATGCAGACCATACAGCAGTGGGCTCTCCTCCGGCAGCATTTCGGTAATATACGAGTGATAGCCATCGAAATCCAGATTGGGTGGAGCCGGAAATCCCGGGCACAATTCAAAATCCCCATCTATCAGGTCTTGCTGCAGTAACTCCTCCAAATAAGTCTGGCAGAGTCGGCGATCCCAGTCGTCGGTGATATGTCCACCGTACATGATTTCCCCGAACAGGTATCGCAAATCCTCCCAGGGAATGCGATTACTTCCCTCCAGATAGTTGTGGAGCACATTGGCCGAAATGATCAGGTCACCAATGTTAAAGGGGTAGACCTTGTTCCAGCCTTGAGGACCAAACTTTCGTCGTTCTCCAGCCACAGCATGGAAATAGCAGAGCGCGAACAGGATGGACTTGAACTCCGCCTCCTGGGTGCATGTTTCCAGAGCATCTTGTGAGAAATTGTCCCAGGCCTTATGTAGGTTGGCCTCCATCCCAGCTGGCGGTTCATTCACCACCTGTTAGGTGTATTTTCAGGTGAAAGATTCACAAGGATTAGTTTAGTTACTCACCTTCAGCGAGGACTCGAGAATACCTTGTGGTATCACATGGTATTGTGGATCCGGAGCAGGCTCAGCGCTGATAAAAAGCCGGAAACTGGATTCCCCCTGCGTCTCACTTTGCAGAACAATGCGCTCTATGAGCTTCTCCAGGGTAGGGAGCCAGTTGACTACGAGGTGGATGTTTTGCAGGATTACCCACTGCTGTCCGGACTCCAGGGCCTGAATAATTGCCTGCTCGGCCAGCAGCTCCTGACCCTGCCCTAGGGAAATGTTCACCAAGGTGTCAGCCTCCGCATGGAAGCCCTGCCGCTTGCCGAAGCTCTCCACATCCCGGATGGGATCCACTCCGGGCGAAAGGATGAAAAAGGCAGGAGTCGCTGCATTTAGTTCCTGGAAGATGGCCCCAAACGGAGGGGTTTGCACCTCCGCATAAGACTTTCCCATTGTTTGCTCCACAAACTGACGCATGGCATAGGTCATCCGATCCGGTCGCAGCGCCCGGATAATGCACAGTTTCTGAAGCGGCGTGCGGTGCTTCCACTCGCCGGGGAATTGTTCCCGTTCCGGAGTATCGCTGGACATAAACTTGCGCCAGCGCTTTGTATAGTTCTCCATGTCCTTGTCGATGCCGTAGAAGTGTTCAATCAGGGTCAGGGACTTTATCCCACCCCAAGCACTGCGGCCCACGAAATCCAAGGGCGACAGGGTAGTGGGATCATGGGGATATCTCAATAGGAAGTCCGTCTCGTCTTTGGCCACCTGTTCGGCGGCAATGAGGATGCGCAGGGTCATGTGCGAAGTAAAGGTGAGCTTATCAGCTTCAAATAGCCCGCGTAGTGTGTATCGATAGGTCTGCAGGGTGATGGAGTCCACCAAGTGGAGCACCCTCCGCTCATAGTTCTTCGATTCGGCGGCAAGGGCAATGGCCTGTCGGAAAACATGCATGAAGGATTTTAGGGAGAACTTGTAAATTGGATTAATGCGACTCAAATCAGTGAGAACAAAGTATAGGATGGCAGCCCTCTTAGCCGCCGATCTGTATATATTCCGGGTTTCGTCAATCTGCAATGTTGTTACTCTTGCTTCCCGCACCTTGGCCTCGATCTCGTCCACCGTGCGCTTTGTGTTCTCCAAATTCAGGACCAGAGCGTGGTCATCCAGGACATTTTCCCCGGCTGACGCCAAACGGGCCAGCAGCTCGTCCTCCAAGGCTTTCAGTGAGATCTTGAACTTGTTCTGCTGGACCGTGACCTCCGTTTTCATCTGCTCCAAGTCCGGACGCTCGATTTTCACCACTTCCGCCAGCAGCTGCTCCTCGAGTCCGTCCGGTGTGACAGTGAAGTTTATAAGCGTCGTTTGGGCCTGCATTTCCGGCTTGTAGTGGGGATTGGCCAGCTTGGTGTGCAGGATGAGCCGGAAGTTGGGGTTGAACTCGATTTCCTTGTCACCGATACGCAGGTAGCGACCCTTCTTAATCAAGGCCCGACTGAGTAGCGGCTCCAGAACTGTGTCCATCGTTTCCTCAATTTGCTCTATGAGGACAGTGTCGCCATGGGAAATACTCTTCTCTAGGGCCTCCAGGAATCCTTTTTGCCGCAGTCGGAGAACCACCAAAGAGACCCCAAACCTGTTCTTGATCCATTTGATGCCTTGCCTTGATTTGAAATAGAAATGGTGATGATTAATTGACAATGATTCTAAGGTCAGTATCATATTGCTTAACTTTGCTAAGATAAACTGCCAATTGCTTTAAATAATAACCTTTTTTATTTCATTTGTAAATAAACGTAAGATATCTCTTTCCTCCTATTGTTAGTATTTAACGAAGTAAACCAATTATTACATGTATTTAGGAAACGATTGAGAAAATTTAATTATCAGTTTATGTAATCTTTAAAGTGCTTATTTCTATCAATTATTGAGTTCTCAGGTAACTAAATGAAAGTATTTGCTTAAACTGCTTAATTGGACTATCAAATGCTTCAATTAAATTAATTCAGTATTCACCAAATCAATTATCAAGTGCAATTCCAATTTTCCACTTACAGCTGCGGATCAATCATCAATGGCCATCGGGTGGAGTACTGGAGAATGGTGGCGTTCTCGGTGGACATCCTATCCATGGGCAGACCCTCGTTGTTCCAGGCGGCTATCTGGGCGTCGTCGGAGAAGAGAGCCAAGGTGTCCACGCCCTCGGTGTGCGGAATGTGGGGCTGTGGGTGAAAAGACAGGGAAAAGGATCCCTCTTAGAAGTCCGCACGTATCGAAGGGAAAGTCTGCCTGGCACTTACATCGATTTTGCGAAAGTTCGGCAGCCACATCTTGTGCTGCAGCTCCTCCCGGTAGCGCCGCGTGAAACAGCCCACGTACGACAGGAACGAGGAAATTAACAGTATATCTCCGGGCAGGGTACCAATCTTGGCCTGCAGGCTGTGCAGAATAAGAAGAATGGGGGCAGGTAAGTCAAGGATAACCAAGTGGATGTTGGGCGGGCGGTAATCTCCCCTTTGATGCTAACAAATCGTATAAATTACCGGGGAGCAGGATGCTAAAGGTTGCAGCCGCCCCGACATCCGCCAGTGCAGTCTTTATATTCCTACAGTGTCTATATCCCTTCAAAACCTTCTTAAAACGGGCGGTGCATTTAAATTTAAATGAGGGGAAATTGAAAAAATAATGATGTCGGAGAGGAAGTTGCAAGTTGTTGCTGCCTCTGTTGCTGACAATGTTGATGGGCATGGGCTTAAAGCTAGGATCCTGCCGTCGTGGTGGGTGGTGGAGCACTGAAGGATGCCCAAGTGGTTGCATAAATTATCGGAAATTGCTGCATGCCAACTCTTATTGAAATATTTCAGCTTATTATATCGCAACCTCGGGTAAAGACGGGGGAAGTCAAGAAGTATTCAATGTAGGACAGGGCAAGAGTGTGCTTATGAAACATTAAACATCTCATTTTGCACAAAGGAATAATATTGGTAATATTATTATTTATGCAAGCTGTGAACTATTTAAGATCACACAATTTATAAACTCTCAGACATATTTTTTTAATTTTTCATCAATAAATAATTACAATATGTAATCCTAGTTGAAAAGTTTCAAGTGTATCAGCACTCTCTTTTATGATATTATTTGAAGCGTTTTTAGCACAAAACTATTTTCAATTAGTTACTGGCGTTCTTCCCTTATCCTGTGTGTCCACTTATTAAAAGTAAAAAGACACATGATTTATGCACATTCATATATTTAAAGACTCACACAAATGGGTCTTTATAATTGAATAATCTAATAAATACTTAGACCCATTTCCATAGAAATCGTCTAAATAAGGGGTTCAATTAGCAACTAAGAGTTCTAAAAATACCAATGAGTAAGAGCAGTTCATCGCTTTTATTAGGAATGTTTTTACAAAATTCAGTATTACTATTGTACCCCTCTATTTAAATAGAAAACTACACCCTTGGATTCCACGTTTATGGAATAATTGTTTTTGCAGAAATACCGTGTTGGATTTTAGTGAAATGCCTGTCAGGTGACATAAGAGCATTCTCATTTCAAACAGATAGTATTTTTCAAAGACAGCCCAGCAATGCCAACAACGAAAGTTGGCAAACAAATGCAAGTATCCTGCATCTTTATTGGGTGCGTGTGTGTAATTTTATTGTCAAATATGCAGAAATTTATATGCAAGTCATGGCAGCTTACACACCCACACTCCGACCTACACAGGTACAAACAATTTGCTTTTGTGGGTCAAATTATATTTTCATAAATATTTGAACGCCTCTCGCCCCGTCTGCAGTTGGCCAAAGTCTGACCCAGGAACTAGGATCCAGAATCGAGAGCCATGCACGCCGTATAAATGTATGTGTGTATTTATATCCTGTGCGAGCCGGGCTGTTGCTCCTTTGGCAGTGCATTCAATGGGCATTAGTTTGTATGGCCAAGTCACATCCACACCCTAGCCGGACTACAACATAAATTCACAACACAGCACAACAGAAAAGAACAGAACACAGCACACACAGTTCGGAAATTTTTCATTTTTCGTAATTCAATACGTATTTCATATGCATTTATATTCCGATTCAATCCCCCTGGCACTTTAGCTGCTGACGCTGCCCATTTGGGTTTGATCTGGACTTGGTGAGCTGGGCGAGCTTATGCGAACTTGTGTGCGAATTTTGCAGTTGTTTAGGTGCGAAAAATTCAACACTTCGATTCGGCTCCCAACCGAGCAACCTAGCAACCTCCAACCCAAAACCCAACCGACACCCAATCGCCCTTTACGGATTTTCTTTTGGCTTGCACGCGCACTCAATTGAATTTCAATGAATACAGCCAGCCAGTCAATGGGCAAAGGTGTCGGAGTGCTGTGCGTGTTGTGTGCACTACCCCGGTCCACAGCCCACTGCCCACAACCCTTGGTCAAAACCGAAACCTACGGAAGTCCCAATTGGAATTGCCATTGACATCTATATGAATTTGATTACGTTTTTTGCCAGTGCTTATTGCAGTCGATGGTTTATATAATTGTTGGTCGGCTCCCTATTGCCTTTCATACTCTCATCAATGGAAATACATGATTTTATAACGTTGTGGGAAATTCATTTCAAGTTTAAATTGGCTGAGCAGTTGCAAGTTCATTGAGTTCAATCATTTGAAAAAATATTAGCCACTAGTTGGATCACAAGGTTTATAGTTGTGTCAAAAATATAGATTACTTCTATAATAGCTTTACGTAGAAAAATATTTCTACATTGAAATTTATTGAATTATTTGCGCAAAATGCTGCATACTTTTATGCATCTCCCAGAGGCGCACTATTCGAAAATATTTGTTATACATATCTTAATGTAGACATAACTTTAACACCACATCAACTATTTCTATCCGTAATCCGTTTGGAGTGCAGATGCATTACCACCTCAACAGTTACGTGCTTTCAAATACTAATAGGCTTTGCCTCCTCCACACGAAACCTGCACGCTTTCTCCAACTTGGCACTTTCTCCCATCCTTTCTGTTGTGCCGCCAACTTTCACGCTTGTCAAGTGCAATTTTTGGCTTGTTAGGCAGGTGTCTCGCACCTTGCCACGACATATTCGTGCCTCGCGTTACCAGCTCGCGAGGCAACAGATGGGATTAGCTGATATTTACACTGGCACAATGACAATGCCTTTCAGGTTTGAATAGGTTTTGAACGAGTTTTGCACGATTTCCTATGCGATTTGACTAACAATTTTGAATTGAAATATGTATGTGGCTTTTAAATATTTAAAAAGCAAATAGGGGTACTAGAAACCAAGCTAGAAACTATCCCTAAAAAGAAATGATCAAAATTCTAATAAACAACTATCTAATTCTATCTAATTTCTTAGAAATTAGAGGAAATTAGAAATTCTTAGTTTCTATCTAATTTCTTTGACAAATTAGAGATAGTTTAATAAAGAGAATAATTAATTTAAACTGTTTAAATTGGCAATGATTTTTGCACATTGTTGCCGGTAAAGACAGTTCATTGCCATTGGTGGGTGCACAATCGAGCGAATGAGCCGGGGTCGGGAACCTTGCAGTCAACCAAACGGGAGCAGGCAAATAAAATTTACGGCCTTTTGTTGCTGCGGTGGCCCGAAAGTGAATGGAATTCGCCAAGCACCCCCACACCCATCATCAGAAACCATCCCAGCCCCTACCCTGAGTTCAGTTCGGCTGGCGAGGCAATTACTGCGATTGCGGGCGCACACAGAATGTAAATTAAATTTAATAATTGATTGCGTATAAATGCAGTAGCACCTACCTCTGCACGGACTCTTTCCACCGGATGTTCTCGTTGGCCAGTCCGTTGACCAGCCGGTGGGCCAGGTCAATGGTGAAGGAGGTCTTGTCCGCCTCCCGCTGGCACCTTTGCTTCTCGGCCACCGCGTTCTCAAACTCGGCCTGAATCTCGGCCAGCTTCGCCTCCAAGTTGTTGATTTTCGCCTTCAGATACTGCAGCCGTTCGCGTGCCTCCAATAGCTCCTGCTGCGAGTCCTGCAGAGCCTGTTGTTTGGGCCCGACGATCAAGAAAACCTGATGGTAGCGATGTAAATTAATTACCCAGGCGCACAGCCCTGCGGCGGCTACTGATTTCTGCACTACTTTGTCTGGATTAAATTCGGGGTCCTTGAAAATATTTACACCATCTTTATAAATTATGAGTAAAGTATTTTAAAGTTTACCTTAAGATACTCCTGTAGGGTTTCAATGATATTGGGATGTATGTTGTCCTTATTGTAGTTCAAAAGATCATTGAGGAACTGATCCACTCGCACCATCATCAGCTTGGCAGCCTTCCAGCTCCGATCCCTTGGGATTTTCCCATTGCTGGCCAGCAAGACCATCACGGCAGCACAGACATTAATGACCGCCTTGGGAGGTGATCCAAAGGACTTTAATTCGGTGAGATTGTTCTTATTCAGCGTGTTGAGGGCAGCTTGGGCGGCCACCAGAGCAGGCTCCGCCTGCCTAAGATCCTCCTCGCACATCTTGGTCTTGATGGAGACATCCTCCTCGATGATGCGAACCCGCTTCTCCTCCTCGGAGGCGATGTACCGCTCCTTCTTCACCTTCTCACTCTCGGCGCTTACGATCACAATCAGCTTGTCGGCAGCAGCGTTCTTGGCCGCCAATTGGACCTCTTGGATTGCCAGTTGATGCTGCGAACGAGGAAGTCCTTGACTCAATTGAAACTCAAAGCCAAAATCAAAGTGAGCTGAAAAGTTTCCCCGGCTAAGGAAGATAATTAAAGCCCCGGCACGATGGCTCAATATTTACCCAGAGCAACTTTCGCGCACAAATTGCGGGCGTATCAATACAAATACCAGCCCGTATAAGTGTGGTTCAAAATCAGCAGTGATGTGCCGTGTACCTTTAAAGGACTTAACTTTAAAGCATTTAGTTAAATAATTTAAGGAAAACTGCAACTTGTTTTCCAGGTAGATAAAAGTATAGGTCCTATAAATGTATATACATTCCATTCGACTTTATTTGTATTGCTATAGATTTTTTAATAAATAGCTAAAAATTAATATGCCATTATTCTCATCACTGAAAAGCACAGGCTGTGAAATGAGGGTCCTATCCACGCGCTTCGGAAAATTGAAACGGCTTTTGTTCGATTGAAGCGAATTCAATTTAATTCAATTAGTTTAAATAACATTTGCCCTGCCCCGTCCCTTAGCTGGGGCACGGTTGAATGGCTGTTGTTTAGCGCTGCAGGGGTGTGGAAAAAGAGCTGGGCTTACGCTGCGTATACGCGACGTAACCGGAAACGGCGTTAAAAACTCAAAGAATGGCGCAGCCAGAGCCTCTGTGTCGGGGCTTCCGCTTCTCCGGTTTCCGCCATTGAAGTCAGAAAAGGCGGACAAGTGGACGGCGGATTTGCTGCAACAACAATTCAATTAAGCGTACTAATTGAATGGCCGACGCGGCGGCTTCGATGCTCCGGATCGGATGGCAATGTTCCATTGAAAGCTGATGCTTGACGATGATCGATTTTGTGGCTACCCTGCAGCCGTGTTCAATTAATATTTGAAAGTCCGCGGAGATGCTACAGATTTTTTGTTCAGAACTGAGACAGGAAATTATTTCGGAACTTGAACAGAAAAAAATTCAATTTACATGTGCCCGGGGAACAAAAACAGATTTGTAACCAAACCTTAAACATAGGATTGAAAATGTATCGATTTGAATTTTTTAAATTTGTACTTTAAAAAATGAGATGTACTACAATTTTATAAAATTATAAGTATCAGAAAAACTTTTGTTAAATTTAAATCAAAGTCCATTCTAAATACAGTTTAACTTTTAAGGTTTTATAGAAAAAACTCCAAGAAATTTCTCTTTGTGCCCCTACAAACCCACCGACTTGCCACTTTAACATTTTATATATATACGTAGCATATGGGCACCGAATGTGGCACTCGCCTCCTGTCCTGTCCTGCCTTGTCCACTCCATCATTTACTCACCTTCAGAGTGTCCACCTGACGGGCGCACTCCGCCAGCTTGGCCATTCCGCTCTGGAGCCGGGCAATGCGCTCCGCAAACTCGCCGTTTTTGTCCACCAACAGTTTGCGGTAGAGGAAAATGTATTCCAGAAAAGTTTTCGGGGTCGTGTAGTTGTAGCGTTTTTCATTCTGCAGATAAATTCTCGATATCTGATTCACAGTGCCGTGGACGTAAGCCATAAAGCACCCGATGGGCGGCACGAGGGCGGGCTGGAAGCAGGATATGGAGCAGTAAGTGGGAGCAAAGGGTCAGGACCCTTCGGTCTGGACTCGTGCTTAAAGTGTCCGGCGCTGTAAATTGTGCCCGACTGACGCATAAATAAACGTCTGACGCATACGTACCTCCAAAATGCCACTGATTTCGTTGAGGAACTTCTGGGAAACGGACTCCAGGGCGCTTTTGGGCCACTCGTGGAACCAGTCGATGGCCGTCCGGCTGATGATGGCCGGAAATTTCCGAGCCCGGACACGCAGAGTCTGCCCCACGGGCGAAAAGCACAGCACCACTTTCAGCAGCCGTCTGACTTTCTCCACGAAATACCTCCAGCAATTGTCCTTGGTGTCCAGGGTGCCACTTTGTTTCACCTCGTTGCGAATTCCATTGGTAATGGTGTCCATCTGGTCGTCGTTGAAGAGTTCGGGTATCTCCCCAGATGCCAGCAGATCATTTATCAGCATTAGTATCGATTCGTCGGGTATCTGAGCGTCTGAGATGAGGAATACCGAGGCCAAATTCTTGAGGCCCACCTTCATGTACAGACTGGCGATTTCTTCTCTCATATCTAGAAGGCCGAAGCCCCGCTTGATTTGAATTTGGGAGACACTAAGGGAGGAAATAAAGGCGGCTAGGCGGGCCAGAGTCTGTTTGCCAGAGCCTCCTACGCCTATAAGGAGAGCATTACCCCGAGGATTCTCCAGAATGCGATTTATGCTGAAATTAAAGAAGATTTTTAAGGATGAATAGTTTTAGAAAGTCCTATCCTTATTACTCACCGACAAACGTGTATCATGGCATCCTCGAAAAGGACCAAATTCATGTACCCCACCACCTCATTATAACTTGCCTGGGCTTCAATAAGAAGCGAGTAAAGAGAGTCCCAGCTCTTGAGGGGCATGTATTTCTGATCCACCAGCGACTGGGCAAAGTGGCTATAGATCAGCGGTTCTGCAAACACAAAATCCTCATCAAAGTCCTCGAAATCCTTCTTAAAAATATCTCTGATGGATGATTTAAATGATTTGATATCATAGGGATCCACTAGTCGATCATGATAGACCCGAAAGGCCTCGTGGACGTAGAGGCGCATCAGTTCCGAGGGCCGGCTGCAAATGGTTCCCCCATAGCCAGTGTTTGCTCCCCCCGCCGAGGCTGGGGCTCCCACACTATTCATCAGCCCTTGGTAAATACCCGTCAAGTCCCGGAGATTAAACAGATAGTGGAACTTTACGGCGGTGGGCAGAAAAGCGTACTCCACCCGCCGATGAAGGGCAATTCCCACCCGCACCAGCAAACTGCCGATGGACCGGATCTCTTTGCTGAATCCTTGGCCAGGGCTTTCCAGGTGACTGGCCAGGATACTGCCGTAAATATACTGCAGCGTATCCTCGCTCGGCGGAGCAACCGAAAACACACAAAAGTGGCGTTGCAGTCGGGGATCAATAGTGAATGATCCGGCTGTGGGATTCATACAAGCCGCGAACTGGCAGTGACGGATGTCCTTTAGCTGCAGCCTTTGTCGGTCGTACCTAGGGATATATAATTATAGATAGAATCTTATTGTATCTATTTTCCTTGTTTTTTTACAATTACCATTGCCTGTAGTCCATAAACTGCCGCATTATTGTGTGTGGCTGTACTGTTCCATAAGCATCTACTTCCGGCATGTTTAGGTCATTTACAAAGTATACAAGTCTTCGTTTGGGACCACTGGGGGCGTAGCATCTTCCAGACTTCTTTTCCAGTGGTCGGTCGAGCATCTTCTGGAATATCTCCGAGCTGGTGTAGAAATTAAAGTGGGTGGCCTGAACGGTGGTCAGAAGCGGAGTAGCCGAGGAGGACGCCTTGCGCCGCACGCCTGGTGCGTTTGCCGTTTGAATTGCTGGCTGGTGATTGCTTTCTGAAGCCGAAACCGTGGTAACAGCCACTTCAAGGAGTTCCTGGTCATTGGCGTACTGGCTGAAGAGTTCTCGGAAAATGGCACCCTTGCCACAGCCAGAACTACCAACTAACATACAGGCCAAGTTGCGGTCGATGAGGAGTTTGAGAAAATAAGCCAGGCGAGTGGTTTCCGCCGTAGATATAAGTATGTTCTGGGAGTTTAAGATTTATGAATTTTCGTGGAACTTCTTATTAATTAAGATTAAGTTCTGATTAAGTTCCTCACCTGTAGCGGAGTCTCGGAATCAATTTGGCCATCCAATTGATCCTGGGCAGCCAGCTCAGTCCAGGGTTGAAATTTTAGGGTTTGCACATTCAATTGATGGTCGAAAACTGTGCCCTGGCTGGGCAACTTGATGTCCTTGAACTCTCCAATCCACCATTTGTGAAATTCGCGGTGCCAGTCAATGATTACGTCCTGGCTGAGGGCTGAGCCAAAACTCCAAACAGTGGCGTACACGAAGATGGTTTCTAAGGCCATCACCATGGCCTCGTGCGAGAGCTCACCGTGCTGCAAGCCATGCGGATTTACGGCGGATCCAGCTCCACCACGGCCATCATTGCCATCGGTATCGCTGTCCAGAAGACATTCAAGAAGGTAGCAGGTCATCTGAATCATGGCCATGTCCGTAATGGGAGTGATGCGGCGAAAATCGCGATGTCGCTGCATTAGGCATGGAAAATATTTCTCGAACAATGTAGTCAGGATGCCCCTCTCTATCATATCCACTCGGGTCTCCAGCCAAGAAGAAACATATCTATTTTAAGTAAAGGAAATTTTGTAAATTTTTTGTTAATTGTGGCGGGCTCTTTTCGAAATTTGAAATGGATGGGGACATTATGCTATACCCCTTTAAACTATATAAAAAGTGACTCAAAACACTTTTAGTTTTAAGTATTAACTCTAAACATAATAACTTTTGTTAGATTTTTTATCAAATTTTCTAGATAAACCCCTTTATAAATAGACGATATGGCCCACAGCGAAGGCTATATCTTTGCAAATAATCTGCCGATTCTCAAGCGGAATATATTAAACGAATCGGGGATCAATTCCCCACCAACCTGCATCAAAACCTAGAAACATATTTTTTTTTAGATTTTTTGTCAAATTTTCGGCACCCTTAAAACCATGGTGAGATTGTGCCATATCTTTGGCAGTAAACTACATTTTTGATAAAATTGATCAAAAAAAATATTCAAAACACTAAACAAAAAAATGTGAAGAGAAAACTACTTACGGAGACCAGCCCAAGTCTTGGGGATTGATGTACAGGATGCCAGCTCGTGAAACTGTGGCCGGAGTGGCAGCCTTCAGATGTCCTACTTCGAAGAGGAGCCGCATCTCCTTTTTGAGAGAGATTCTTTCGTTGCTGGCCAATGTGAGAATTTTGTTATCGTCCATCAGAGTGTTTAAGCTCTCGATCCACATGGGATCAATGTCCCCGTCTAGGACAATCCACTTTGGATTCCCAGGCGGCATGTTCGCCTGCTCCCGCATGATGGAGGAAAAGAGGCCATCTTTCCACTCCCGCGTCGTGGGATTCACAATGCCGAACAGTTCGTCGTTGGACAAGGCCTTGGGATTGAGGACGTGACAGACTGGTTTCATTTTTTGGATCCGGTAGGTTTCTTGCAGGGTTTGCCAGATCTTGGTCTTGCCAGTGCCGGCATTTCCCACTATGAATACAGAATGCCGGACATCGAGAAGCTCCTGAAGTTGGACCACCTTCATAAGGAACCCCTCTTCCGGCTGCAGCTTGATTTCGTTTACCGCTCTCCGTATCGTCTTCTCGAACTCGAAGACTCTCTTGCGGGGCACATCCAGGGCCGGAAATAGGTCGCCAATCAGACCCATAAATATGGGCACGTCCTCCGTGACAATCTTGGGGATATTGAAGTCGCGCAGTGCTCGCATCAGCACCTGATCCTCCGGCCGGCTGTGGTCGTCCCTCTTGAGGGTGCCGGCCACCACCAGCACCGACTTGATGGCCCGCAGACCCCAGTCGTAGTGATCCTGCTTGGATAGCAGCTCCTTGCACAGCGTGTACAGGGTGATAAATTTTCGGGCCAGCAGACGGGCGTCCTGGAAGCCCTCGGCCATTAGCATAATCTCACAAATCAAAGCAAAGTCCGGAACAATCATGGCGCACGGCCGGAACAGGGTCTTCAGGTTCTCCGGCAGCTCTGTCCGGCCGGCGTATCCCGGATTCATGGTGATAAAAATTCCAACCGACGGCTCCAGCGAAATGCGCTCGCCCATAAAGATAAATTGGGTTTTATGCATCTGTAAACAGAGCGAGGAAGTGGCAGAAGGAACAACATCGTGGACCAGACCAGAGGAGTGTGGACCAGTGAGGTTCAGGAAAAGTAATCAATGCAACATGCTGGAGCAAAGCACTTAGAAAAAAGGATATGCTTTATCAAACTACTAACCATTTTAATCTAAAGTGTAGCTTAAATATTTCAGATGGGTTGTTGTTTTTCCCAGAAAAGTGTTTTAAAACTAAAAATATATTTCCAATTCTCTATTCAAAAATCTTTATAAAAGTGCACCTTAGGTGGGCAAAATCAATTTGCAAGCCGTGAGAAGCATTCCCAGGCCACGTACCTTTATTGCCTCCTGTATGGTCTTCACCTGGACGGCCACCACGGACAGGACCTCGACGCAGATGCGATTGAACTCGTCAAAGCAGCCCCAGGCACCAGTCTGGGCCAGCCCTTTGTAAATGTTGCCACAAGATTTGTAGTCCATTTGCTCCGAGCAGTTGAAGACATAAACCATTACGCCCAGGGCGCGTCCCAGGTCCTTGGTTGTTTCTGTTTTTCCGGTTCCAGCAGGTCCTGCGGTTGCACCGGCCAACCGCAATCGCAGCGACTGTCGTGGAATTGGCAGGACGAGGTGGCATATGTAAATTACAAAGAGCATTTATTTTCCACTAACGAGTTGTTTAATTTAACGCAGGACCAGGTGGGAAAGGAGTTGCAACAAACTGATGATTGTTAATAGCAGCCTTGGCATCCCACTTTCCCCCTCGAAGGTCCAATTAAAATGATTCTAAGTTACAAAAATATGCTGCCTTATTGTCATTATTCAAAACAGATATCCTTGTTTTTCTGATTGAAATTTGGAAAATCACAAAATAACACATTTCGAAGAGGTCATAGCTATTTTCCCCTTCAAAGGATTCAAATGTACATGAGTGTAAAGTGTAAAGCATATTATTGCAACATTGTTTGACACATTTCTGACACAGCACGATACATCATAGATGCCACTGAGATAATATCTGATTGTGCGAAATGGCGTAAAATATGCGACTGCCCGAGGAAAAATGTGCTCTAATTGCACGAAAATGTAGGTGCATTTAATTTATTGAATTTACGCCCTAAATCACACGGCCAAAGTGTCTCATGGCGCTAATATTGAGTTTTTGTCGCCCCTTTAACTTGCTGCTCGTTTTAATATATTCAAGCCATGGGACATTGGCTTTTAATTATTCAAAGCTAACTATGGACTATACATTTGTAGCGGATTTCCGCTGATAAATCCATTAACGCCCCGTGGCAGGCGTTGAAAAGGTTTATATTTAATTCAGCACTCGTTAGAAAGGATTTGCACAACAACAGCAAAGTGAAAGTGATTGGCCGGTGTTCAATTACCGGCGTTGCGTATACGCCACGTGTTTCAACGAAAAATTATGTAAACGCCTAACAGTTAGCTTTACATTGGAAAGGGAAAATAGAATTAATAAAAAATAAAGTCCTACCTGCGTTAGGGTTATATAGCAGCGATCTGTGAGTGGAGTGATTACCAGGCGGGATGTATTTCCCAGATACTCGTAGGCATACCGGAATTCCGCATCGCAGATGTTGGCAAAGCAGTCCTCGTCTCCGCTTCCACAGCTGATGGCTGTGCTTGCCCTGCCACTGGAGCTGCCAGCCTGGTCGTCATCCCATCTGTGACGCAGCTGACTCTGCCACTGGAAGGCCAGGGAGTTGTCCACCTTGGCGGCAATGATCTTGCCCACCACATCTCGCGAATGAACATCTATAGTGCAGATTGTCATGATCTTCTGTCGATCTCCGGGCGACAGCTCGCCGAGGAGCAAATTGATAAGAGCGTTCAGCTGGGCGATTTGTCGTTTGTGTAGTTCCTTCATGACGCCCTCGTAGCCCTCCTCCATGCAGCCAAAGGACCGGTTCACATCCGCCGTCCAGCTTATTTGACTGCAGCAGAGCGCCACCTGGGCGGGCCAGTCGTAGAGCCACTGCTCCCGGGGCTTCTCCCCGAAAACCTTCAGGGCACGTCGAAATAGCTCGTGCAAAGTGCTGCGCATTTGCTGAATGATGGCTCTCAGCCAGAGCTCCACCCTTCCGCTACATTCAATGAATGCGGGCTGATTCTGATCCGCCGATACAAAGGGCACATACTCGTCATTCTCCTTGGAGTGCATTCCCACGGCATTGGGAGTATTAGTGTCGTACTCAAGCCGCAGGATCGAGTCGAACAACTTGATCAGGTGTCGGTCGATAACCTGCGGATTGTTTCCATTCGAGAGGATGTCCAGCAGGTCGGCGGCCGAGATGAAGTAGAAGCGGGGAAAGGCCAGACGCTTCGTTTCCAGATAATCGTTCAAGGCCTTCTCGCAGACCGCTAGTCGCTGTTGCAACTGCAACAGTTGAGCCAGAACATCGTCATGGTGCAAGACTACTTGCATTACCACCCGAACGTGGCTTACCTTGGTTTTGAAAATAAATATTTAATACTTGGGTTACACTTAACTTCATGCACAAACCTTGCCCAGAAGTTCCGTAAAATCAGCATCTATCTTCTCAAAGTTTGCCGCATCTGCCGGCAGTTGGGCCCGGATATCTGCCGATCCAATAAAGATGCATTCCAGGTAGATCCACTTCCGCTGCACCTCGAACCAGTTAACAATGAGGGTGTCGATGCCGCCCAGAACCCTCTGCCAGTGGGTAAGCTTGTCTAGGAGGTACTCGATGTGTTTCGAGGTGGAAATGTTTTGCAACTGCATCTGGTTGTCGTCCAGGGTTTCGATTAGTTCCTCGGAGACCTTCAGCAACTGGATATGGGGCCGGGTGTGGTGCTGTTCCAGCTCGAACTCCAAATGAGCCCAGGTGGCCTTAATCTCATCGAGAACCTTGGTCACAGTCATCTCCTTGATGGCACGATCCACGGTGTTTTTTATGTCCTCTTCATGGTGTTGAAGCTTCAGGGTGAGGAGTTGGGCCAAGCTTGTTGATTTGTTACTCTTGTAAGAGGTCTAAAGGGTAATAAACCATAAATAATCATTAAATCATAATGCAAAGTTATTGAATTTGTGAATGAGGGACTAAGCTGTTAAGACTTATTTACTTTCAACTCGAATTGCCAGAATTTAACTGAATATTGGAAGGAAATTTTACCCAAAGGAAGCTCTACTTTGGCTTGATTAATTAGAAATTTGAATACATTTCTAGTGAAAATCTTCAATGGCTTCATTTATCCTTTATTCTGGACATTGAAAGTTCGAGGTCAATTTAAGATAGCTTGAATGGGAAAACACAGAATTTGAATTTCATCAGAAGGCTGACTATTTGGATGCCTATGCCATGCAGAAACAAATTAATAATCACATATTTATGTATGAATACTGGCAAAATTTAATTATGAAAACTGAACAATGCATTCCTCTAACGCCTTTGGTTATTGGAGGAAGTAAGCAGCTTGCCTGTAATGGAGCTTCGGCCATGGCATTTTCAACAATGCACATTATTCCGGATTACCCATGTCAGGAGGCTGCCGGTGGCTTTCGGCAGACTCCTGATTAGGTTTGGATGAGCAGCAAATGCGATAACTACATTTTAATTTATGAAAATGTTCTAGATTTGGGCACAGAGCTTCCATTTTGATTTACACTTACCAGCTCGTCCATAGGATGCTGTCCACTTAGCTGAGCATGAAGTCGATAAGCGAGAAACTTGATTAGATTTTAGTCATTTATGCGACAGATCAGTGATTCAATCCAATTATGTTAGATTCACAAACACACTGGGTATTGGGGGGGCAGGGGCATTTTGTTTGCGTAGCTTCGGTCTGACAAATCACGTTGCAAATTGCTCTCAACCGGATTCCTGCGATGTGGTTAGCGCTGCGTTATTTCCTCACAGACAAGCAGCTCCTGAGGTTGCTGTCAGTGCCGTTTCGTCGCGGGTTTGCCAACACATCACCTCCTGCTAATGTGTTTGCCCAATGTGCGCCATTGTCCTGGCTCAAAGAGACATCAGCCGCGAGGGCAGGATGCCGAAGTTGCGTATCCACCGCCACCAGCTCAATCACTCGGAACGAGACACACACACTCGGATGCACCATGGCTACCATTATACTCACCTTTGTCAGCTGCATCAACTCCATCCAATGGCGCTCCGTAATTGCCGGATTCTGTAGCTCGGTGATGGCCCTCAGTGAGGCAACCAGCTCGCGCAGCACGGCCACAATGTGCACGTAGGGCGCCCAGTCGCGGATGCACTTGTCCAGGGTGCGCAGGTCGCGGGTGAACTTCTTGCACTCGTGCTCCATTTCGTCGGTGTCGATGAGCAGCCAGGGGGTTGAGTGCCAGTCCACGATGCAGGACTCGATGACGCGCACAAAGTCCCACAATTGCTACGGGCGAGTCAATTACTAAGGTTTCTCTTCATGATTAATTGCATCAAACTATTCTGTTATGTATGGCTTTGCAACAATGTACCAAGACATCATTCTCAGCAAAGTTTTAGGTTTAAATTAAGACACATTTTGATGTCTTAATAATCTCACAAAGAAGCTTAAGCAAGGACTCACCTTGACTCTCCTCAGCTCTACCTCGCACACCTGCAGACAGGCGGAGTCGGGTGCCGTGATGTCCAGGAGGCGAGCCCAGCGGGTGTAGAGACGCTGCTGGCGTCCGAAGCGGTGCAGCCGCACGTAGACCTCATCGCAGGCTTCATAGACGTTTGGACAGGGCACTCGAAAGAACTGGAAGCCAAAAATGAAACATAATCGAACTCGAAATATAATGGTTCTCGCTCCACTTACTGGCATCCTTTGGAACTGCCTGGCGTAGTGTTGCAGGTGGCAGGTGTGCAGTCCAATCAGAGCCGACACGCGCTGCTGCTGGTGGAATCGTGTGTCCTGCAGCGCCTCCTGCTTCACGGTGCTGCTGTGCTTCAGTTGCTGCCACTGGAGGGGCAGTTGCTCGATGCCTCGCAGCAGCTGTGGCTCGAACTCCACGTTGTAGGTCTTCAGCAGGCCCATAATGTCCTTGAGCGGCTTGAAGACATTGTCGGCGTATGGCTCTCGCTGCCGGATCTCTGCCATGATGCCAAGTACCCGGAGCAGGGCCTTGAAGTCGTGGCGGGCGATGTGCAGCTGCAGAGTTTCGTGGCCACGGGCAATAAAGGCGTTTAGCTCCTGGAAGAGGCAACTTTAGCTTGTTGACATTGTTTCAGAAAGGTTATTCTTACTTTCAGTGTTCCCTGGACGTAGCGGAGTAGCCACTGCTTGCATAGATGCGACCACTTGCAGGCCAGATTAAGGAGGCCGTATTTGAGAGGCTTGAGGTCAAGGGCCAGCCAGCCATTGATGCACTCCCGGTTCTCGCACTGGTCAATGGCGTCGTGCACTTCGTTGTAGTTCTCAATCTGAAGGAGGTTAGAGGACAGAAGGAGTAGGGGGAGAATCAGGGACCTGACATCTTTGTTCGAGTTGCCCAGCCCTAATTTATTTGCTAATTTGCCACACATGGACGGGTGTTTGGGTCCGGCTTCTCTATATTAAGTATACGTACTGTTGCCGTTGGTTTATTAAGCGCACCAGCTGCGTCAGAGGCAACCCAATGGCTAGTCATGAATAAAATGCCGGCCAGTGATTTCTCCTGATCTATGTTAGGTTCAGGGTATTATTAAAAGTGCATACGTTAAAAAAATCAAAAATAAATGATTCAAGTCTTAGAGCTTTAAAATCAGCATAAAGGACTCGAATATAATTGGATAGACGAAATATTTTATGTTCAAATATTGTTAAATCATGTTGAAGTGATAGAACACATGCTTGAGATTTAAGCAAGATTTAATTTATTTGTAAAAATATTAAAATGTTATAGTTTTTTTCAGATTAAGACCATTCAGACTTCGTTGATTTCCCATTCATACTTTCCTGCTACATGTTTTCCCCTATTTTATTGGGTAACACCCTATTTCACATGCTCTGCCCCCCAATTCTCTGTGCATTTTGACCATGATTTGTTATACAAATATGTATGTAGCTTGTTGTGCTCCTGCGAGGGTTCCTTTGGGGTAATTTATAGCATACTTTTCGGGGCGTTTGATAATTGTTTAAAGAAAATATTACGCATACGTCGGCGATTTGCCTGCTGTGCAGTGCTGCGAAGGAAATAAGTCAGGAAAGCCATGTGTTGGCTGGGCATTTCGTAAATGTTTTGCTTTTGTTTTGTATTGTTTTTTTTCTGGCTGGGCCTGGTCAGTGAGCACTGCCACACATTTGACCCTAAATGGTCAACATTTATCAAGCGTTATTGGTCTCAGGGGGTACACAGCGTAAATTGTGTGGTTGCCAATTGAGAAACCCAGAAGTCTCCTCCAGACTCTGTCCACGTCCTGTTTTCACGGTGTGAATGTGAGTCTCGCAGCCACTAAAGCTGTTGGCATTCTCTGACCCCCAAGGGGGAAGACCATTCTCCGGTTTTCCTTTTGCTGGAGCTTACCTCTTTTTTGAACGTTTCCATGATGGCATAGCCTCGGCCACTGGCGTGTTGCGTCTGCTCCTTGGCCCTCTGCATGCAGGCGGCCAGGACGTCGCCACTTTTTTGGGTCCACAGGAACGCATAGGCGTGGAATTTGGCAGCGTAAGCCGTAGCCGCCTCCACCGTATCCGCCAGGGCATAGCGAATCGCCTTCTCCAGCATTTCTAGGCCATCGGCTTCTAGATGGCATGAATGGAACGAGAAAAACAGAAATCGAAAGAATGCGAAAGGATAACAGACAGGAAGCTACCAAGTATATTTTTGCATACTCTTATAGAACTTTTTTCAGTTATATAATGGTTTTATCAAATAGTAATTCATCAAACTAACAATAAGTGAGAAAAAATTATAGACATTCAAAAATTGTCAGATTCATGTTCAAAAGAATATACGCTTTTCTCCAAGTGAGTAAAAAATGCGGCAAACTTGTCAAAGAATGCGTAATCCATACCGGTGAGTTCCACTTTTTGGCTATACGCCTTGGCAGCTGCCAGTAGGTTGAACTGCACGGCCTGCGGCTTTGGATCCGCGCATTCCGGCTCCTTTTCGTCCTGATCCCCCAGGGACTCCAACGTCGCGGCCGTGTTTGCGTCGTCGTCTTCATCATCCTCTGACAGGGCGTTGTCAGCCACAATTCTTGGCATGCAGTCGCATGTCTGTTTTATATCGAGCAACAGCTGCTCCACAATTTGTTGAAAATTATTTTCCACACTCGCATCAAAGGCGGGCGAAAAGCGTATTTCCGTTTCCGTCAGCTCCAATTTTACTTCGAAGAGTGGAGCATCGTTGACTGTCGTTGATGTGGCTGTTGCTGTTGCTGTTGCCGATGTTGCAGTTGTTCCTGTTGCTTGTGGCACTGTGATTTGCTGTAGCACTAACCTTGCCATGCCACCCGATAAAGAAGTAAGCTCCGACGCTGGTGACGAAGGCGGCTGCCCTGTTGCCGCTGACGTTGCTGTCATTTCTTTGTACAAATACTCTAAACTGAATTACACGGCGTATGAGTAATGTGAAAATTAAATTTAGTGTTCAGTTTGTTTTCTCCTTATTTCGTTTGCTTATTTCAGTTACCCCGCCTTCGGGGTCTGTCTCTTTTGAAACTTTACCCGCCCATGGTTCTCCGTCCGTCTGTCTGGCTGTCTGGCAGTCGGGCGGTCTATCCGTCTGTCTGTTTGTCTGTCGGAGTCCCTCTGTCTGCATGCAATCACGAAAAGTGCCGCTAAGTGAAACATGCAATTGACGCATGAATGCTCGGCCCGCGGCAATTTGTTGTTGCCATTGTTGCCCCATGTTGCTGTGGTCGTGCCTGTGGTTGTTGCTGCTTTAGCTGTTACTGTAGCTGTTACTGTTGCTTCTGCAGGTGTCTTTCATTTTTGCGGTTGCAGTGTGCGATTTCGTGCTCATTTACTTGATTAGTTCTGATGAGACATGAAAGGAGCTGCCATCGTGTTGAAATGTAATGAAATTATTGGCCTCCAGGTAAAAAAGAGTGCAGGTGTGGCAATTGATTGGGTAAAAGTGATAGACATAACGATGATAACAGCAATGATAATGATTATAATGAGGATGATTTATAAAAGTTCTACTTGAAGTTGTTCTGAAACCTTATTCTCATCGCCTGGCGCACTTCGCGGCAAATTAGTTCATCCACGCTGGCCAAATATTTATTGTACTGTTGCCTCTGTTCTTTGGGGAACTCCCTCACAAACTAGATAGAGATAACAATTAGTGGGTGTATAAATGAGTATCCATTTGAATACCTCCTGAACACTAAGATCTCTGGAATATAACTGAAACTCCTGCGATTCATAGTTAAAAAACAGACAAAAGTTGGCTATTAGCAGTCGGTTTAGTAGCATTTTGGTTTCATCGCACTGCAGCAATCGCAGACGCACTCGATCCTGCTGGTGGCGCAGATCCAGGAGATTCCGGCCGTATAAGCTACGCTGATGCAGTGGCTCGCGACTCCAGCGGCGCATGCTGGTCAGAATGGCATCTAGATTTCCGTGAGACTGCTGCAGGCGGGAAAATAAATCCCGGCTTTGTTCAAATATTCCAGCCACAAGGAGGTCGTCTGTGAGAGGAAACTCTATGCATAGAAAGAGGCTTATATACTGTCAAGCAAGCTTACCATATTCTCTCCACGTTAGCTTCTGGCAGGCCACTCCCACCTGCTCATCAATGGCCGCCAACTCATTGCGGATTAACTGGAGCTCAGCTGCCGCACATTCCCCGGATCGAATACCATTATAAAACTCTCCAATTTTGATTAAACGTATGCGGCGCTCCCAGTAAGCATCCCTCTGGTCGTAGAGCTCCAGAAGCGGTTCCGGCAGCTGAAAGAGATCGCCGCTCAGACTTCCAGTAGCCTGTAGGGCCAAAAGATATTTCGTCTCCTTCAGCAGGGTGAACAGCACCAGCGAGAAGTTTAGGTTTAGTTGGCTTCTGTCCTCCGGCTGGGAGAGCACTGACTCGTCGAGTCCTTGCACGATTTGCTTCTCAATGCCCTCCAGCCAATTGGTCCAGATTTTCATCTGCAGATTGCTGAGCTTTGTGGTTAAAATATTGCGACGCGAAAGTAAAGAGTCCCACTTCAGAGGCAGGGTTTGTAGTTCGGATTTCTCTTGAAGACTGAAAACAAAGAATATTCATCAAGGATTTAAAGTTTTCCCTGAAGAGTTAAGGTGAACCTACAGTTGGTCAATCAAATGATTCAACTCCTTGGCTCCAAGCTCATCGCATCGGCTTATGTGTTGTTCCAGCCAAGTCATAGCCCCGGCAATGGGTGGGAAATTATTGGCCATTGGCAGAGCAACTAGACCTCGGATCTCATAGCCCAGCAGCACCTCGGTGACACTGGTCTCCAGCTGCTCCAGTTCCAAGTCGTAAATTTTCAGAATGTGTGGCAGGACAGGGGCCAGCTCCGGTTGCACGGCACTGCGATACAAGAGTCCGCCAAACATCAGTGTCAGCCGAAGCAAGTGCGTCCAGCTGTGACACTGCTCGAAGGCCTGGAGCAAGACGGTGGCCAGTTTCTGTTCCAATAGCTGCATCCTGCCGAAGAAAAGGGCCTGCTCGCGTCGGAAGCAGCGCCACTTGCTGGCCTGGGTGGCAGTTAGATCGATGTCTACATTGCTCCACTGCTCGAAAAGCACTTTAAACTCCGCAAAGATCTGGATTGTTAATTAAGGTGGTGGAATAGGGTTCATAGAACAATAAAATCTATTCTTTACCTCCCTAATCCTATCTGTGAGGAGTTTACCCCGAAGACCCCCAACTTCCAGCTTCTCGAGTTGCTGAAATTGTACCGCAGCCTCGAACACCTGTCGAAGCTCCAGCAGCTGGGCCGAGAAGCCATCGAGTGTTTGCCCAAACACATCCTCGTGGCAGAAGCGCCACAGCTGAGGTAAGTCATCTGGTGGTGGGGAAGGGGCAGCAGCTGCAGCTCCACCCGGAAGGGCGGGCAAAAGGACATGATGTCCTGCATAGCGTTCTTTGTAGTCAAGAATGCGTTGTCTTTAAAATAAAGATATTTTTAAGTTGCATTTAATACAAGATGTAATTTCAAAAAAACTTACTTGAAAAGCTCCAGTACTTCGATAGTTCGATTTATTTTAATTAGACCCTCATCGGCATCACCCTGGAAGAGCAGTGGAAATTCGAGATCCTCGGAGGCGCGATGTACCATCATGTTGCAGATGCAGCGCAGCAGGACACTCATCCTCTGGGTGCTGCGGTAGTAAGTTGCATTGGTCCACACCAGGTGCAGCACGTGGACGAGCGGGGTGACCAAGTCGTGGCCGTTGCAAAATTGCACCGAATTAAAGGCGGAAGTCTGGCGGAGGAGTGGCTGCAGCCAGAGCGAGACGTCCTGGGCCTCTAGCCAGGCGGCCACGAGCTGTCGGAATGCGTTGGCATATGGCCGGTGATATACCGATTCGATACGTTCAAGAATCTGGGATAAAATCTTGTGTGTTGGCTCCCGCAGCTGTTCGTAGATATTCTGCAGATTTAGCTTTCTGTTCGTCCAGAAGGCAATCTCCTGGGCTGGCAGGGAAACGAAGGTGATGTGCTTGGCAGGGTGGGCGGACTGCGAAATGGGGGAGGACGATCCGAGGGCCTGACACTCGGAACGTTCCACCACTATGTCGTGCATCTGGGTGGTCCAGTTGATGAACATCTCTTCGAGAAGATTCCGGAATTTAGGGTCCTGAGCAGGTCTCAGGTGGCTGTGCAAGTTTTATTTTTATGAAATAATAAAATATGTAAGGTACAAAACTTCCTTTGAGCCATTGGGAAAACTTTAAAATGGACCAAACAAAAGTCTTCACTTGATTTGGTTTTCAGATAAATTTTCATTTGTAATATATTCAGAATCCAAATTAAATTTGTTTTTTCAATTTTCGACTCGAGTTGACTTTTCATATTGGTTTCCATTGATACGAGTATTGTGAGCCAGTGAAGCAAAACATATCTTGATTTATATTAAAGGCTTTTGATAAAAAACATTTTTCTTTCAAACAAAACATAAATTTATCATGAATTTCGTGATTGCCAAAAGATGAAATCACTTTCTTAAATATTTGCAATTTAATTAAAAGCATTGGATGGCCCAACCAGTTAACTGGTTAAAAACCGGAAAATAATCGAAGTATGCTACCAGTGTGTGAGGTTAAGGGGTAAACAACTTGAATTGCCACGAAAGTACAAGTTAAATAAATTGGCACCAATTCATGCGCAAAGTTATGCCAATGAAAATCAATTTGGTATCATGAGAAGACCCCTTCTCCCGTCGGCTCACATAAACAATAAGGCGACATTTTGGAACTGCCAGGGGGCTTCACAGAAGGGCAGGAGTTATAGGATACGAAGAACGTAGGCGGAACTCAAAGACAATGGCCATCGAACTAGGACTAGGACTTACCCTTGGCTCACGTGGGCAAACACTTCCTCGACGATTGTTGGCGAAACTAATAACGATAAAATTGTGCGATTGTTGGTTTTGCCCTTAATCTGTGGGAATAGCAATAAAGTATATACACAGATACAGATATAAATACGTATAGATATATATTATGTATCCGTAGCCTGTAGACACATGAAAAGTTTTGCCAATTAAGCGAAATACTTTCAAGACAATGGTAGGGAGTCGTTTCGGAGGAAACCCCTCTCGAAGTCTCCGCCCCACTGCACTCAATTAGATTAATTTGATGAGATAGCACAGCTGACGGTTAAACAACACAGCAAATAATGAAATATATATTTTAAAGATTAATCAATTAATTTTTAATTGGTGTTCTTCTGGAAGAAAACTAAAAATTAAGAACATACATTCAAAATGAATTATGGAAATGCATCTAACTAAATGAAATTTTGTTTATAAATATATGTAGAGTTTACATTTTCCTCAGTGAACCCACCTCGGTTAGAGTGTTCCTTACTTCCTTGATGCGCGCCTGCAGGTCTTTGCGCACAACTGCCGGCCATTGATTCTGGGCCTGTTCCAGGAGCGGTTGGAGCACTTCATCAAACAACAGCGACATGGTCTCTATTTTGCTGTGGACTGGAAAGTCCCCGTACAGCACCTCCTCCGAAAAATTTCCCACTGTCAGAGGTCCTCCAGAACTATTACGTCGCACAAAGTAGGCGCACTTGCCCCGCGGCACTCCGTCGAGGGTGGTGAAGCTGGAGGAAGCGGGTGGTAGAGGCACTAGCAGGGCGCCCGGCGTGGCAGACACCACAGCGGACACCGCGGCCGTTGCAGAGGCCATTGCATCGTCCTCTAGTTGCAAAGGATCAGAGGGAACTGCTGGCCGGGTGCTGGGGACCGTGAACGGCAAGTACAAGTCACTCAGGCCACTCCTGGGAACCAGATCGCCGCCAGGACTAAGTGTTACTACCAGGACTCGGGTGTGGCCCAGCAGCCAGTCCAAAACAATACGCTTTGAAAAGTAATACAAATGTGTTAAAAATTTAAAATACAAATTCTGAGGCTTTAACTAGTTTGTGGTCAGTTTGGAAAACACTTGCCATTTTTGGCTAAATTGCAACTCACTCGCATCTCATCGGTGGCCATCATTTTGGTCCATTTATCCGGTTTGAGGCGCATTGTGGTCGTCGTGTAGGCGGCCACCCGCTCCAATCGGGCGTCGCTGTAGTCCCGCTGGATCCGCTGGCGGCCTCTGGTGCCGTCGCCGCCATTGGGCAGCCCCTCCTCATCGCTGCTGGCCAGGCCTGCAGGATCAGACATTGGCAACTGCAAATCCGGTTTGGGCCAGCGGCTGCGTTGCGGCAACTCAAACAACTCGCCCCGGCGGCTAGCGTTAAAATGATGAAGCGGGCTCGCTCACTTCGCTCCTATGACCTCTAATGCCGGGCGGCGGCCAGTGGGCGGGCGACCGCAACGTCCCGACCCAACCACGCCCCGCATATCGATCAAACTTCAAATTCGAATTAACAGGAACAGTTTAAAGTGTGTGCTGCGAGTGCTGCGATTTCAAATGCAAATGCCAGCAGGGAAAGTTTAGCCTCTAACCCCTTGCCATTCCCGACTTTAATTGCACACGAAGTGAGCGAAATGTAATTTCCGTTTTTCTGCAAGTTACTGAACTGAGCCGCTCGCTCATAAGTCAACATCAGATTTGCAGGGTGAGTGTTACAGGGGAGTCACCTACGTTAAATCCACGGTGCATGCAAATGACGTGTAGATGAGTTCCAGTGTCCAACACGGCGTATACTTAATGAGCTAAGCTGATCGAACGGAATGGCAGCTCGTATATCAAGAAGGGTTAGCGGGTTTTTCGAATGGAATTTATGATTATTTGAGTATAAGCTTTTTATAGTTTTTTCGTAGAAATCTTCTTTATATGAAGTAGTATCCCTAGAAGCTTCTTTAACGATACTAATTATTTAAAAAAAGGACCCTGTTACTCTACATATTTCAAAGTATTTATAATTGTAATAGCCATTCAAGGCTTTTAATAAAAACTAAAAAGCTTTTGGGAAACTTACTTAATTAAAAAGCAAAATAGTAACTTGTATAACTTTTGTATAACGAAAAGAACTAAGTTCTAATGAAAGTAATTAAGTAGACATACAACTTGTCAAATCATATTAGAATTTCTCTCTTCTACTCCTGGAAAATATTATATTATGCTATTTTATTCTGACTGGCAGTTGAAGTGCCAAGTGAGCATTTAGCACTTAACATACACAAAGCTAGATTCTGGTACCCTATGATCCCCAGTAGTATCCGGGCCACACTCCCTGGTTTCCAGCTCGCTTCACCCATAAGTCAAGCGCAGTGAATGAGTGACTGACATGTGTCAAGTAACAGGAGGAGAATGCAGCAAGCTGCAAGCGGCATGCGGCAATTGCAACTGCAACTGCACCCGCAGCAAATATCAGCAACAAAAGCAGCACCAGCAGCATCAGGAGTATAGTTAAAACGCTCTGCAATTACCGCAAGTACACAGGGAATAGCTTTGCTGCTTAATACTCGACCCAAAGGATGCCCTACCAAGTTTTAACAGAATAGCAGATACATTTCAGCAAAATCTTATATTTTAAGCTCGACTCCTTGGCGCTAAGGAGCTTACGTTGCATTGACAACTCCAGCTGAGGGTTCGCCCCACTTATTTTATGTCGAAATCCTTTATCCCTTCACTAATATGCTCACCGATACAAAACCCATCTGGCTGCGTATTACGATGATGGGATGATGGCAAGGCTAGGATGACGACCATTCCGGTCTGCTGTGTAACTTTGATGTGAACTCCACTTTTAAATATCAGCGTCACATCAAAAACAAGTGCTTGGCAACCCGCTGCTCCGTTCCCGTTCTGGCTCATTCCGGCTTTTCTATCTGGGATTGGGCGCTGGCACCCTCGGGGCGAATGCATTGCCCTCATTTCTAGAGGAAAACCGCAACTGGTACGCCCAGCTACGGAGCTTTGGAGTCCGGATTGTTCGTGGGTGGGGATTTGAATTGAGGGCGGTGGCTCTGTTGTTAATGAATTTGCTCAAGCTGTTTGCGTTCAGCTTAAAATTCACTCTTGTCCTCACGGTTTGAAATCTGGAAGTTGAAACCACTTGAAAAAATCATTTAAAATGTATAGTCTATTGGAAGCCATAAGAAAAGGGCTCAAATTTACTTGATTGATTGAAATAATAGAGGAGTTAGTTACTCATAAATAGAGTTATAATTGGCATTTTAATTAGTCCAGTTTTTATTCTATTCTAATAAAGTTTTTTTACAATAAAAGATATAATTTGAGATAGTTATCTTAGTAGGAAGATGAAAACTGGAAAACCCCAGGAAACCCTTCAAGTCGTCCTATAGCGGCCTTCCATTATGCGACTTCCTCTCCAGCCTCTGGCTTAAATGTCGTGGCCGAAATGGTTCCTCTCGGTCTGCAGGGCAAAGACGTGCATAAATAGTGCGACAGTCCAAGTCAAACATTGGAAGCAAACGAGGGAGCTGTGGCCGAGAAAAAGCCGCAAGAAAAATAAACTTCGAATTGATTTTAAAAGGAATGCCTCGATGGCCCCGTCGCACTTCAAATTAAGTAAATCGCACAAAAGCCGTGGCAACGAGGCTGCGGCAGTTGGACCCAGGACGCAGGACGTTGGACATTGGCCGGCAGTCGGTAGTCGGCAGTGAGCCATGGAAAATGAAACTGTAAAATGCTTTTACTACATTTTCCCTGCGAGTGGCAGTCGTGAGCTCTGGTAGTCGTACTTTTTGAATTTATGCCAAGCCTCGATCTGAACAAGTTGGCCAGTATTTTATGAGGCAGGCCCCTCCGTGGCGCGCCCCGTCCGACTTTTTACAGTTTACAGTTTCTCGATGTAGCTGCTGATGAGTTTCATTATGTGCGAACAAATCATCATATGCCACTGGACTCTGGTCGGAGCGGGAGCAGGAGGAACTGGGGCTGCGGATAAGGAAGGATCTGGGCGGCAGACTGCGCGGCGTCGTCCTCGTTTAAAAGCAATCTCGTGCATTTGTTAAGGACTCAGCGTAGCAGTATATTTGGATGTGTGTGTCTGTTCTATGAGAAAAGTCAACACTATTTCATTACGAACAAAGAGCATTTCCATTTGACCAAAAATTTATGAGAAAGAGAGAGAGAGCTCAAAGCTGCAGAATGCGCTGGGCCTGGCCAAATGGTCCTGCCAAATCGATTAGCGGACAAAAAGATAAATCGAAAATAGACCGTTTGACAGTGTAAACAATGTCCTAAGCCATACGCCATTGCCCAAACTTGAAACAAACAAATCGCTCGGTGGAGGTGGCAAAATGTCCAACAAAAAAGCGCCAAAAAACGAAGGCCAAATAGGAAGAGCAAACGAAGCCAAGCCAACAACTCCTGACTCCCGGGCCTGTTAGCGGGGCATTGTGTGTGCAATCTAACGACAACATTCAATAAACAATTCACAATTGATTGACAAACGGACTGGCCGGGCTAGCCTGGTAGTCGCAGTCGGATTCATTGCTGACGACTGCCGATTGACGACCACGGACTACTGACCACCGACTACCAACTACAGACTACTGACCATGGTCCATGGTACTCAAACCAGCTGCGGACACTGTGAAAATGGCCATGAATGAGCAACCACGACGACAAGTCAGCCAGCGGAAGGATGTTAGTTCGAGTGGATGAGGAAATTGAAAGCGAATGCTGACAAAAACAAAGTTGTACCAAACAGACAAAAAACAAAAACTAGGGGAAAAAATGGTCAACAACAGAAAATAGACCAGAATAGGCGACTGAAACCCCCCCACCCCACCAGAAAAAAAGATGAATCCCAGGCAAATATAACGAGAGTCCGGCTGTCGAAACAAAAACAATGAAAGCAAATTTCTCTCCGGACATCCGGCAGCGATTAGACCAGGACACAGAGCATTCAGCTACGGGTCTGTGTATGCTGGACACTGTAGATATACATAGATAAACTATACGTTTGCTGGAAGGGATAATGATATCGAATTATAATTAGCAATTTCTGTTAGACCATTTATATAGTACGAGTTGGAGAATATTTTCTTATTTATGAGGCACCTCTCCAGGTAGTTTCACATCCAGATTCTGTCCCAAAAAGGCGGCCCTTAATTAAAATCCCTGCCCGGCTAATTGTAGGCGTGACTCCTTGCAGCTCATTAGTTCGGGGCACGTAGTCCCCGTGCTGGGCATAGTTTGGCAATTGCCGGCCAAAAGTTTCCAGCGCGCATCACCGGCAACAAGACGACGGACGGGCCACGTTATGTAAGGCCGAAGTTTTGCAAATCCTTTTGGCAATTAGATACTTGTAGCCTTAGGAAAGTCGTCGATGGAAGGGCGATAAGGAGAGTAGTCCTGCTCGCTTGTAGGAGTCGCCCACAAATATTGCACAAGTATCAAGTATCGTCGCTGGCCGCCGTGGCATTTCGCAGTGCAAATATCCCATTACTCGGATGAAACTTTTAATTAAAAAGTTGCCAATGACAAACGGGACGAGGTTGCGGGTCGCTGGCGAGAATTGCGCCACAGTCTCCACCAGAAATATTTGGCTTGACACCAGTACCCACACCCTCTACCAATACCGAAAGGACATGGGATGAACCGACCGACCAACTCAGTCTGGCACGCACGTAATTGAGACAAACTTTGAGACAGTATAACATTCGAGAGGAGCCTTGGGCCAGAAGGAAAAAAGCGAAAGGAGCCACTGCCGCCACTGCCGGGTGCCAATGGGAAAATTACGACATTTAAACCCGTAGGTTAACTGTACGTGAAATATTAAGTTTAGTTGCTTGAGAGCACACTAAATCTTATTGTAGGTCATTTGTTGGCTGCCCCACTTTAGTGGTGCCTCATAGTACCTAATTATTGCCGGCAGAGAGTGGTTTTGGTTAAGGGGTTTGGCCAGATGGCTTCTTTGGCCTGCAGGGCCCTTGTGCCTGGTGTCTGCCATAAAAATCCGAATGGAGTGCATAAAAAATTGGGTTTAGAGTTCAAATGGCTAAAAATAGAGTGCCTTTTTTATAAAATTTTTATAACTGTTGAGGTTTGACTTAGAAATATTAAAAATTTAATTTTTGTAAAGATCTAGTACCTTAAAATGTAAAGTTTTCTATTGGAGGTGGAATAAATGTCCAAATTCTTTTAAATAATATCAAAAGTCGTAAATGGTTAATATCTACTTTCAAGAACTCTCAAAGAAGTGAATATTATTTTTTTAAAACCGGAAACCATTGAAGCTACTTCTGACAAAAATGGTAACACCAGATGACACAGAAAGAATACATTAATATATGAAATATCGTAAGAATTTGTAGAATCGAGCACCCCTTTTTCCAGCATCCTTGTTCTCATACTGCAGAAAGGACATCCCAACACGGAGCGTTGTGCACCGCAACGGGCAGCCAATTATGATGGAAATCCAAAAGGGGGAGTGGCACTTCGTCGGGGCTCCTCCAACCATCCAACCAGAAGACTCGTGGGTCAAATTAAGCGGCAAGGATTGGCGGCGTATTGAGTTCAGCCGAAAAACTGAAGTAAGGCTATGGTGAACCGACCAGGCCTGGGCTGGGCGGGCCCTACTGGTCCGGATGGTCCGGGAACTCCGTCCGTATCGGATCCTGTTGGCGGGGAACGGTGAATGAACGCATCGCTTGAAGAGCCATTCGAGTGTGCACGTTGTGGAAATTGAACATCCAGGACCGGATTTTCGCAGGCCTAGGTCCATGAAGGGGTGCGGAATGTTCGACTGCGGCTAATTATACTGCCAATGGCCAGAGGCAGCACAAGGGCGGTACGGTGTCGGGCGGTGGCGTGTGGCAGCGGTAAATGTTGCGATTTTGCCAAATAATCAGAAAAGGCTCTCAACATTTAACGTAAAACGAAAATGCACGGGAAATGTGCAACGGAAAAGTGGTGGGACGCGAAAAGTGCCTAGCTAGGCATGCCGTAAACGCCTCCATCCAACATTCAGTGTCCTGCATCCTCCGACCTACGTGCTCGTCCGTGTTGCTGCTTTGTTACGTTATCTAATTACAAAGGAATTGTGCGGCAACGTCACACAGTTGTTGCCGGTCCACCGATCCCACCATTGGCCATTCCCCTACCGACCCACCGGCCCGCCGGCCCAATCCTCGCCAGAAACTGTTCGACAGTGGCAGCAAAATATTATTTCTGTTCAAATGCACAGCAACAGCAGGGCCGCTGCGGGCATCCGATTGATATATGCAGATGCGTACTGCTGGGTATTGGATGGGGGACTGGATAGTTCGTGTATCTCACAGTACGCCCGGAGAAGTGCCCGCAGTTCTGTATTTACCCGGACACTCACACTCATACCAACACACGAAGGGATTCGCCCACGCAACACGCACACACACAAGTGCACTAAATACACTTGTGTCTAATAAGTTTTATCCGAACGGTCAACGAGGCATGTGGCCACACAAACACAAGGACATACGCCCCATTTAGGCACCACTGTGAGTGGTTCAGTGGGGCGGTTGGGTGGTTTTGTCACATAAACAAATGAAGGGTCGTGCTTCGGGGGGCGGCTCAGCTGCGTATGCGGCATATTTGAGCGGGCATGGCGAAAAATTGTCAAACTGCCGGCCGCGGCCCCAAAGTCAGTTAGGTTGGCAATCTGCTTAGCCACCTTCCGTCCCACGCCCCCTCTAACATCGTCCCCATTCACTTGCATTTAAATTGTGAAAATATTTGGACCCTGTACACACTGATGTTGACCGGTCGTTAAACGAAAATTGAAGTTAGGCCGCCCATTCGGCCATTTCCCAGCCAGCACGCAGGAAAATCTTTATACAAACCAGGTCAACGGTTGTGCCTTTTTTTGGCTTTTTGTTGCCAGCGGAAGGGGAATCAAGGGTCGCTAATTGCGTGCTTGTCAACACTCGAAATAAAAATAATATTTGCAACAATTAAAAGAGCGCCGCCACCAACAAAAGAGTCAACATTTTGGAGCCATTCAAAGGCAAAAGGATCGACCAACAAAGAAAAAAGAAACAGGCTCGCCAAATAAAGGGCTCCCCAGCGGTTATAAACGTTCAGACAGAGAAATGCCATGGCCACCTGGTGCATAATTTTTCAAATTATAAATTTAAAAAAGGGACAACTCGTTTACCACTGGGAGCTGTGGCAAATTATTCAGACAGTAAATGTGCCGAAATCAAGGTAAAAGTTCTTCAGAGACGTCTTTTGAAAGGATATGAATATTTTTCAAATGCCATCAAGGGGTTGAGAAGGGTGGGATAAAAACTGGTTGAAATCATTATACCGAATTGAAAAATTTAATAAATATTTATTTCAATCTGGAGAACTAATTACTCATACGACACGTATTACATTTAACAAGAAGAGCTTACTTCAGGCGGAGCTTCATCAGAAACCTACATATGTACTTTAAAGGTCCGGAGATCTTCACTCCTTCACTGCGTTGTACGCTTTTGGACCTTAATTATTTCATGAATAAATATATCATTTTAAAGCCCAAATCAAAGAAACGTTTGGATAATTACTTTATGCTCTTAAAATGTATTCGTTACTTTTCAAAACTAAATACTGCTAATTTTGACAAAAATGCCGAATGGTATGAGGCCCTAAAGTACCTTTCTCCGCCCGTAGCGTCGTGGCCCGCCTCTCTAGTTGGCAGCGATTGGGCGCTTGGGCAAGTTCTTCTTCAGCAGCCGCCAATTGATGCTGGCCGGAGGAGGTCCTTGGGACCGCTGCTTCACCAGCTTCTTCTGACTGGCGCCCTTTGAGAGCTTGGATCGAACCGAGCTAAGATTGTGATACTGGCTAACGCTGTGCACAATCTTGCCGGAGGCCGACTTGCCGCCTGCCTTTCCACTCCTGAATTTGCGCTTCAAGATCATCTTGCCGTGTCCGGATCCGCCCTTTGACCTCGGGGAGCTTTTTCGGAGGCTCTTGGTCGATTTCGTGGACTTGGTGGACTTGACCGATTTGAGCGACTTGTGCGACTTGAGGGACTTCAGCGACTTTTGGCCCTTCATGCCTTTCGCAGTCTTCTCCTTGGTCTTGTGCGTCTTCAACGACTTCAATGACTTTTGGCCCTTTCCGCTTTTGGGAGCCTTCTCCTTGGACTTTGACTTGGCTAGAGTAGACTTCGGCTTGACGCTCCTAACGGACTTCTGCGGCGCAAGAACAGCTCCGCCCCTGGCCCGGGTGTCGGCCTTATCCTGAGACTGCGCTGCCTGCTGCACCGACGCCGGCGGCCCCACCGAGTACTTGGGCATCATGGCTGGCTTGGCGGCGAGGGCGCGATCAGCCTGTACGATGGAGTCGAAGTCGCCGAAGACCTGCCGGATGTTGCGATTCACATACTCCAGGTACTTCAGCGAAGAGTTGCACAGGCTGCAGGTCTTGTGCCCGGACGACCCCTTTTCGCCGTTGTTGCGGATCAGGCTCTCCAGGTAAAGGAAGTTCTTAGCCATGTTCTCGCAGTAACGGCACTTGGTCGTAGCGCCACCGCCGCCTCCTGCGCCCTTCCGTCCATCGTTCTTCTCCATCGAGTTGGGAGTTGGATCGTACAGACCCGGCCGGTGGGGCAGATTCAGAACCGAATTATTGGGCACGACGTATTCTGCGGCGGATGCCGGTCTCTTTTTTTGAAGGCCTATCATTTTAGATATTACCGAAATTTTGTTAACCTTTTCAGGCTGCGTATGTTTCTGTTGAATTGACAAAAGTAAAATGCTTATAGCACTCGTCCCCCTGTTTAATATGGAATGGGATTGTGTTTTCACAGCCTACCTGAAAGGTACTCAACATTTCGGGCTGGACAAATCGAAAGCCTCTATGTCGCTTCCTTTTTTTTCGGTATAGAAGCTTTCGTAACCTGCCTATTTTCGCCTGCTGTTCCTGAAGTGCCTACGACTGAGCCGGGGTTGTAGTCTGTGACATTGAAGGCGGTGCCTTCTGATTACATGCCTCAATTAATCTCAATTTCTTGCTCATCCAATTCGGCGGCGCGGTCGGGCAAATTGTCCGCAAATCGTCAACCTTGTCCTGCTCAATTATCGATCAAATAAATTGCAGCGAATATTTAAAGACCTGCCCCAAATTAATTTAAACACATGCCTCCAAAGCGGTCAGCTCGCCGCCTCGCTGCCCCACGACCCGTTTAATTTCTATTTCCTTGGGCACAATTAGCGATAATCAGCTGGCAATGGCAGCCAGCATTTTGTCGCTGGTCCTTCGTCCTGATCCCATGCCCACTCCCTATACTGTTTCGTTTTCGGCTATTTGGGTCAGCCAGCTCGTTGCGATGTGCACAATAATTTATTTCATTTTAAGATTTAATCGCAAAATTTTAGTTTGTCGTGTCGTTTGTTTTTCGTTTCTCTGTTGTCCGACTAACACTTTTTTAAATGGCCTTTTTTCGGATATAAGTAGCTGACCTTGGGACGTGATTGCGGGAAATTATGTAACCGAGGTCCATTATAATGGTTTTGGGAAAATTAAATATTATTTAACTGCTTATTGATTCAGGATAATGTAGTTCTCAAGGCCAAGGATTAGACTAAACAAATGTTTTGTTTCCTTCTTTAATATATTTCAAGGGAAAAGTTTCTTGGTTGATTCGCTTTTACAATTCTATACCCGTGGCATGTCTCTATTTCAACATGCTTCATGCTCCAGTCTTCCACATTCGTCAGTTGCCATCTATTAAATGGTTGTGTTGCACATACATCCCATCAATAAGACGAGGACTCAGCAGCAGACATCCAACGAACCAGTCAGCCCACCACCCATTTTGTGAGACAATTCCCTGCGACACATAACTTCCAATTGAAAATATCTTGGAAAAGTCAAACACAAGTGCAAATGCCAATAAAACAGAGCAGGGCCTTACGAGCTCGGATGGGATGTGGCATGGCTTACACAAGCTAATACATATAGACTAGACCAGTGATCGGCACCCCAATACATTGGCCCAGAGGGCCGTGCCGACCTCTGGACTAGACTATAGTACAAGAATGCCACCCCTCTGGGTTGGCCGGCCATAAAGTTGATTGTTCATAAATGTACGGGGCGTATACGTAATGTCAGGCACTGCACTAAACCAATGCAGGACTCTAGCTCGTCCCTGATCCCAAAGTGCAGGAAAATGCAGCGCCCGGGGATCGAATCTTGGAGGGAATCGGAAGTGGCCATAAAGTGCTCGGGTAATGAATTTATTAAAAGTTCATTTTGCTAAGCAATGGCGGACAAAACGCTTGTCTTGGTCTGGTTGGCATGTTGGCCAAGTTTACGTAAATGGACTTCAATTATTTGCGCCCTGCATGCGACTCAGTGGAAAGTGTTTGGCTTCAAAGTTGAGTGTTAATGTTAATGGATTTGTGCCAAGTTCTCACTGATTTATACGTCGTGGTCAAAAGCGGGACATTGTTACTTTTTGTTGCCTTTGTTTGTTAGCAGTTGACTTTGCGGCGGTGGCACACTTTCCTTTTTTATTTTCGTCCTAACTTTTGACCCACAAAGGTTGCTGCTTTTTGGCGTGTCCTTTCCCGCTCTAACGACTTCCTGAGCCGTCGACTGCACATACTTAGTCCTGATTCGAATTTGCATGCCGGCGTTGCTGTCGGCGTTGGCGTTGCCGTTGGCTTTGGCTTCAACGTCTCCGTCGACGTTGGCGTCGTGTTTATTCTGTTTGCTTTTCGTTCCTTACGTGTTTATCGCCTGCAAATGGCGATTCTTGAGGAAAGTGAAACTAGTCTCGCCTCTGGCTGTGCTAGGATTTTCCCCTGACCAGCTGGCAACTGCTGGGCCCGAGAGTTCAACCTGCTCGGCATTTCAATATCAACAGAGGCATGCATAATTTCTCGTCCTGGCCTATGTAAATTTGTTCGGAAGTGTTCAGCTTTGAGGGGGATGTGTGTGTTTGTATTTGTGTGTGAGTTGCTCTACATTTCCACTGGCGGAGCTTCCGAAAAGCAGGTCAACTTCATTTTTTCTGCTGACCGACAACCACAACAGCACCACCACCAACAACAACAACCAAATACTGGCTGTTGTTATTGCTGTTTGATGTGCGAAAGCCACAAACACAAATTAGCACAGAAGCAACAGCAACAACAGCAGAAGCAACATCGGCGACAACAGCAACGCGTCCATAATTTCTTTTGCAACAATGCGCCTCCCTTTTTTTTTGGTTTTGCCAGGACCTACGGCTCCTGCTCCTGCCCACACACACTCACAAACAAGCACAAACACACTTGCATTCGATTCGCGTTTTTGGGTTTTACTGCCTCTGGTTGGGTTTTTATTGTTATTATTTTCTAGTTGGCCAGAACGGGGCAGCGCCGTTGACGTCGTCTGGCTAAAACCGCCGTCGTCTTCTTGGCATAAAGTCCAAAGTGCAAATGTTTTGCGGTCAGTTTGGATTTGAAGTTGGCCAACAACGCGACGCGAATTCATCGTAGCACCTGCTCCTGCAACTGACTTTGAGTCCTGGCTTAAAGGTCCTGGGTCCCTTTAGTTGGTCGGCAAGCGTTTTTGCATTTTCGCTTGTGGTGCGGTGGTTCTTTTCCCGAATTTTCTCCTATTTTGCGGTCACCTTGCGCCCATTCGCGTGTTTTCCGACCGGAAAAGGATCCCCTTTGGACAGAGAGGGGCGGAGATGCGTTTATCCTGTAGCACAATGGCTGAAAGGAAAAGCAATTACCAGCAAACAAAGCCGAAGAAGGTTTGAGCCGCAGCCTGAAACGAGATTTTTAAAGACTATTCCCCAGGGTAAGCAAATGTTGAGTGAATTGTTAGTTTAAAGGAGAATCTGAAACAATTTAATTGAGTAGCAATCATGAATATAAATATTTAATCTAAGATAGGACTGTATCAACCACCATTATAATAAATTTCTTAAATTCGCATTTAAAGATTAAATTTCTACTTTTAAATATATGCGTTTAGCTGCAGGCAGATCATAAAAAATACGTCGAAAAGCGCTTTATGAGTTTATGCTAATAATAAGTTTTGAACAAAAAAGACTTTTGTTTGCTCATATATTTTGAATATATACAAACAAATATTTATTGTGCTGGCTGCTATTTCTCATGAAAGTTTGTGTTTTTGTGTACCGACATTGGGCCGACAGCAGTGAGCGAAAAACAATGCAAACAGTTTAAACTTTTTCACCTTTGACCCAATAAGAGGTGTGGCAAGTGGGTAGTGTGAGGAAAAATTAAAGAGCAGTCGAGATGTGCGGTATTAACACCTGCCAGTGTCGAGGGACGTTAATAGGTGTCTGATAGTGGGGTGGTAAGGGACTATGAAATCTAAAATAATATTATTTCCCAAGAATTACACCAGACATACGAGTAACCATCGTACCAATCCTTCTTATCCTTTTTATCCTTTTCCTGTTGGTCCTCTGAGCGTTGAACAAAACTTTTTAAGCTCAGCCACACACGAACCATATTGCCAAGGCTCGCAACGCATTTTGGCTAAAAGCATTTCAATGCTGTTAACTATTTTTGATGGCGCTACGCACTATAACACACGTCTGCAAGTTTCTGTCGTTTCTGCGCGTCTTGGCCAGGCCATAATGAAAGTCTCAATGGAATTCAAACACTTAATTATCTCGCAGTTCGCCTCATGCACCTTGAGGATAATGAGACAAAGCCGCTTTGCGCGGCACGGACGTCCTTGATGCGTTTGAGGTGGTGTTCTTATGTTAATGAAATAAAAATTAAACTGGATCGGCATCTTGGTGGCAATGGCAGTGCGAATTAATTGCATAAAGTGACGGAGCATCACAGTTGGACGCCATTGAGGACGTCAGCCATTAAATGAAATCTGGCACCTGCCATTGACTGCAAAATTGCGAAGCTGTTTAATCATATAATGGATAATTAATATTTTTGCAGCATTCTCGGGCACCCCTGGTTTCGTTTTAATTAAGGCCTGCAATTTATCGAAGCTTAATTAAGAATGGGTAGTATTTCTTTAGTACGAAAGCGAAAGCTATATTGTTGGTCTAGTAATTGTTATATGTAAAGTATACTTTACATTTATTGAAAAGGTATTGCAATATTTCAAATAAATAAATACAATAAATAAAGTTAGAGCCTCATTAAGTGTAGAAATCTAAAACTGTAACTGAAACTATCTCTACGGCTATTCGGTTAAATTTTAATTTTAAATCTCATTTTTAAATGACTCATATTGTGTTGTATAATTTATAACAGCTCTTACTGTTTTATAGAGCCCGGCTACAATTACAAATCCCCATAGTTGGGGGGCGAGTGTTGCTCAGCCGGTGGTTACATTGTTGCCAATGGAGCGTGGCAACATCTCGCCAATGGGATTAGCACAACAATGTAGCAAGCTGCGAGTTTGCATGCGACAAGTGCGTGCCTGAGTGCACCTGTCGGGGCTTTTAAGCCATCCACCCAGTCATACCCAGCCTCGACTCCATACTGACAACTGACTTGACAAGCATGCAGGAGGTACCATAGAGTAGCACCACAAGTTCCAAGCGCACTGTTCCACCGTGCTTTCAGCAGCATTTCAGCATTTGAGGAGCCAGTGCAAACAAACAAATGGAGCCTTCGCCAGTGTCTCATTCAGGACTCAGTGCTCAGGATTCAGTGCTCAGTAGTAGGCTGAGCATGCGGGTGGCTTATGCTGTTGTCCTTCATCTGGGCCAACATGCAAATGGGACACTGCCGTAGCTGGCCGGGAAGAACATCATCAACAAGTACACAAAGCCCGGCTACGAGTGCCACCAGTACAAGGGTGCACAATGAGCTGCCAAGTTCAGTTGCATAAATGCATAAGCCGCAGCACGCATACTCGTATGTGGGCAAGGCGATGGCAGGTATCCGGCCAGATAATCAGCCAGCACACGGAAAGGGTGGGGGAGTCCTCTTCCAGGACTAGACTAGGACTGCTAAGTCCTGCCGGGAAGCCATTTTAATTAAGGGAAATCCATGAGTTCTGGTCGCTCCAACCACGCCCCAAGCATGGCCAAAAAAGTCTGATTCATTTTTGGTTTCAATTCTGTACTTAAGAAACTGCAAAGGAAAACAGTGTTATAATTTTGAAATGGTTAAGGGGCTTCAACTGTTCTAAGTTGTGCACTTTTCAAGGACGTATTTGAACTTTATTTAATAAGAACTAACTCAATTCTTAAGGAGTATTAAATACTCTTCATTACTTATAGAAATATAGAATAGGTATGTGTAAGCTATAGTAGTTCCTTTTAATTTCCAAAACAAACAGTTTCTATATTACAAGCATACCATTTCACCTTTAAGGATTTTGATCCTCCTCGATTCCTTAGCCCGATAAAGGGCATGCAGAGTTCGCTTTTTGGCATCAGCACTTGGCCCTTTGTGTGTTTCTGTTCAAATGCAGCTGCCAAAAGTTGTCTTAACTTGTGCACACTGTGTGCAGTTTCAGTTTATTTCTGGGGCATTTAAGTGACTGGCCGCCTTAGCCGGGTTTACTGCCATGTTACTTCTGCTGCTGCTGCTGCTGGTGTACTTCTTGGCCGCTTTGCAGGATCCTCTAGCCCCTCTGAAATCCCCTCCGGTCACTGGTTTCTGGTTGGTTTTGCTTTGGCCTTTCCCCCACTCGCAACTCGCAACAGTAGTGGCTTTGATGTGCCACGACTGGGGAACTTTTTTCTGGCTTTGGGTGCTAGGACGACTAGGACGAGTGGAATGTCGGGCAAACTAACACATCCTGACACAAGTCAAGAAATTTATGAGCTGTAACGCTTGCTGCTGCTGTTCCAGAGTGCCGATGGGGACGAGAAAGCCAAAGACGAGGCGAGAGATGAAATGGGAGCGTGTGTGCTGCTGAACGTGTTGGGCTTTCGGCTTAATTGAAATTTAAACGTTTAACCCTGAGTGTCAGCAGTTAAGTCCTTTGTTGTGGCAGTTCAGCAACAAAAGTTTCGTGGCCATTTCAATTTGCGTCATAAGCAGGAGCCACTGTAGCTGAGCTGAGCTGAGCTGGGCTGGGCTGGCCCGCCTGGCCATGATTGCCGAATCGAAAACCAATAAACGGCTTGGGGAATCAACCCAATTATGCCACCAAAACTTTTGTAAACTTCACTCGGTGATTGGACTAGTCAGACACGCAAAGGGCCGAAAGGAGCGCCAACGCATGAGCCAGCAAGTGGCCATTGCGTTGCTGTGGCAACCTGGCGATGGCCACCACAATAACACGGAGCATGCACCGACCGCAGCGGCCCCATCGCCCCCGCCCCCGGCGCCTCCACCGCCACCGCCGCTCGCAGGTGGCAGCCAGTTGTGCCGGAGATTCCAGTAGTGCTGGCCATGTCCAGCTCGACCTGAGAAAAATTGTGCGAATTTGTGTGTATTATGGCAGCGGAATGCCAAAAGTGAAACAAATCCGTCCGCCGGAGAGACCCACACCCGCCGCAACTACCAAAATTTCCAAGCCATGTGAAAATGTCAAGCATTTGCCGTGTGTGTCTGTGTGCTTTTGTTGTGACCCCTGATGGTGATTTTTAAAATATTATTTTTTTCTTTTGTTGGTTTTGAGTATACAAGTACAGTGGACAGCGCGCACACTCGCTCTCTTGGCCAGAATGTTGGAATGCTTTGAGCCAGGGCGGAATTGGCTGGTATGCTTTGGGACGGTTCTCCTTGGCAATTAACCTGGGGAATGCCAAAGTCAAGCTGGGATCGACGCCAGAGCAGTCCACGAGCCAGGACTTTCAAGTAACCAGAATCCGGGTACAATCCAAGTAGGGAGAACAGTTTATTTGCACGGCTCTTCAGGAGCCAAGCTCCCTGGAGCGTCAGGAGCGCCAGGCTTACTCTACACAGCAAGAAAAAGCCCACGAGAAATGAGAAAAAAATGGTTTTTTTAGGGGGAGTTAGGTCCTGTATATCCTTTCTAAAATTTATTAAAAATCGTCTTTTATTTCCAATGACAATTATCTGAATAATCGTATTATTTACCTCAGTGTCCTTCCGTTTTCTTTCCCGTGGGCGTTTGGCACTCGTGGGTGAAGTGGCTTTCCAAGTGGTTTTTCAATGAAGTGTTAAGTGGGTGAAACTGCCTCGGTGCCTGGGTGCCTGGTGGATCCTGTCTGCGCGACTATATGTGTATACACCCAGCATATGTGTGTGTGTTTAGCTACTTTAGCCGTGTTGCCAGTATGTGAGAGCCTTCCTGTGTATTTAGTTGTCGCAGCGCTCCCGGTCTGCCTCTCACCTGGCAAATAGTGTTGCGGTCCAGCATCCCTACATACACCTTCGTCGTCGGTATTGTTTGATGGTGGTTATAAAGCTGACAGCTGTCAGTTGGCAGTAAATTTGCTAAAATGTTTATTTGCCAAGCGGCTAAGTTTGCGTTTAACACAGCAAGGCCCACCAACACATATACATACGTACGCCCACAAACCCAGACACAGACAGACACAGGAAGAGGCTGAGCTGGCCACCACACAATCACAGAGTTTGTGTGAACCCACAAGGATACACTCTGGGCAGGGCCAAGGACTGCCGCCCCAGGATATTCGAGTTGGCCAGGTTTAATCATTTATAAACAGCTGCAGCATGCGGCTGCCGCACTAACAACAAATATCCGAGCAATTCCTGGCATGGCGAGCATGACAAATGTTTTCGTACTTAATAATACAATAATTACGGCGACACCATACTATAAAACGGTTTAATGATTATGATGCTCATATCCCAACAAAGGAGGACTGTGCAGGACACATGTCCCTACGTCTGTACGTCTGTGTGGGCTGGTCATTCTAATGCCAGCGTGTGTTTGAGTTTAATTCAGTCTGCCCTTGAGCTCTGCCCTAGTTGCATTATTGGATTCTGGCTTATTAATGAATCGTACAATGTAGACAAAATTGATTATACAGTTTCATAAATGGCAAATGCCAAACTTTGATGAAAGGTTAACATAATAATTCACAGTCTCAACCATTAAACAGGCTTCTGTTGGCCCGAATTATTACTTTTCAGCTCCAATGGAGTTTAAACTAGGGGGCAGAATTATTTTATTGCAATGCCAGGCGTCTTCGAGTCTCCACTTCCTTGTTTTTTATTATTATTAATTTATTAAAAGCCCGACGCCTGTCGTCTGGCCGGGGCTTTGGTCCTGGATACTCAACGCCTCGTAAACCTTGCCAAAAAAAAAGGAAAATCATCAATGGCAATTGAAATGTAAATCCATTCGTGGCGCCTGGGGGAGAACCGGGCTTAAATCGGCAATCGCCATCAATGAGCCTTTCCACTTTCTCAAATTCAATTGGAATGCGCATTCGCGGATTCTTGTGTTTATATAATTTCATTGCGGGTTGCAATCAAGGCGATAGGTTTTCCGCCGATTTCCTTCAGCCCTCAAACGGCAGGACTCTGCTTGAGCAGCTTCCGCGCTTTCAAATGATTATTATTTGTGGCTAAAAATAAGCAAGAAATTTCCATCCGCCTGCGGTGGCATTTTTCGAAAACTATTTTCCACGCGATTTAACCAACAAATTCACTTTGATATCGCGTGAAATGTGTGGATCGCGGAGGTCGTATGTGTGTGAAAAGGGAAATTTAAATCAAATGCAGAGACATTGAATTTTTCATGACATACTTTATACTGTCAACGCCCTGGCGCACAGCAGGGGCGGTTCGTTGTTTGGGGATTCCTGGCTCTGGCGGCGTGTCAGGTGGGTGGTAAGCTGTCTATTTCGCGATGCTGCCAGTGAGAGAGCTTCAAAAAATCTATTCCCCAGCCAACCAGCCATCCAGCCATTCAACCCAGCCAGCCAGCCTGCCAGGCAACATGTGTGCCTTGTAGCTGCTCACTCTTTGATAAAAACCGAAATTAATTATTGACGAGCACGTTGCCGCGGATGTTGCTTTCGCGTCGCGGGTTGCGAGTTGAGAGTTGCGAGCTTGCCCGTTGAAAATTTAAAAGGCGTTCGACTGTAAGCACACAAACACACATCCGTTTCCGCTTAAAAGCACAAAATGTGTTTGCTTTGAACTAGCGAAAATTGTCAACGACAACCGCAAACTATCGGCGGTGAAGGTGGCAAGGCCGGGAGGTGCCAAGGCGGCAAGGCGGCAAGAAGGAAGCCCGCATCCAAGCCAGTTTGTGAGCAAACAAATTAGTGTTTAATTATACATAGACATGGGCAACCAGGCCAACCAGCCACACCAAACGCAAAAGCAACAGCTAAGGCAAAAGCAAAAGCAATTCATTAAATCGAGAACAGAAAAAATGCATCAAAGCTGGTTAAAATGAGCGAGAAACCCAGTGACAAAAGTGGGAAAAAAACTATTGAAAAAGTAACCGCATTAGAGGATGCAGAAGCGTCCGAAACCGGATGCGAAGCGCATGACGGGACCGGGACTGGGACCGGGGCCGGCCAAGCCGCCGCGTCTGAAGGCCGCTGCCAAAAAGCAGTTGCAGTTCGAGAGTCCGTTGCCACGTCGGACACGCGGCCAGGAGCCCCAGAAGCAGTCAGAGAAAGTCATTGCTATGCCGGACAGCAGCCAGGATGCGGACACGGATGCGGCAGCGGAAGCAGCAGTGGACGTGCCAGAAACAGGGCTGCTCTCACGGCCGGACTCGACTCCGCATTCAGTGTCCGTGGCAGGTCCTGGCCAGCGAACAAAAAAGCGTCTCGCCGAGGGCTGCACCAGTCTCATGTACGCCTGCCAGCAGGGTGACATTGTCCAAGTGTTGGCCCAAATACGCGCCAAGGTAAGATATTTCCACACTCTGAAAATAATGAAGCAGTCAAGGTCTTTACAGATACTATTGAATAAGCTAAATAGATCTTAAAGTATTTGTTTTTATGCACTATTTTTTGTAGAAATTAAAGGTGAAAAACTACAAGTAGGTTTCTTTTTATTTCCAGTGCAAGGCATGGTTTTTATCTCTTAGTTTAGTCTAGTTAGGAGCATAAAAACACGTGTTAAGTTCATGGGGTGAAAAACAAACAAACGCTGTGTGTGTAATGGAAAATAACTTGGCCCGCTCCCAGCTATCTCTTTCGGGTTTGCAGCCAAAGATAATGGCCAAAAGGCAGGGCGGCACAGGCATGACAAGTTGACTTCTAGCAGATCCCAAAAGCCGGCCGCCATCCAGTCATCTTTGCTCTAAAACGCTCCAAACAAAAGGCCCCAAATCAGGCAAAGGCGTAACAAGATTTTAATCTTTCTGCAGTCACGATGAGCCGGCACAATGTTTAAAGCCAAAAAACAGAAAACCCTTTTCGAGCTGGTTTCTTGGGGATTCCGAATTCCGGATTCTGGCTGCCGGATCTGGCGGGGGGTGTTTAAATTTCCGTTGCAGTCATTTCGGCGCATTGTTCACAGTTCAGGGCCCCTAATTGCTTCATAAACATTTCTACAACAAGGCTGGGGCATAACAAAAGGCGAGTTGAATTTGAATGCTGTAAATGGCAGGACATTTAAAATTGACAAAATAATCCCCCAAAGCTTAGTTATGCCAGGCGAATGGAGAATGCTAAATGGTCCTTCGTCCTTCGACCGGACCGCTCTTCTTTGCTCTTCCTTAGCATTGCTACGGCCATGGCCATTCTCATGATTTGATTCCGTTTCGTCCTTTCCTTCATTCGTCCGTTCATCAGGCGCCTAAATATGCCAATTTCACATTTAATTGAAATTTGAAAAGTTTTTAATTGAACGCAGATAAATTTTCAAGGCCCTTCGAGCGGTGTGGACGGCAAGCGGCGACAGGCCGGCGAAGAAGGAGTTCCTCGGTCATGTTTCTCGGGTTCGGGCGGGGGATTGTCATGTTGCTAGTTTTTGCAATGATTCGTCAGGACTTCACCCCACGACCATTGTGAGTCCTGACAAATGCCTTCATTTCCGGCCAGTTGGCGTGCTTTCGTTCTGGTAATTGATATTGACGCCAAATTTGATGTGAAATTGCCTGACATTGAGTATTGTGCCGGAGCGAGAGCGACTTTTTGGGCAAATACAATACTTGTGCCACCCCCTCCTAGTTGGCTGTTTGCTTGGTTATGTAATTGGCAAATGACATTTCGGATGCCTAACCTTGGTTCACCACCGCCACCACCATTCAGCATTCGGCAATCGACGTTTGCCTATGGAACCATTCACCACCCACATCAGCAATGTCGAGCAGTTTATTTGCCTGTGAAATATGGCAAATGCTGGCGATTATTACTTACTTGGGGCCGCGTACTTTATGAGCCTCATAAACAACATGACCGCATTCTTCTATTTTCGGATGCCCAGCTGAAAAACGAATGGGGAGGCAATGAGCCTGAAGGAGCAATTGGTTTTCAACTTTATGTTCAAGCGGCTAACGGGGCGTATGCGCAATATGCACTACCTCATTGCCTATGTAGATTTGACGACATTCTGTAGTGGTTTCTCCCTCCGTGTTGTATTTTTAGAAAGTATAGGGATTCGTGGGGGGAGGATGGCGCAGTTCAAGGTAAATCCGAATATAATTACATCGTCAGTCGCGCGCTGACTGATATTATTAATGTTGGTGGGCTGCGGCGATATTGTTGTTTGCTCGGCTTATTGCTGTTCTTGTTGTTTATTCTGTTATATCTTGTGCCTGTGAGACATGTTTTAATTTGTCTTGTCTCTGCATGTCTGTGGCCGTTAGACTTCATCCTCCTTTTAGCCTTGATAAGACCGCCTAAGCTATTAAAAGTTTTAATGTCTTTAATTTGCCGTCTTCTCTCGCCGGACCGAGCTTATATTTTATTTTGTCCTAGAATAATTAAACAGCGACAGAGCGTTGTTTTTCTCCAGTTTTTTTTCTTTTCCAGTCTTTTGCTGCTGCTGTCGCTGATGTTTTTTTTTTATTTTTGTGGACATTTATTTTAATTGCGATTTGGGTGAAGAGGAACTCTTAACTCTTAAACTAGTTGCTTAAGTCATATAGTGAGTCCTTTCTGTTTATTGGTTTTCTGTGTTTTCGATTTATTGCTGTGCTCAACATGGCGTATGAGTAACAACTAGTGCCGAGGGGAAAAGCTTCTTACTCAAACACTCATCGCCAGATATACATACATATAGACTGTATATAGACTTGGCATTGGCTTCTGTACACTACGCTGGTGGCTTTTCAGCTTTTTGAGAGCACTCGAGCAACATTCATCGACGTTGTTTACTTGCCTTCTATTGTTTTGCTTAAACTTTTCATTGATGTTGGTTTTTCCTGCCACATCCCCGGCTCCTCCCCGGCCATACTTTCCCCGCCCTCAATATTCTCATCTTGGCTTTATTGTCTGCCGCTGCCTTCTTTGTTGTTGTTACTGTTTTTACCAATTAAGTCTTAATTTCTGAGAAAATAAAACTTTTTGGCTCCTGGCATTGTTCGCTGCAAGTGAATTCCCCGAGCTCAGCTCCGTCTCTCTTTTTTCCTTCTTTCAGTTAATGTTAATGGCGTAATTGTGCCACCTCCGAGGTCAGCCAGGACCCAGCCTTCAACTTTAAACCTCAATTTAGCCGAGAGTTCGAAGCTGAAGTTTTACACCGCAAGTTGGTAATTGTATGTCTATCTATGTGTGCCGGGCAGCATCCAGCCAGGCATCCAGCCAGCCAGCCTCCGGCTACCTTCGTCCTTCTTCGTTTCTAAGATTGCTGCAGGTGTGAATTATTTATTTTCACTTAAGATTTGCGGGGTTGGCTCCTCCAGCTCTCCCAGCCTCCCTAGCTCCTTCTGCTCCGTCCAGAGCTCCGCGCTGGCTCCTTTCAACTCAATCCCCAGCCAGCTAACCAACGGCTCGTTCACTTTTACAGCTTTAAGGAAAAGTTTTCGCTCAAAAGTCAGCTGCAGAAGTTGATTTTAGTCAGCGGTCGGGCAGAGTCCTGCCATTGGGAGTGGGTGGCTTTTGTTTGTTGCAAATAATATAATAACAAAACAAGCTGGCAACTTTCTTTCGGGGCATGCCGACTAGAGTCAAGCCTTTGGCAAGTACTTGGGGGTAAAGGGATATATCACCCATATGCCCGGGATGCTTCACTCCTTAATAGGGTATCCTGGTCCGCTGGGAAATTCGAATGGGAATTTTGTGGGGTAGAGCTCTTTTTGAAAGTTGTCGTGCAAAATTAATTTGGAATTCTGAGCGCGCGCTTGTTTTTCCCCCGTTTAATATTGAAGTTCCGACGAAAGGGCACTCCTGAAAGGGAAAAGCTGTTTAGAAAATGTAGTTTCCATTTGGGTACAGTTTCCATTAGATGCGATTGATTGACCTTCGGTCGGCATTTTTTAATTACATTCCTTGGCGTTCTGTTTTTTCGCTTTCTGGCGTTTCGCTTTCTTTACCCATTGCGCTCAATCAACGTGCAAATTATTATCAATTTGGCCGAAATGGTGTGTGTCGAAGGAACCGGAAATAGCGATGGCGATGGCGAAGGCGAAGGCGGGAAATGCAATCGCCGGCAATCGTCCCACGGATCCTTTTCCTCACGGCGCTCCCAATGCCTTTACTCTCTGATTGGTAATTTTAATTGCAATTTTTTTTCCCTCGCCCATCAAGCTCCAGCTCCAGCTCAGCACGTTTGGCACATTTTGTTGAAAATTCATTAAAAATGACGTCGAAAAAGTTTGCATTTTACCCAGTTTTGCAGTTTCCCAGCTTCCACTCCCAGTGCCTCCTTAGCCACCTCATTTATTCAGAGTGAGTGGCTCTGGTTGTTCAATCGTTCATTCATTGGATTTTATCCTTGCCTTTGCCATTGCCGGATTACTTGACGGTATCTGTTTAACTTTAGTCGCAGTCATTTGAATTTTTAATTAATCGTTCGGCTGTTTGCCCGCCAAAGGTAGAAACAAAGTGAGTGACTGCCTCACTGGGTAGTGGGAGGGAATGCAATCAGTGCTTTAGGTTATCCTGATTGCAAGACAATATTTCCCTCACACCACCGCAGCACACCCAACCGCCCATCCATCCATCATGTCAGCCATCAATCCATCCATTTAAATGAAATTTTTTGGCAAAAAACTGACCCCCGACATTTGCATGTGATCGAATGAGTTTGGGACTGTTTTGCATGTCGGAATACAATTAATTAGGCGGCGAGGCCCAACAAATGTCCAAATAAAAGTCAGCGCCAACGAGTTAAATTAATGGCAAAGATGGGTGTGTGTCGGGTTTGAGGTTTCGGTCATCATTAGAAGTTGGCCTGAAACGAGCGTCACTGGGCTAATTGAGCACAAAAACCCATTTCCAATTGGGTGGACCGAACTTTGCCCGAGCGAGCGGTTACCATATGCGGCGGCTTAGCCGGACAGCTGTCCAATTAATTAGAAACCACCAGAAATGGCAGACGGACTATGACGAGGATGACTCTCCTCCACCCATCCACTCCTCTCTATCCAGAGCTACTGACTGACTGACCAAAGTTTGCAATGGCAAATTAATTACTGAAATCGTAGGAATTTGTCTTGCAATGCGGCTGCTTGGATTCTAGGCAAGCTCTCCAGCTCGGATGTTCGAGTTCCTGGCCTGTTGTCACTGCTGTTTGGCTTTTGGAAATGACTTCCGCCGAAGCTGGCACAGGCGGTGGGTTTGCCACAGTTGCACCCCAGAAGTTGCTGGCCGAAGTTGGCCGAAGCGCAACTGAAACTGGAGTCAACTGGCAGCAGTGTGTGGCCCACATTGGAGAAGGAAATCCGTATATGAATTTGTATGCTCCTGCAACAATTTTTGCTCAAGGAAGTGCCCGGCAGGCTAATCACATGCAAAG